CTAATTAGTATCCACCCAACTTTTCTATTACTCTATTGCTATTCATTGTTTCTGATTTTTGCCAATTTTTTTTAACAAGCGTTCAATTCAAAGTATGAGGCTAACATATTCAGTATTGAATTAAAAATATTTTTTTTAAATCCCATACCTTATTTGATTTATTGCACAGTTACTACCTGTATTTTAAATTCATTAATAAGATACAGATTTTTCATTAGAATACAAGTTTATGACCAATAGAAGTGCAACATAACAGCAATATTCAGTCAATATCAAATATTATCATGACCGTGGTTTAAAAATTTATCAATACTGACACTTTACCCTGTAAATTCCAAAAATGCAAATAAAATCGGTAAAAATGTACCATAGCGAAAGTAAAATTGAGAATTTAACTTCACCAGAAATTGAGCACAAGAGCAGCAAACGATTTATTACACATATAAAATCAGCAAAAACGTATGAAAAATTTTAGTATCAGTTTATGGATATGGATTAAAGAAAGGTGAGTAGATTTTAGTTTACAATATAATTTACTTGGAAAACTGTTTGGACCATGAGTAGCCCTATATTTTTCGTATTATGGCAACTTGTACAAAGAGATTTAGAGATGATTTTAAATCAACCCTTTCAGGTGCAATTAAAGGTTCAAAAACAACGCGAAAATTCACAGTCAAATGATATTATGGAATATGTAACAAGTATATGAATTTTCGTCCAAAATATATTGTATAAGCCCATATTTTTTATCAATTACATAAACAGAAAACGCACATTCAAAATTTGGGAAAAAATAAATTTGGAAAATTGGGAAAATTAACTTCTGTTTACTGAAATCTTCCCAATCACAATTTATTATGTATCGAATACGGCTTTCGCCGACAGTTGTGCCATTGTGCCACAATATCGGTTGATACTGATGGCTACAAAACTTCACTACAACGCCACTGTCCATAGCAGAGGCCGAAAACTACAATGACGAAGAATGAATTCCAAATCAAAGCAGCATATCAAATTTTGAATTCGACTGAATACAGCCAAAACAATAATTTAAGAGCCGAATTGTAAATCTTAATTTCATTATAAATTTTGATAATAAGATGCTTGTTTTTCATTGGCATTAATATATATTTTTCCGATGCCGATAGTTGAGGCCAAGACGAACAAACAGGAGCACAGCTGACAGACAAATAAAAACAGCGAAAAAAGCCTAATTAGCATCCGACCTACTTCCCGATTACTCGAAAACAATTATCGCGCGCGAGATACGCGGGGTCGAAGAAGTGCAAGCACCCCGCGTGACGTCACCCCACTCCCCTCCCGGAAAGAGAGAATGAAAGCGAGTGCCGGGCGTTTAAAAAGTGCGCTAATTATGAATGAGAGAGCACCAGAGCGCCGCAGGAGTACCCGAGATAGTAGGGCTAGGTCAGGGCCGCCGCGGGAGCTTTTTCTTTCCTTTTTCAAAAAAGTCGGCGGCGCGCCTCGCCTCTAAATTGCTCTTTAAAATTCCAACTTTGTTTTAGGAGTTCGCGGGGGCGGGGCGGGGCGGCGCTTTTTAAAAATTCATCCACTTAGCGCTCTCAGCTGATTCCGCGGCCCCGCTGCTGCTGCTGGCGCTTATTTACAATGGTAATTTTTACGCGAACACTTTCGCTCTCGGAAGAAATTGCATCTCGCTCCGTGAGCTCCCTTAAGTTGAAGAGTTGTTCAAGGTCCGATAAACTACGAGTTGCTACACGGTGTGACCTGCACAACTTAATTAATTAAATATGTCCGCTGTGTCATCTTTCACTTTTTTCGATAATTCGAAATTATGTGATAAATTACAACTGTTTTTCTCTTTTTTAAACGATAAATTTTCTAAATAATTATAAAGTTCATAAAAATATAGTGTTGGTGTGAGGCGACATGTAACCCATACTTACTCTGGTAAAATGACAAAAATTTTGAACAATTAAACAACAATACTCCTTAATATTACTGAATGGTTCAACAAAATTGTCAAATGTAACATGAAAACTAGTGTCGGACTAGCTATATCTATAGGGTCCCTCGCTGACTTCGGTGAAGGGCCTTTTTGAGATACCGAAGAGGAAACATATTTTAATAGAAATCGCATGAGCAGAAATTTGGAAAATTTCAAGATTTCGGTGTGAGGCAGACTGGCGGAACTAACAAAAGCTACTTTGCAATTCATAGACCCGGAAATTACTATTTCATGCATAATTGTTCGGTCAGGCTGATTTTTTGTGAGCAGATAGTAAAAATAGTGTAGAATAATATGTACCGTATCCGCACGCTGAAAAAAGCGGGCGACATTGTTTAAATGAACAATTTAACTCGATAACTATTTGTTAAATCTACCAATAAAAAAATTGGCGCGACTTCGGGTACGGCTCAGATTTATACAGATCGTTAATTAGTTTATTTGTTTATAAGGCCATAACTCGCGAAATAATCCACTTACGGATTCCGGCTTTCGCATAAATTATTTATCTGCAGTTTGAGTGTTATCCGAAGAAGCCTCTGTGATAACATCTCGATTTATTATTGTTTATTTAAAATGGCATAATTGACGGTTTTTTGCAAGTAACTTTTGACCGGATTGATATTTTTTGACGCTCGAAACGTCGTTTTATAGAGCTCTTAATGACAAACATAAAAGTAATTTGCCATTTCTCTGTAGAACCGTCAGAAAAAAAGTTACAGTCGAAAAACGGGAATTTCTACTAAAACGGCATGTTTGATCAACTTTTAAACAATGTCGCCCGCCTTTTTTTAGCGTGCGGATACGGTACATCTTATTCTACACTATTTTTACTATCTGCTCACAAAAAATCAGCCTGACCGAAGAATTATGCATGCATACCCCTATATTTCCTGATGGTCTATCATGCACTAAGGTCGCTTCCTTAGGTTAAATTCTATATAAAATATATAAATATAAAATAGTCAATAAACAGCGTACTTAGATTTTTGTTGATCGTATTTCGTTGGAATTTCTCAAAATAATATTAAAGAAGGGGGAGCGATGGAGCGATGGCAGTACGTCATTGACAGATGTAAAATTGGGAATTTAAAAACGTAATTTTAAGTTGATGAACAAGTCCAAAATAGTATATGATTTTATTTTTAGAACACAAACACTCTGCCAATATTTAATATACACAGGGTGTTAACTACTGGTGCCAATGTCAAAACATTTTTGAGTTGAAACTTAGTATTTTAAGAAACAACTCGGTTTGTATTTTTGTAAATAATCAATTCCGTGTAGGCGGAATACCATTTACATGTAAGAATATTAGAGCGTGTTTTTTATGTAATATAAAAAAATTAATTCGCCTCATCCCTGCGGATTTACGGCCTTTCAAATTAGAAAAGAAAATATTAATTTAAATTTTTTCCTCAAATGTGGAGAAAGTTACAAAAATAAAATTATATACATTTTTCCTAATATCGAAAAAAAAATTCTGCACAATTTCTTAATTTTCCTATTCAGTTACAAGGGTCCATACCTACAATTTCTTGAATACTTTTTTTCTATCACCAATATCGTATATAACAAATGTTCGGTAGCGACCGCTGGGCGCAGAGGTGGTCCGATCGGAGTGATTTTGGTGTCATTGTGTTAGACTCTGTCAATGTTTAAGTGCGCTATAAGTGACTGCCGTAAAAAAGTTTTCAAAGACAAGGAGTAACGAATAAATTTGTGTGTAGGGCGGAAAATCAAACTAGATGGAGTATTGTTATGTCAATAAGGGTGTGCAGTCGGAGTGGCTGTAGCGTTTCGGCGGTTTTCAAAATTGTTTTGTGCTTCTGTCGAAAATGATATCTTTTATAATTTCCATGATACAAGACGATTCTCAATTTACAATAAAATTGTCATAGCCCTATATAATCCTTTACACTCAGTAGATATCGTAAAATGGTTTAAATATTCTAGTCACTTTCTTGAAACATGTACGACATCGTTTGTGTAAATATATAAATAAAATCATTTATACACAAGTGATATGAGGTGCTTTAATTTATCCATGATGATTACGTTAATTTCTAATAATATGTCATAATTAATTATATTTTGGCGGTACACGCATTTGTAAATTGAGCGCGAGAAAAGCGAATTTTGTCTCGGATGGCCACTAGAATGAAACGATTTATGTGCCATTACAAAAATTTTCTAAAAGAAAATCAGAAAATCACACATATTTCCTTGTCCTCAAAAGAGAACACGCCTACGAGACGGCGTCGATTTAAAAAAAAAAAAAACAACGCGTATATCTTTCGGTATTTTTATTAGGATTTCGGAGGGTACGATTTGTTTTATCAAGATTTTTACCTAAAGTGACCAACATACGCGCACATACCTGATAAAATACAACTTGGACATTCGAAACCGTTGAAAACACTGGTGACATCGCCAAGTATTTCATAATTTGGCAGAAAATCGAAAATGTACGAGGAACTTCTTCCACAACAGTCGTAAATAATTTCTTTACAGCTAATTAATTTCATTTTGGAGATCCTGTCTTAGTAAATCAGCCGCGAATGTGATCAAGCGTTTTTCGCGGCAGGAAATAAAAAGTGTAAAAAAACCATCGAGGAAAATATAATTTTATAAATATAATTACAGTCAACTTACAGATGCATCCGCATATTCTTTTCCTCTTAGATGGAACTAAAACAGTTCGCCGAGTTGCCTCAGAAATAGCTGATTGCATGTAACGCGTATTAACTAAAATTCTAAAATTTTTGCTATACAGGGCGTCTATTGCAATCAAGATGACAAACAAACTTTACTATAATTACTTTGAGAAGAAATATGAATTAATTTTCGGAAATTTCCTGAAAAGAAAACCTTTCAGTACATTTAGACTTTTCTATTGAATTTCCCTTACAATTGTGTAAAAAAAATTTTAAATCATAGCAGTTGTATACACAAGACGCCCCGTATGTGTAAAACCACCAACTATATACAGCATTCAAAAAACATTTATTACCAATCACGAAACAAATTTACACCTCTACTGGTCTGGGCTGATTAGACAAGATCTCCTTCAGGGGCACGGAAACCGTGGTGGCCGCTGCGGAAGGGTCCGACCAGCCCTGAGCAGCGTCTTTCTGCTTCTTCTCTTCCTCTTGGCGACGCTTGTACTCTTCGAGTTCGAAGTAATATCTATAAAGAAATACTTTTTCATATACATCTAACGATCATAAACTAATTATCTACAACATAGCGACACTAATACTAGCGCCATCTATCGAACACTACACGCATTGATGACATAGATGGGAGCGCCATCTATTAATGTTTGGCTGAATCGCACAATAAAATGTTTGCAGTTTACTGCATTATTAACTTTGACACAACGGCAGATGGTATAAAGCATTGTTTGCAATCATTTTTTTAGATGGTAACTGATCGAACTTTACGATAAAAAAATATTTTAGGAAACTTTTTTTCCAACAATAAATGTTCCTACTAATTAGTATTTTACAGACCTAATTAAATCATGATACTAAGAATTATACAATCCATGTGCTTACCTGGGCGTTGTAATACCAAAAAGAGATGCTAAAAATTCACCGACTGTATCGACAACGGACAAAGTACTGGTACCAGCAGCCCAAGCTTTGTACCAAAACCAAGGACCCCACGTTAATGTAGACTGAAAGAGAATTTTTAAAAAAGTCACTAAATATTGTTTCATACATATTGTCTGAAATATCTATATGATGTACCAAAATACACTCTAAAATGTAATATTTAAAAAAACTCTAATTTCAGCTATATATAGTATCTCCTGATTCTATTGTAAAAACTACTATGAACAAGACATTTTGAAAATTGAAAAATTTACTTTCTCTGTTCGCTTGTGGCATCTGTGAACTGAATGTAGAACTAAACTAAAAAAGCCTTTTACACCCCTCAAGTCTTACAACACTATCTCTATACAAAAAGTGTAAACTACACATTTCTACATACCGGATCTACGACAGTTTGATCTTTAGGAGTGTCTACTTCATCTTCGTCACTGCTATATTCCTCTAAGGTACCATCACAGAAATGTAAAATTCTTTTTGGGGTCTTCACTTTCACAGCAGCCTCTTGTTCATTTTCTTCGGTAGCACCTTCATGAGTTTCAGGTCGGACGAGGACCATTTTGTTATCGAGCAAGTTAAACCAAACGTAGAAAATTAGTACACAGGTCTATTTACTTCTGACAATTTTGACATTGGTCAGGGAGAACGACTTGAAAATGAAATGATCTGATTGTGAAATGATTTACAGACACCTCTATGTAGTGTCAATCGAATTACTCAATGACTCCTATAACCAATTACAGTTTTCTATACATATAATAATACGATTAGAACATTTTCTTATAGATGGCGATAATTATATGGTCTATGATAAAAAAAATTGGCTTAAAAGAACAACTGGCAATGGTGTTTATTGAATAATTTACAATATTTCAACGTTGACTGAAATATTGAATATTTCAAACAACAATATAAATGTGAATGTTGTGGTAATCAAGATCGCTATTCTTTAGCCACAGTCTTTTATAAAGTAGATTTTTAACTATTTATTCTGTTATAGTGTTCGGTTCACTATTGTCGAGTTTATTAAAAGAATGTTCCTAACACTATAGGAACATAGCTAAGACCTACGTCGACTTATAGAGTTATAGAATTGGGAAAGTAGGCAACAATGTTCACTTTATTCAGAAAGGTAAACGCATAGATAAAAGAGTTAGGTAAACGTCTTCCCAATTATTTTAGAGAACAGCGATAAACACCTGAGATAACGGTTTTTATTCGTTCTTGTTTGATAGTACCGCTCGTAAATAGTGCGCTGAAACATATTAATCTCGCGATAAACCCCTAATCTACAGATAGATAACATGGTAATTAAAAAGCGCAGCTAGATATAAAAGTTGTACAAAAAGTAATGGTTAAAAAAAATGTAAGTAAAAAAAAATATTTCTCTACAGTTCTAACAGGTGGCCTATTTGTTACAGAAGACACATCATGGATTCAATGGGAAATAGCACTCTGGACAAGATCCAGAGGGAAATACAAGAAACACTTGAGAGGGAGGATGAACTGAAAACTGAATATTCCAAACTGCATAATGGAAATGGAGAAAATATAAATAATAATGGACTTCCTGCCCGAAATGATAGCCCTACATCGATTGGATCGAATGAGTCTCAAAAATCTAATGGATTCAGAAAATTTACTCCTAATACCACCACTAAAGGTGTAATGCAGAAATTTTTTAAAAGTCGTGGTAAAGTGGGCATGTCTTCCATTAAATCGACCCAGAGCAACAGTAATGGCTGGGTGAGTGATGCAGATTTCCAGCCTGCCAAAGTAACCATCGAGAAAGGTAAACCTGTTAGGAACGGTTACATTCCTGCAGAGGAAAAAATAGTTAAAGAACTACAAGAATTTCAAATCCGAGAAGCGGAATTGCGGAAGGAGAGAAGGAAAAGTCAGCCCAATTTAATGGCAGCTTTAGAACTCGAGGAGTCTGAGCTGGAGTTGGAGAATGGTTTTAAAGAAAATTCCATTTTAAAGCCGGCAAAATCGATGGCCAGCTTGTATAAGCCTGAGGAGGAAGATGAGCAGCAAAACCATTCCGCACCCTGTAGTCTGAAACCTGCTCGTTCATTGGCAGCCCTCTGTGATCTCACTGATGATGAAGTTGAAATGCCAGGTATTATTTTTATTTTTTAGATAAAAAATAATGTTTCTATTTTTTTGTTCAAAAAATCTTTCGGGTCAGAAAAAGAAAATTATTTTTAAATTTAGCTATTTAAGTAGCAGACTCATAGCAAATTGACCCCTAATCAAAAATTGTTGAAGTTAGTAAGGTTTAAAGTCACAAAACCGACATTATTTTTATGCTCTATGCTTTATTTTCAAGTGGATTGATAAGAGTTGGAATGAGTAATTCATTGTTTCCACTTTTATCTGCAACGAAAATAATTTATTTAGATTGACACGTTGAAGTATAGTCATACAATTTCTCCAAATCAATAGCGATGCGAATATTTCAGATAATGACGGCAGTAAATTATATTTTCATACTGAGGTAGTCAGTCTTTCTTGCAATTTTAGTAGGTAATGCCATGCTAACAGGTCGTAAATTAAAAAAAAAATAATGTGTATTTTTTATTAATTTGTTGTTATTGATATAAGTATTAAACCTACAATTATTAACAACTATCTGCAGGCTAATCCATTTACAGCCATTTTTATTTACAATAAACCCGTAATCAGTCGTATTTAAGCAGACTTACTGATTTAAAATGATTTTTGTTAAAAAAATGTATGACACAAAAAATGTGTAAGCCACAAACAATTTAATTCCTTATTTTTTTTAATGTGACAAGCAGCACGTATACAGTATGGTCCCAATTATTAGAATTGTCAGATTTAAACTCTGTAACAATTATAATAGAGATTGTAGACCTCAAAGTTATAAGCCATGTGGATCATTATTTATTTTCATCAAGCACTTGACGGAAATATATGATAGCAGATAATGTAAATAGTTAAGTATTGACGTATTTGTAAAATACAATACTTCATGTACTAGCTGCTTTTTAGATATTTGCACAGTAAAGAATATTTTTTTTTTTAGAAATCGTACATAATTAGTAGCTTTAATGATACTAATTATTTTACTAAAACATAAGCCATTTTAACAAATAATCCTAATTGTTGGTACAGTTATAAATAGAAATTTCCGATCTGAAACTAGGGCAGTTTAAAGAGTACATCTGACACATTTTTTAAACTATCAAGAATTACAAATTTCTAATTTTTCTTAAAAGTTATTCCTATATGCCAGCTGTTGGTACATACTGTGAATTAATTATGATTTATTTAAAATATGGTGCTTTGTAACCTTTAGGTATTCATATCTCGAACCTGTTTCTCCATATTGGTCAATTTAACTACGTCTACTTTCAGATAAAGTCTCAAGGTATTTTAAAAATGTTAATGGGTCTAACAAACGTTGAGCTGATGTGAAACAATTACACAACTGGTTCAATGTTATCGGTGAATCAGCATATTGCATCTCCACAGTTATTTCAAAATTACTTAAATATTTAAAGTATTTAAAATTGGCAGTTTTTTTAAATTCACTTTATTCATAGATAATTAAATTTTATCTTTTTTCCAGAATTTAATTGTTCTGCCCAATCAATAATATACAGGGTGGTCCTAAAATGTCTCCCAATATTTTCAGGGCCAATAGTGTATCAAAAATTAAGAGTATCTTTATATATATATATANAATAACCACTTCAACCCATTATATTTACTGCTTTGTCTTTTAAATAGACCTTTGCTTTACATTTTGATTTGTTCTCTCATATCTGATTTCATTTCAATATATATATATATATATATATATTATATACTTATTGTTTGATATTCTACTTTAAAAGGCATGTTTTTTTTGCTGTAAGAAATCTTTCAGGATTTTCTTATTTGAAAAGAAAAGAAAGATTTTGAGAAAAAAATAGTTTACTGTCCACCCTATATTTTATTATGTATTTCTATTTTAGGTACTTACTCTCTTATAAAGCAATTTGAGAGCATGAAGAGTAAGGAGGCACGTTCCTAGGCAGCTTGATAATATGTGATAAATCCGTCCCAGTTTTAAAGTATTTAATTTATTAAGGCATTGTTTGCCAACAGCCTTTTCCTGTCTTATATATTTATATCCAAATGGAATCTGTACAATCCATTTCTAAATAGTTAAGTGGTTAATTTATTGTTTCAACATTTACTTAAAGTATTTGAACATGATTAAAATCATGTATAACTGATTTTTAATCCATCATGATACAGTGGAGATTATAGACGTTGCATTTGTTGATCCTTATTGGATTGCATTGTGAAGGATTTTGATTGAATAGTGGTTATAATTGTGCCTGATTGAGACAATGCTAATTTTATATACATTACATTAGTAGTACAAAACTCTTGCCTTATGCTTGGATTTCAGGTTGTGCCAATATACAAATTATATTTTTTTAATCAGTATTTGAATTTGTCATTCCTGTTTGTTGCATTTACACTAGTTGTATGTAGGTTATAAAAATATAAAACTATCTACCCTTTAAAAAATAATTTATCTACATATCATTTTTATATTGAAATATATCGTTCTTGCCCTAGCAAAACTTTTGTTTATAATGGTGCAAATTTAAGAAAGATAAATAAGAATTGAAAATTATTTTTTTTTTCAATGGTTGTTATCTGAATAGGTATATATTTTTTGTAATCTTATCAATAATTTGATTCGTATACATTAAAAAGAAAATGTACTTTGTTAAAGTTATTTTATATTACATGCACAGATTTTAGATGAAGCACAAATAGAAACTGTTACATGTTAATGGAAGAGCACCAATCACGACTATTTTATAATAATTTTATATAGTGTTTAATTAGATTTGTTCTTTCTCTGGAGTGATACATATATTTTTCTGTACATTTATGAAAATCCAGCAGATATATTTTTCACTTTTGTTTTTAAAAGGCTTGCAAACTTATTGTAGCTTTTATTTATTTTTAGGCAATACAGAAAATTGCATAATTTTCATTTTACTACATTTTAGAATTATTCAATTTGTGTAACATGACATTTTGTTTTGAAATACATCTTGTGAAATTAAATTATGCAATTTTTTGTTTTTTAATTTATTTTGCACTAGTCCTATCTTTAGTGGTTACATTAATTATGTGGGATTAGTTAATGCAGAAATAAAATTGATTTTATTAAAAAAAACTTATTTGACCTACTTTGATTAATTTATATACAGGGTGTCCGGTAAATATTTACTACATTCTATTATATTTTTTCCAAATATTTATTCCAATGGAGATATTCAGATCCAGAAACGGCCTCGATAGAGATTTAGGGAACTTTAAAACGTCTTGTATATTTCGAAAAATTTTTAGCGTAGTGTATTTACAAATACATGTCCATGATTTCATGTCAAAACCGCTCTTTTACTATTATTAGGTATCCAGAAATGGACTGTCCCCAACACATTTTTTCAATATTTTGAGAGATGTACTATCGAATTGAAAATATTTTTAGATATATAACATTTTTGTTTGGAAAAGGTAAAGTGGTGTGTATTTTGTATTTGCCCATTTTATTTCTTTGAGATTTTTAGTTAGGAAAACTTTTCATAAAAATTACCCTCGACTGATCCTTGTGACGCAAGGGTTTATTTCAATAACTTTTTCACAAGTGGCAAATTTGCAAAAAAAATACTCTAGTAGTTGCTACCTGCTTTAAAAACTAGTTTATCTCGAAAAGCTTTCATTGAAATAAATGAAGACTAGGTACGTACTTCGTTTAAGCACAAATACTCATAGTATCTAAGAATATTTTCAGTTTATTTTATAAAAATATGTAAAGCGGTTTCAAAGTTAGAACCCAAAACGTAAATCTCCAAGTACCCCTCTATTATATGTCTTGTGAGTACCCTCTTTGGGCCAGATATCTCCTTGAGAAGGAATGATAGGAAAAATAATTAGAAGTCCTATGTTATCTTGACCTCCAATGTAAAGAGATTAGTATATACTTATCGGTCGCTTGTATTTTATAATTTTAATGACTGTATTTCACGGTTATACCCTTGAATTATTTGCTGCTTGCGTGTTGAAAAAATATCGTTTTAGGCAATAGTAAATACGAAATGTGAAACTGTCATTTACGTAAAAATAAAAGTTTGTAACCAACATAACAGATGTAGTGTATTTTTAGTTGCATATTATTTTGTAAGATAGGCAACACTGAATTCAATGTATTGAAATACTAGTAGTATAAATTATTTACGTATTGCAACCAACATAACAGTGAGCTGAATTTTTTAATTGCTTACCCTACAGAAGACTTATTTAATTTTTAGGCAGGAGTAAATACAATATTCTGAAATACTAGTTGAAAATTTTGAATACAGAATCAACAATTTTAATTGCCTGGTGCTCATTTTTATATCAGTAAAAACATTTTCTAAAAGCATGAAACTTTTCAAAAAATTAAAGTGCATTTCTAAAAGCAGTTCCGAATGCATCTTGGGTCGCTAAACACGCTGCGATGGTCGGTTTTTGTGCTTCCATCAATAAAAAAAATTAAAAATTTCAAAAACTAATGGAGCTAGAGGAACTGAACGCAGTTTTGGATTGGCCAGAGCCGTTATTGTCTACTGTAATTTTTTAAGAATTTTGAGCCCTGAGAAAACCGATAGTCCATGAAAATTGTCAAAAAATTAAAGTGCTCATCTAAAAGCGGTACTGTATGCAACTAGCGTCGCTAAACACAGTCGCTATATTGAATAATTTATTATACAATTAGCCTAAAATAGTACAGACAACTGAATTTTGATAGATGGCACTAATTGCAGTTAAAAAAAATGATGCAATAGTCAAGCAGAATATTTAGGAACATGAGTGTAATTTGTCAAACCACCATTTTGGGGAAAATAAGAATGGTTCCGGTACTTGGTTAATATAAGAACTTGAGGATAATCTACAGCCACATTGAAGGAGTCGCCCTAGATATTTAACAATTAAAAAAATGTAAAACTGTCTTTTTCTTGGCAAAAAATTGGAGAAATTTGAACACTCGAAAATGTATTTTTTAATATTTTCCGAAATAAATTTTATTGGAAAAACCCCGATGAGTAAGAACATATTTTATCAAATGCTGTTTAATCTCAAATTACGTAGAAGTAATTTGCAAAAGATAAACATATTTTATATAACCCTAAAATACGTAAAAATTATGTATAATTTCAAATATTACCCGGTGAAAACGAAACCATATCAATCCCCCACTTTAGCCGCCAGCAGTGCTTTCTCTGAAGTGAACTTATCATTTCTAGGGCGACTCAATTTGATTTCGTGTGCGCATGGTCATACGGTATCAAGATGAACACGTGTCAACAGTATTGTGCAGGTATTGAGTACTTCAAAAATCATAGTAAATTATGTTAAGTCTTTCCGATTTCAATTGAAGAACCAAGAGGGTTGACATATGTACCAGGTTTGGTCGTTGACGCAACAACTCGGCATTGAAATATTTGAAAAAGCTGTTCCCATATTTATTTAGTCATACCTATATACAGGTCTGGTCGAACTAAATGTGGAGGTGGTAGAAATGTATACACCCAGTTGAAGAATGCAAGCGTGGGCAAACGAAATACAAAGACAGCTGCATTAGGCCACTGGGCAATAAATATCAGCTGTTGACAAATTGCCCAGCAGTGCAGTGCACAATGTGGAATTTGGGTGATTCAGGTAATTTTAATTTATTATAGGCACCTTCTATTAGTCATTCATTGCAAAGGGAGAAATATTATTATTACAACATGGCATTTTGGAGACCTTTTGAAACGGAACAAAACGAAATTTAATTTACCATCAATATAATAAAATTGTTTGAAGACATAAATAATTAAAATATGTTGTTGGCCAAATGAACATATAATAGAAATTTTCTACACATTATATACAAATTATAATTTTTTACCTTTAGCAGAAAACTTTTTTAGGGACGTCTATATCATTAATTTTTATTGCCTGCCGTTTTCTTATATGTTCAACTGATTTCGGAAAGACTATACCTAATGATAATTTTTTTCTTTTCATTAATAAATCATTTCTGTGGCTTTATTCTGCCTTTTATTCAAACAATACTAAAATATTTCTATATTTTAACTTGCATTTTGCTACGTAAATTTTACGTGTCAACAGTATTATGTGGCACAAAGTAGCAACAGTGTTGTCTAGGGTTAAAACAAAAATAGTACTTGTTCCACTGAATACTAATCCGAGATTAATTTTTTTAATTAAATAATAAGCTATAATTTGTTTTAAATTTGTACGTAAATTCTTGTCACTGTTATTAATCTTATAGATTTTTAGAAGTTTTTAATATAATTATTTTGTGAATCTGTGTGTCAACAACCTCTAACATTAACCTTATTTAGGTGAACTTCATAATATCAATCCACCTGATGTGATAAGACATGGCACTAGACAGACAAACAACAAGCAGATAATATTAATTTGGCAAAACATTTTAGTTTTCAGTTTCACAATGATCGTGTTTGTAATACGGTAGTTAATTTAACAACTTGCTGCGCAACATTAGTTTTTACTACAATGGAAATAGAATTTGTATAGATTATATAGAAGAAACAGCCAATTCACTGTGTAATTAGGACGAGAGCAGGTTATGTTCTCTTACACTATATGACATCACAATGTGACCAAATTTAAATTTTTACATAATTTGTTAGTCTTCCTGAAGTCAGTTGAACATGTAAAAAACGCCTGGCAATTAAATTTAATGACTCGTAGGCATCCCAAAAAAACTTTTCTGCTAAAGGTAAAAAATTATAATTTGTATGTGTAGAAAATTTCTATTATATTGATCATTTCGCCAATAACGTATTTTAATTATTTATGTCCTCAATTTTATTATATCGACGGTAAATTTCGTTTTATTCAGTTTCAAAAGTTCTCCAGAATGCCATGTTGTAATATTATTTCTCCATTTCGCAATTGTAATATCAATGATTAATAGAAGGTGCCTATAATAAATTAAAATTACCTGAATCACACCAAATTCCGCATTGCTGCACTGCACTGCTGGGCAATTTGTCAACCACTTGCAGTTGTGTTTGTATTTCGTTTGCCTGCGAGCGCATTCTTCAACTGGGCATATACATTTCTACCACCTCCACGTTTAGTTCGACCAGACTGTATATGGGTATGGCTAAATAAATATGGGAACAAGTTTTTCAAATATTTAAATGCCGAGTTGCTACATCAGCAACCGAACCTAGTACATACTGACAACCTCTTGGTTCTTCAATTGATATCAAAAAGACTATACCACTGGTAGTTCAGTTATAAACTGCAAATTCCGCTCTAGCTAACATGTGGAGTTTATTTGAGACTATATTAACCTATCCAGTGGCAGGGTGTGAAAATTACGAAAAGTTAAAAAAAATCACTTTTCAGACAGAATTTAAGGAAACAAACTTGTGATATATGTTTCTAAAGGTTAAACTTAGTCTCGGTATAAAAAACATGACACACATTCAAAGTCACACCCTGTGTAACACTGGCAAACATTTATATCCCAGATTTTATTATAAATTTCTGAATTTTTCTGAAAAAAAACAAATTTTTCCTGTCGTTATCCACTTCCCCTTAAATTTCATGCTTCTGGTCGCCACATCACAAAGGGTAAGAACCACTGGAAGAGAGGACAGAACAGGGACAGACAGATGAGGGATTTTTTCAAATATTGTTTATTTCTCTTTTATATAATCCTTAACACTAATTAATCTACTTGATGTATGTTCAGTAATAAATTAGGAGGGATGTTGTATAAGTTATTGCACTGGCGTGGGTCAAGATTGTCGTTTGCGCCAGCACCGCACCCCACACTTCGTGGAATGTAAAAAACACATGAAAAAACAAGAAGACGATATATAAATTATAAATATATTATAATATAAAAACAAAGAGGGGCCCCTACGGCCGCCATCACAATAGCTACCGACGACGCGACACTAAAAACAGTCTCTCGGTAAAAATTTTTTTAATTTACTGCTAACTTTGTACACAGCATCACCACGATTCGTAGAAAGAGTCGTCGCACGATTACTCTGATATAATGATACAGTGCGTGTATGCGCGCGGGCGTAAAAAAAACAAACGAGCAACAGTAGCGCAGCCGTGCCAGAGGGGAGCGAGTCGACCCGCGGGTAACGACGATCCGTTGTTAATCTAAACACAGCCTCGCGAAGCCATAAATACTTTTGGGCATCTTGATTACTTACTTCACTCTCAAGTATAATTCACTAAAAATTATATATAATATTTATATATAATATGTATATATATAATATGGTACAGAGGCGCTATCAAACATATGTACATTTTTTTAAAATTAATCAATCAATACATTTTACAGAGTCCGCTTCTATAATAATAATATTCAAAATATGCTACACTAATATTTACATGTGTCACGAGTCCGAGTGTCTATTGACGACGTCGCGCGATCAGTCCGAGCCGAGGCGGCTGGCGAGCAGCGCACGGCACCACTAGAGCTGCTCTACGAACTTGCTGAGCTGGTCTTGGGGTGTCATGGGGGTGACGTCGTTACCCGAGGCGTCTTGATTGGGCGCCCCGGCGGGGGAGGCGTGCGGGTGCAGCGCATTCGAGTGATTCTGACTCAGGAGCATCTCCGAGGTGGCGAGATCGTGGGGTGAGGGTTGGGGCCCGCGAGGACTCGGCACGGCCTGGTTGCGCGGGCTCGGTGCTGTCCTGGAGGATGGGCTGGGCTGTGGGCTTCTGAAAATCAATCAGTAATTTAACAAATGAAGCCAGATTTAGATTCAGTGAGAAATTATGTTGGAAAACACTTATGAAACTCAAAAAAGCCTTCAAATCTTTGCGATGTGAAGACCTGTGTAATTTTGATTTCAATGGAATGCAAAATATAAAAAAAATTGTTTATTTTAAATATTTCATAGTTATTCTCGAATACATCTGCCATTATTAATATTTCTGCTTTATGCTTTTTAAAAAATTAATTGAAAATTTCGCTTATTTCTGAAATTTCAAACAATTTCATAATTTTTTTACACTTCAAATATTCCTACAATTCTATGCGAAAAAAATTAAATTATTAAATAAAAAATTAAAATATTAAAAAATCTAACAACACCAAATATCTGACCTACCTGATAGGCGGTGGACTCCTCACGCTCTGCATCAGCTGCTGCTGCTGTTGTACCGATATGCCCTGGCCCTGGGGTGGTCCCATTACTCCCTGAGGCGAGGGTACGGGTGGCGGCGTCGGTTTCAAACCCTGCATGGGCGGGTACTGCTGATCAGCGAACGAGTTGTTATAACCCATGTGCGGCTGCCGGATGGCAGGCAGCCTCTGCTGGTACGAAGGACAGGCACCCGGCTGCTGAAAGCCCCCCTGCTGCTGCTGCTGCTGCTGGGCGGCTTGCTGTTGTTGCTGCGCCTGCTGTTGACGCTGCATGGCGATCAGCTGCTGGTGCTTATACCACTGCTGCTGTTGCGTCATGGGTTGACCAGGCCCCGGACCTTGGTTGGGCTGGTTCATCATACTGCCGGGGATCTGCATACGGGCGGCGGGGTGCTGTTGAGCTGCCGGGTTCTGCTGCTGTGTGTTGAGGATATGCTGCAGCTGCTGTTGCGGCGGAGTACCCCCTCCTGCCTGTTGCATCTGCTGTGCTTGCTGGAAATAGAAGCATCTTAAGCATACGTTTTGTGTATCCCGCAATCGTTCTTTCTTAGCATTGAAGGGATTTGTAGAAATCATATTACTGACATACCTTTTGGCGTCAAATAACGGGCTTTTTCAAAATTTTTCCGAACAAGACTGAAAACTTAGGGACTTTTCAATAAAAAATTAGTATGTCAAGCCTATAAAAGAAATAATCCAAGGCAATTTCTTGAAACTATTTAGTTTGAACCATAAATGCATTACCTACAGCTTTAAAAAAGTATTTATTTATTGGCAACAAAAGGGACAATTCTGTATTGTGCTATAAAAACCGATAAATAGTTATTTTTCTTATTTAGGCATTAAATTTTAAACTCTAATTTAATTATTTTTCTTTTAATTTAGGTACAGTACACTGAATACACAAAATCCTTGCCATATACGAAGTAATATGCTGTTAACAAAAATGTTTCCATTATATATTCACTGATTAAATATGTATTATCAATAGACTGCAATAGAACCAAGACATTTGAACTACTCCATCATAAGATCTTTGACACCCTGCTAAAATTATTTATTCACTAACCTGTCACCTTAAATTTTGACCATAAAGAATATAAATTCATAATTAATATTTAAAATATCTGTTGGACAAGAATCTGAAAATGCTTTTTTAAAATTCAGCGACAAGATACAGAATTTCCCTTATAACTTTTTAATTACAAAAATAAAAAAAGGAATAAAGTTCAGTGTACAGGAATTATTAATGTAGAAAAAGAGGTCAACTCAAAATAAAACTTAAAAAAAATTAATTGAAAAATAATAAATACATTTATGAACAATAGAAAATAATACCTGTCTCTGCTTGATGAAGGCGGCCATGAGTTGCGGGTTAGTCTTGAGTATCGACAGGATCTGCTGCTGTTGTTCGGAGGACTGGGGCGACCGCAGCGTCTGCAGTAACTGCTGCAATGCCTGCTTCTGCATCATGTTGCCAGGAGTATTGATGGGGGCGGTGCCAGGCCTTACACCCGCCTGGTTAGGCTGCATGGGCTGGCCCATCTGACCCGATGGCAGCACCTGCGGCACTTGCTGGCGGATGCCTGGCGCCACGCCACCGGGGTACCTCTGCTGCCACTGTTCCATCGGCAGAAGATTGCCGCCTGGAAATTTCAGTGTTTAAATAAAGACGGCCGACTAAACAGGCAAAAATACTAATCTGAAATATTTTTTAACAGATTGTCGAGTTATAATTAGTTTTTCAGAGTTTTGAGAAAACAAAATAATATGTGTAGCTAAAAGTTTCAGGTAGCCTCTGTATAAATTATACCTTGTAGAAATCATTATAAAATATTCCAAAAAATTTTCAATTTTGAACAAAATTTATCAAATTTGTGAAACTATGAAATTAATGAAACATTTTTGATATTTCAATGTAAAATCTTATTTATTGAAAAAAAAATAAAAAATAGCACATACCTTGCCCAGCCCCCAAATGACCGATGGTTCTTATCTGGGGTGGTGGCATGTTCTGACCAGGCACTTGGTTGGGATTGACTTTTCCATAACCAACGTGGGGCGCTTGCTGTCTCGCCGCCTCTTCCTGTACCTGCTTCACTACTTGGAGGACATTGGCTGGTGGTGTCTGGGTGCCGGGTTTCAACCCGATACCCGGCTGGTGCGGCGACTGTATTCCCATAGCTGGATTGGGTAGGCCTTGAAACAAAACAATGAACAAATGGATTCGATAAAATTATAAAAAAAAAATATGCTTACCTGTGGTCATGGGATTGGCGGGACTGACAGCGCCCGGCACCACAGGTTGCACTCCCGTTCCGCTCATCGGCACGTTGTTGGTGCCCGGTAGGGCGTTGGCCGTGGGCGCCGTCCTCGTCATGACAGCCATCCTCCTTCTCAACAACTGCGCCTGCTGCAACCTCTGCTGCAACTGTTGCTGCTTCAGCTTGTGTTTGATATTGGAGCAGAAGGGCACGGGGCACTTGGTCTCCTGGCAGTGTTTGGCATGGTAGCAGCATAACGCTATGAGCTGCTTGCAGATGGGGCAGCCGCCGTTGGTTTTGCGCTTGCACACCTTCGTGTGCTGCACCACACGCTTCATCTTCTGGCAGCTGGGCAGGCGGCAGTTGGCATCTCGGCACTGACACGCGTGCACCAAGGACTGGATGCACCTCTAAAATGAAAAAACAAAATAGTCGCATAAATTGTAACCATGTCACATTAATCTGTTAACAGCCAATTTATCTGCTACCCAAATATAAACGGATAATCTGTTGAATGTCATCATTAAAGAATACGAATCGTGGAATAGAATTGTGTATCAGACCAGTAGTTCAAATGAACCGATGATTAGTCCGAGTTCAGAATTTTATATATATAAATAATAATATATTTTTGCGAAGTCATAAAAATAGTAGTTGCATAAAATCTTTTTGGTCATATAAGAAGAGTATTTCAGAAAAATTATAGGCTCTTCTAATTGTACCAAATTTTATTCTTTGTTGTCGCTTCTGTTTCATAAATTACATCAAATGTTTTATATTATACAAATTCCATTTTTACTTTTCGTTTTAACTAATTATCAAATTTTATTTATTTGTTGTTAACTGTTGGAAGTAATATGAATATCGTTGACAAATTTTGGAATAATTCTTTACTTTCATGTCAATGAATAGTATGACTCCACTAATTATCTGTCAGTTCCGAGTTATCACAAATCAACGAAACTTGTAAAAAATAAGTTAAAACTTAAAACAATTGAATTTTTTTCAGAATTTGTCTACTTTTTTTGCAGAAGAACTCTGTATTTTGTTCTATCATGAATCAGCCTTAACACCGATAATAATTTGACTGTTTGTACTGTTGAAAGAATAATGAATAGAATCTTGTATCAGGCCAGTAGTTCAAACGAACAAATGACTATTTTAAAGTTATAATTTTATTTTAAACTACCTGTAAATAAATATACTAAATAACATACCAGGTATATAATTAAATTTATCAAAACGAACATATATAAGAACCTCACTGACCTGTATCGATAATTTCCTCGCTTCTCCTGGATTGGCTTTGCTCTCGCTAGGCGAGCTGCCATCGTCCAAGTCCAGACCGAGCTTCTCCATCTTGTGCGGGTGGCCTTCCTTCTCGTAGCACTGCACGCACAGGTCAAAGTCCTCACAGAAGGTGCAGTGGTAGCGAGTCTCAACATGCTTTTTGCAGCTATTGCAGGTGTAGACGAACTTGTCCTGGCCTTGGTTATGCAGCTCATATAACAGGGACATGGTGCTGTACTTGGCACGACGTAACGAAGAAAACTCGTAATGTTTCTCACGAGCCAATGTGAGGAACGCATCTCGTCCATCCATGAGATCACAGTTAATGAATGGGTCTGGATCGTGAATGGGCTGCAATAGGAACAAATTAATAAATACAATTTGGAAAGAAGCTTACGTTTACCTTCAAGCTTGCGGCAGACTGCACAGAATGCAACCTGATAACGAAAAACACCTCCTTATGCTTTTCCATTGTGGCGAAGATCTTCGCCGATAGATCATTACCTGTCTGAGGAGTGTTTGACTTCTTGCTGCTGTTTTTTCTCTGATTCGCCTTTGACTTGGTGCTCTTCTTGGCTTTTTTCTGGCCCTTCTTCTTCCCATCGGGACCCACTTCACTCTCCTCCATTGAAGAAAATATCTGAAAATTGTACATCTTTAATAAGATTTGGAAATTGTTAAGACTGTAGAGAGAGACTTACAGCAGCCTCTGCGGCTTCTGCTTGCTTCCGCTTCTCTTCTTCTTCCTGATCTAATTCCTTGATACTTTCTTCTAAAACGTTTGGCCAAAAGTCTCCCTCAAAATAAGGAAGATCCGCGGCTGACCTTAAGTTGTCCTCCATTGCTTGTTTAAGAATATCCTGTAAAAAAAAAATCAGTTCTCAGTTGCTTTGTTTGAATATATTCTTTTGAATTGTACCTTATAATCTAGTACTATCCTCTCGATGATGCCCTTATCTAACATCTTCTTATACCAGTCTTGCAATCTCTTAGGTTTCGGTATCTTTTGGTCCACTGGATGGCAATGGAATATATAGTCGTCGCCCTCCGAGGGGGGGCACGCCCATATGTGGGCCATCGTGTACCCCAACTGTTTCACATAGTCCATGTAACCCAACAATATCTCATGATAAACGGCAGTCCTGAACTGTCTCGGCTTGAAAAAATGCACTGAGTCTAAGTATGCTATATAGACGCGCCTCGTGTTGGGAGGAGGACACTCCGATCCGTATTCTTGGACATGCATACCGAAAAAACAAACGTCCACACCGTCAATCTCCTCGAAAGCAAATAGAGCCTTTGCACGGTAAGGAAACTCGCCTGCCAGCTCGCCGGTCTCTACGAATTTGCCGCGCATGCCCGGTTTTACCTCAACGACCTTCTCCGAGCTAGACACTACCCTGATCGACACTTCGCCTGCCCCAGCCTCTTTCTTTTTAAGGAAGATGTTGACGCGGTTCTCGATGTAGATGCCGAGGTTGGTGACGGGCAAGCGTTTCGCATTGAACTTGTTGTCTTTCCGTTTTTGTCCCTTGAGCTTGAGGCACTCGTCGCAGGTGAAACCTTGGGGCCATATCGCCTCGATATGCAGCACGCAGATCTGGTGGAGCTTCCTACCGCAGTCTGTGCAATGGACGAAGGCCTCCATCTCTAAGTGATCGTTCTTCATTTCTTTGAACTGGTCTTTCTTTATTGCACTATAAATTGAAACACTTCATGGCAAAGAACATTTTAAAAGTAAAAAAAGTGCTATTTTTTATACAAAATTTTGTGAAACAAAGTAAAAATTAGATATTTTTTAACTTTATTTTGAAAGTTTTACTTTACTTAAAAATGCATTATTGAAACAATTATATACTGGAAGAACTTACGTTTGTGCCTGGGTCGGATCATCACCCAGCGTGACGGTGTCCCCTTGTATATCGTTAAAGCACTTCTGGCAGAAGGTGTATCTGTCGGAGCCGAGCCCATACGCCTTTAGACTGTGTGTTCATAATGCACCACACATCATACGCATCAAGCACAACACACCGAGGCGATTGTGTTAAATATGATGTGGAAGGTGAAGGGTGGGACAGAGAAAGAACAGGAAAAAAACATACATGAACAAATGTGTTAGAAGCCTGCCGGGCTAGTGAATCGCTAAAGTGATTACTACTGGGCAGAATAGTCTAATTATTCTAATTAGCAGTTGCATAAGTTGAACAGTGAAATATCGTGCAAGATATTTCATGATTTTTTTTAGGTAAAAGAAAAAATTATTGGTTACCGCTGTGTGCCAAATTGAAACAGGAAATAGGAAATATTTGATTAATAAAATAGCATTTTTCATCCCCTACTTCAGTTTCTCACCATATTTTAGGAACATTTTGTATACTGTAAGTTAGTACTCCCACACCAAGCTTAACTGATAAAAATTATATATTCAACGATTATACAAATAAAAAGTTTTATTTTTATTTAATTAGTGAAGTCAAAGAATTTTTGCAATTTTTTTTGTTTCTATTATACTTTTTAATAAAAAGTAAATTATTAAGAATTTAATTTCATTAATAGTGACAAATTACTTAACAAATTCCATTTACAATCTTGATAATTTTATTACATTTCTAGATTTTTTTTTAATTCTATTATACTTTCTAATACAACGTAAATTATTAAGAATGTAATTTCATTAATACTGACAAATTAATGAATTAACTCCATTTACAATCTTGATAAGAGCCCCACCCAACAAAATTAGTTTATTGAAGATGGTACATTTGAACTACTAAATAATAAGTTAACGACCAATTCAAAGCATTTTGGAAAATTTTAAAATAAAAACATGCATTAAGATGCAGTGCTAACACAATTTTAGATTCAATCAGTATTGAGTTAACAAACTAGTTAGTTATTTTCTGTACAGAGAATGACTCAATATTATACATTTTTTTTTTGGTTTATTCATTCTGAAAATAACTTAGATCGATATATAAACTAAAATGAAACAGTTGCTAAATGTCATTTTAAACAAAAAAAGTATTTATGACCAATAGGTCTAAAATAACTTAGTAAAAAGTTGAGATTAACAAAAACACTTTTTTCAAATGAGATATATTATGACGTGATTTATGACATCATTTTTCTGAAAAGGCATATTTAGAAACACAAAATTTTAGTGTTTTTGGATCTGTGAAAAATATTTGCTTGATAAAACAGTTTTTCCTATCTTCTGTTTTAGTTTGGCACCATATTTTAGAAACATCCTGTAGAATGTTAGTTAGTACTCCCACTACCAAGCTTAACTGATAAAAATTATATATTCAACAATTACTTAGATCAAAATTTACATCAATTCACATATTTTATTAATGAAGTGAAAGAATTTTATTACCACATTTGTGCAAAATTATATTTGTTTTACATTATACTTTTTTAATAAAAAGAGAATTATTAACATTTATATTTTATTAATATTAACAAATTAATGACCCAATTCCAGTTACAACCTTGATAGAAATGGTTGAGTTCCACCAAACAAAATTAATCCGTTTATTCAAGTAGGTGCATTTGAACTACTAAAACATTAAATTAAACAAAAAAATTATAAAAACATTTTAGAAAATTTTAAAATAAAAATCTATTACGTATTTTTAAATGTAGTGCAACTGCTTATTCAATTAAAAATGAAAATTTTATTCTACCAGTTAACAAGTAAATGGATTAAATTAGATATCTTTTGTAAAGCTAAGAATATTGCACAATATACAGGGTGTAAATAAATAAGTGAAAAAATTAAGGGGCGATTCTGTCGAAAAATAAAGTGGGTCTTTCATATAAAAAAAATCTGATTTGAACATCTGTGGAGATGGAACCGCTTAAAGAGGCTGCCAAAAAAGTAGTTTTTAATTTTTTATTGAAATGCCAAGAAAAATGACAGAAATTAAATTAAGTAGTTTCCTGCTATCGAGAAAGCCTCCTCAGTAAACTATTTGTCGATTTTCCCCTACGGTTGTAAAGGGTAGAAAAAGCCACCCCTAAGACTTGTTTCATACGTAACACTTTTTCTTATTAATGTCTACCATTTAAAAATTCATTTCAGAAGCTTCATTCATTCTAAACAAGAAAGGTCCCCTGCAATTTTTTTTGTAAAATTAATGGTTCTGAACAAAAAAATTATTTAAAATCAATTACATGGAATGATTGGCATAGGTTAGAAATTTTATCGAACTGTAAAAGAAAATGTCTATTTAATTTCATTTCTGTAATTTTTTTGGTATTTCAGAAAAAAATTAAAAACCACTCTTTTGGCACCCTATTTAAGTGGTTCACAATCTTTTATATTAAAGACCCACCTCATTTTATGACGGAATATCACCCCATGAACTTTTTCGCATTTATTTATTTATACCCTGTTAACATGTTTTGATTTATTTGTTTTGAAAATAACTGAAAACATCAATATCTAAGAATTTTTTCTATACAGAAATTATTTTAGTTTTAAAATAAATGATATTAAATAACTTTACGGAAAACCTGCATAAGGAATTAATGTGTTTTCATTTTGTTTTAAGAAATTTCTCCATTTTATGGAAACCCAGCTTCTTTTAATAATAAATCCAATGTGCCTTTTTATTTATTTTTTTTACAAAATAATTCAAACACTGTGTTTTACAAAATGTTTTAGATTATAAATAATGTAATTCATCATTTGTTTGAAATTAATCTATTTGTGTCCATTATTCTTTTTAATCTTTTTTAATAAAAACTAAATTATTACAAATTTGATTTCATTAACACTAATAAATTAATGATTTAGTTCCAGTTACAATCTTAAGAACGGCTGAGGGCTCTACCAGTTAGTTTATTCAAGTAGGTACGTTTGAACTACTAAAATATTAAGTTGTACAAAAGGTACATCTAGTTGTAAACATTTTAGAAAATATTAAAATTAACATTCTAATGTAAAAACGCATTGCAACTGCATATTATCTATATTTTTTGGTTTCTTATTATTAAAAATAACTAAAAACTTTATATAAGAATTCATTTACAGAAACAAGCATACCATTCATTTCTTGATCGTACATTATTTTACAAGAATATCGATTAGCTTAATTCAATAACGTTTTGAAGCAAATGACATTAAATAATTTTTCGGAAAACATGCATAAGGAATGAATGTGTTCACTTTTTCTTTGAAGAATTTCTCCATTTTGTGAAAATCCAATTGCTTTCAATAATAAATACATCAATGTGCTTTTTCAATTAATTCTTAAAGAAATAATTTAAAAAATCATGTTTTTTTTACCAAATACTTTAGAGTTGATCATCCAATTGTCTTTCACAAGTTAAAAAAACTCCAAAATATACATATACACAAAGATCTACATATACAACACAAAAAACATACCTGTTCTGGTAGCTGTAGTACTTGGCATCCCTGGGAATGGTACATAGCTGCTTCCCGTAGCAGCACAGCACCTGAGGATTGAAGGTATACTTCCTGCCACAGCAGTAACCCATCGATTGCATCACAGGATCGATCTCCTGCTCGAAAACCTCCGACAACTGCAAAAAACCAACAATCGGTAAACCGAAATCCTGCCGATTAAACTTCATTCTCCCTTACCTTAGTGCAATACCTGTACACCCTGCTGGTCTTCCTGTTGTATAACCAAGCATTGTCAAACATCAACCACACGTCATCCACGTACTCCCAGGGGTCTGCGTACTGGCCGATGTCCAGTTTCCGCTTTATCGTTGACAGGTCCATCGGCCTCTTCACGATATCAAAGTAATCGGGGATGCCCAGGCTTTGGGGATCGACGGGCTGCCTAAAGGGTATGCTTTCCGGGTCTTGCCTGAATAGTTTCTCTAAGGTGGGCATGAGCTTCTGACGCAGCTCATCAGGCTTGAATACTGCAAGGAAAAGAAAATTTTGTTTTATACATATAAATTTATATAATTTTTTCGAAATACGGTTTTCTAAGGATTATTAGAAATGGGATCTTTTGTTTTAAAATGGTCCTATTTTTTAATGGCAACATATTATTTTATATCATGAAATTATTGATTTATGATTTTTTATTTTTTTGGCAATTTTAGTCGAAATATTTTTTTAAATAGGAATAAAATTCCTCAAATAATCAAGTTACTGACGAAAAAATCAAACAAATTACTCTTTTTTTTTCTGACACTTGAATACAGCTAAAATTTATCAGAAGTGGGATCATTTGTTTTAAAATGTATCCGTTTCCAAATCACAAAAAAAGAATAAAACAAACAAAATATTAATCAAGTCTTCGACTTACTCTTGTGTTTCCTCTCTCCCCCGGGTCCGGCAGCACTGGCACCGTCCGTTATTTGAGGTTTAATGTCCCCGGAGCCATCAGAAGCGTTCGGTTCCTCCTTAATCAAGCCCGGTTCCTCCTTAATGGAGGCACCTCCCTCTTCCATGGGTTCCGATGTAATCTCCGTCTTTATCTCTGTCTTAATCTCGTTCTTGATGCCCTTGCCGCCATGGCCGTCGCTCTGGAAGTCATTCATTTCTCCGTCTTCTTGTTTAATGTCCGTCTCCATCTTCATCTGCTCCAGTTTGCCTTTGTTGCCGCCCGAGGGCGGCGAGGGAGAATCCTCCTCCCTGTCAGCCGCTACAATAGCCGCCATCTGGGACGATAATGATGACTGCCTGGGTGCGTTAAGAGCTGCTCGTTCTGCACTGCTCATGCCCTTACCTGGAAATGATATCAGATTAATTTTCATAATTACAAAAATACATGCTCCAACAATCACTGAACTACACCCACAATATCTAGTAAACAGTAATTAATAGATAGTATATTTAAATAGTATTAATTCAAAAAGACATATTTCAAAATAGCCATGATAGATTAGATATTACTATTGCTGCACTAGAAAAATTGACATTAAAAAAAAAAACGCTCACCCATACTGGCTGCCGCGACTGCTGCCGGAGAAGACTGCACAGGTGTGGCAGGAGCCGGTGACGCTCCCCTGGAAGAACTAACAGACTTGGGCCCCGACGTGGTCGGCAACGGAGTCGTCACGGATTCCGCCGTCGAATTGGGTATTCGAGGTGCGCCATTCTGGGCGGTGCCTTGTTGGTTGGCCTGCGGCATACCGGGCTGAGGCTGCTGTTGGGACTGTTGCTGGACGAAACTGGAAGGAGAAGGCGATATCCTGTTCGTCTTCAGCATGTCACTGAACTGATTGGGTTGGGAATTCTGACCGGCGGGGGATACTTGTGGTAGACTGACGGGCCCGTTGCTTGCGGTAGGGAATTGGTTGGTGGGGGTGGTGGTGGTGCTACCTTGAGACAGCGGGTTGCCGAATGGCGACAGGCCCGTGTTGGAGGTCGTTGGGCTGGGTCCTGGTAGCCCGACCACGTTTGGTTGAGGTTGGGATTGCGGGACGTTTTGTTGCATGGTAGGTTGTTGTTGTTGTTGTGGTTGGACAGGGAAGATGAGTCGGTTGGTGGTGGGATTGAGTACTCCGAGCCCTGGTATGCTGGGGGAGTTACTTCTTAGTCCCGCTTGGGGTTGACCCGGCTGTTGCTGTGGCGGGCAGGGTAGAATGGAACCAGGCGGCCTCGCCACTAAACCTTTAAAAAAAATGATATATATAAAACTGGAGCTGTTACTTTTTAATGCCAAAATATATCGAAATAAAAAAAAATTCAAATTTTTTATTATAAATTTATAAGAGCTCCAATTTTAACAAATCAAGACTGATAAAATATTTTTTTTTGTTCCGAAAAAGTGAAAAATTGACAATATAATTTTTTAAATCAAACTAAAAATCAACCTGTAAAACACCTACAAAATTGCAACTATTGGATAAAATACTTTATTGAATAATTCAAACTATTTAACTTCAAAACTGAAAACAATTTATTTTTGACAAAATAGAAACAAGTTAGGAACTGCTTATACAGGATGTTGCACAAATGAGTGCAAACAATTTAAAAGATGACAGAATATAAAAATTAGGCAATATATGAAATATAAATATAATATGCGTAATCTAGAAAAATGTGTAAAAACTAAAAACCCCAAGATAAATGCACCAGAATTCATAAGAATAAAATTCTGGCAGTTTCTGAATTTTTTCATATTGATTTTATTTAGAATTTTAAATACTACCAAAATAAACTGATGTGTGGCTAATTATTCTCCTGTTTTATGAAAAACCGAAAAATTATTTTTATTTTCAGCAATTAAAATAAATTCACCTTAAAAATTTATAATTGACAAGAAAAAATAAAATATGGAACTATTTTCCAGAATAAACAATTGGAATTTTCAATAATTCCATAAAAATTCAAGAAATGCCCTAATATCTCTAAATTCTAAAAAATTCGGTTTTTTGTATTATTTTTTTTTTTAGCCGCTAGGAATTCTTTCCGTATTTCACCATACTCCTAAGTTAGCAGATCTTACCTTGTCTGATGGGCTGCTGCTGAGTGTGTTGCTGCTGCAGCTGCTGCTCCTTCCTTTTCTGCCTCTTCTCTTCCAATTCCTTCTGAATCTTGTATATCTTCTCCGCTAACAGGTGATAGTACTCCGACCTCGAATTGGCCATCTCGTACATATCCCCTTCCACCTTCCTGGCGTACGCCACTAGGTTGTGCATTCTCTTATCGAGCAATGCCTGGGGATCTGGTGTGGGGAAAATTGCCTGCACTAATTTGTGAACAAGGTGATTCCTGAGGTCGGGTGTGACGGACTGGTGCCACTCCTTGGTGCCGGTCACTGGAGAAGCAGTCACCTGGCCTGGCTGTAAGCCGCCCGGTAATTGACTAACCAAGCCCTGGTTGGCGGCCTCGGCGCCACTCGCCAAACCAAACATGACGCTGTTGACGCTTTGCTGCAGGTTGGCCGCCGTCTGGTTGACTCCCTGGGCTTGTATGGCGTTGGAGGTGGGGTCGCTACTTAGAGGCAGGCTGACGTTTGGGGCGGCCGAGATAGGAGGCGCAAGTACACGAACGCCCTGCATGCTGTTACCTAGATTAGGTATGTTGGGCGCCGCGTTGATTGGTAGCCTGATACCGGGCCTCGGTTGGGCAGCAGGATTGGGAATAAGGCCGGCGGGAGTGGGACCTGTCGCCGTGGTGGGGCACTGGATGCCCAGGGCGTCATATGCCCTCCGCATATCGGTTGCTGAAGGGTTGGGCGATTGATTATTCGGTGGTGGATTTGAGGTTGCTAAAAGGAACGTTATTAAAGAAACATTTTTTTAATGAAACAACAAAAAAGATACCACTGAATCTAAGGTCTAAAAGAGAATTTTAATAAACTTACATCTTTCCATCTTACTAAAGGATGTCAAAATTGCCAGAAAATTTGTGTTTTTTCTCATATAACCTCAAATCAAAGATTACAACCAAATTCCTGCAGGAAGTGAAAGAAACATAACTTTTCATAAATAAATTTACATAGTTTTGTAGTTAATTTTGAAAATACAAAGTTGTTAATAAAGCTAAACGTTATATATTTTTTAAATGGAAAAAACCTTTTTAGCCTGTATAATATGAACTATGTACTACTGAAAATAATAATTTCCAATAATTTTAGTGAAAGAACATTCATTTCATTTTTATCAAATATTTCACGACAGTAAGATCAAATGTGTCTAGAAAATGTGTTGGTATTTTATAAGAAAAAAACTTGTAAAAGATGCATAGCTTTATGATAAAATAAAAGGCTGAAGTGGTAGTCATCCACAAAAAAAAATAGTGAAAAAAGAAAGGTCGGTTTCCCATTTCCAAGAAAACAAAATTTTTTAGCAACTTTGATTCCCAGCAGCTAGACAAAACAATTTTGGATAGAGTTTAGTTAAATTGTCTTATTTTTTATTTCAACACCTAGATTCAGTAGGATAATTTTTTCCGTTTCATATAAGAACACCCTGTACAGTGTGCACCACTTAAAACTTCTCAATCTTGCATATGCCGATTTTAAGATATTAAAACAAAACATCATATTGTAGATTTTTTCAAGGCATTCTGAATTGTTTAATTAAGAAAAAAACTGATTGTAACAAAATAGCGGTTGTAGAAAATTTATTGTCCCGGTTGCATTTTCTCTTTAATGCACTGTATAAAAATTTATAATGTCATCGAACAGACCAGGGAAAGACGTGAGGTGTTCAAAATTGGATACGAATTATATGATATTAACTCAAAAACTATCAGATAGAAAACATGATTAAATTGGAACAAAACTTTTTTTTTTAATTGTCAGTGTTGCGAGAAACAACTATTCTGAGGGCTATATGCCCCTACCGGTATTGAATTATACTCGCAACACCTAGGATCGTTCGCCAGTTTAACCCACCAGACACAGACCGATTTCGGACTTATTAGTCCTCATCAGTGTGCCTTAGGTGAGACAACCGATGAACGATCCAGCTGTTTTGCGTCGTATCATCATGACAAGGAAATACATTGTACGCGGGGGGACAAAACTGTCGAATTAATAATTTCTCAGAGAAGATATTCAGATTTTGATTTTATCCTTTTCTGGATTTATTTGAACAAAAATCTGATTCTAAATTCGAATAGTAGACTAAACATCGTATTAAGAAAGTATTATTATCGTATAGATTTAAAAATTAATCCAGGAAACCATGAATATGAAATTGAAAAGTTTCCATTTTTCTTTTAATTCTAAAAAATAATAAATATATTGTCGATTTCTATTTGAGAGATATTACGAGTTTTACTCCAAATTTTCCACATATTTTAAAAATTTTCCAGATTGCACTAACCTACACTTGATATATAAAAAATAAATGTTCAACACCCGCACTTTGTTGTAATCAGTTAATTTAAGATTTGAAAAGATTTACACAATGCTATCCCGATTGCCACATCTTAAATTAATTATTGGAGGAACAAGCTTGGGAAGCTGTAATTGGAGCACCCTGTATAAAAAACCGTCATTCCCTCACTTACCATTTGGATTATTTCTATTCTTGTCCGCCTGCTTCAACGGTAGGCAGACGGGACAGTCCGTCCGGATGCAGTTCTTCCAGTGGCTAATGATCTGCCTCGACGAACTGCAATGCGCCACGGAACAGCTCTTGCCGGCATTGCAGGTCGTCATGTGATTGAGGACATTCTTCATGGTCTTGCAGTGGGGTAGCGTGCATGACCACACCTCCCCATTGGCTTGAGACTCCCTCCGTTGGCACTTATGCGCATGCAGCAGGAGAACAAGTTGCTGCTGGATTAGCTTGCGCTTCTCTGGGTCTGCTGGGTAAAGTAATTTGAAGGACCAAGTTAAAAACAGAACGGCATGCAACTACTGGGAGAGACTTAAAGATGGAAATAAAACGATTAAGCGGAAGGTTGAAAAAACATTTCTTCTTGGTATTAGACATTGATTTCTTTTAAATTTGAATGAAAATTGTAAATTTTGCAACAACAAATGAAAATGCTTTTTTTATGTGACAATTATCGTTCACAAGACAATTATCGTTCACCAGTTACATTAATGGTAGCAACAAGTTCAGGAATTAAAAAAGTATTTCATCTCTGGTAGGAAATGCAATTTTTTCTACTCATATATTAAAAATAACTTTTCATCTAATGATATTGTGGTAAACAACTACTCTGAGGGCTACATGTCCCATTCAGCATTGAATTACACCCCCAATATCTAGTAATATTGCCAGACATAGATTGGTTTCCAGCTTACTAGTTCTCATCAGTATGCCATTGGTAAGACGCCCGACAAAAGGATTTAGCCTTTTGGATTGGTATAACAAATAAAGCATATGAGAAAATACTTTAAAAAACTAAAATTGCTAACTCTACCCTGTCTGTTCATCTTTGATATATTAATGTATGTTAAAAATAATTTATAAAGTCTACAATCAATGGAAATTTGTAGTCACATAAATGAGTAGAAAAAATATTTTTAACAAATCCACACTACATATACAGCGTGATAAAAAAGTTCTGCATAAAATTCATATTTTCATTAAACAATTTTTTTTCGAAAAACGGTGAGACCCGTCGATTTTTATTTGATCCAGGGCACCTTGTTATGTGGAAAAATTTTTTTTTCAATGTCCATTTACGTTTACTGGCCGGTGGAGTGGCCTCCGCGTTCGCCTGATTTAACACCTCTAGACTTTTTTTTGTGGGGCTATTTGAAATTGCGTGTGTACACTAACAGACCAGGTGATTTGGAATAACTTAAAAACCGTATTCGTTTTGAAATAAATCAAATCGACCCGGGAATGCTTGAACGAAGTGTAGACGGCGTTTACACACGCTTAGGACAATGCCAAATGGTACAGGGTGGGCAATTCGAACAATTTCGCTAGACTTACACAAACATTAGTGTAATTTTACTCGTTTGAAATGTAATTTTGTCAACTTTGTCCTTTTCGGAGCCATTAATAGTGTAAGTAGACAATTATCACTTATAAGAACTTAAGGTGCATTTTTCTAAAAAAAATTGTTATGTAAGACATCGAAATTTTCACACCGTTGTTTAGATAATTATCACTGTCATCAATTTCGAACGAAAAAAATATGCGTTGTCATTTAAAAAAAAAATATGTCATCGCTGCCGTAAGTGGATTATCGAAAAAAAAATTTTTCCACATAACAAGGTGCCCTGGATCAAATAAAAATCGACGGGTCTCACCGTTTTTCGAAAAAAAAATTGTTTAACGAAAATATGAATTTTATGCAGAACTTTTTTACCACGCTGTATATTTCTAGTTGATGGAAAACAATTCAATGGTAACATTTTTATAACGTGCAAGTTATAAGTTTTTTGGTATAAAATGAAGGAACTATCAAAATGAATAACAAAAATGTTTTCATTTGTATGAAGAAATAAAGAAAAAAATTATTACTCAAAAACTAAAAAAAGATACAGTAATTTTCTACAAAAAGTTTTTTACGCTTTGTATGGAAATAAACAAAATATGGTAAATAATTTAATTAATTTAGAATTTAAATTATGAAAATTATAAATTTAACGTTTATATTTCCAGATTTTTTAATCTGTGGCCAAAAATTGTTCAAAAACAAATTAAAAGCAATGATATTACAGGAAAAACTGCTCTATGTGCTATAAGACCCCAGCTAGGATCAATCAGTCAACATATTTTACTTTTAACAAATAAATTGTTCAGAAAAGACGATATGATAGGGTTTAAAATTTTTAGTGGTTTGTTTATAATCACGTGAAGTGTTCCTTTTTCCTTCTAATATATGACTAAGGTACTACTGCATATTCTTTTTTTTTTTTCAAGTAAACTCACAAATAGAAATAATTAATTATAAAACTAGATAAGAGCAATTTCTTCTACATTTTTAAATGAATTTCATAATTATTAATGGGACAAACTTACAATTTTTTAAATCAATGCCTATATACCCTTCACCCACAAAAACACCAAATTACACAGTCTACAGTTCACAAAAAAGAAATATAAAGAAAAATCCTTTAACTCCTAGGGGAAAAAAGCAAAACAAACGGCAGCAAGTGGAGCGACTTCCAGACATCTGGTGGAGCACAATTACGAGATAGAGAGATCGAGACACATGCACAAATCGAATAAAACTCACCTGTCGAGGGTGCCGGGGGAGCGCCTGAAGGCGCCCCTTGGTTTTGCGTTGCCTGCTGTGGCCCGGATTGAGATCCGCTGGGCACGCCAGACTGAGGCTGTGCAGGAGAAGGCGCTGGTGGCTGCGTCTGAACGATACCCCCCTCGCCGCCACAGCCCGTCGGACCTCCAGGCCCGGATTGCGGCGCTCCGAACCTCGGGCACTGATTTGGCATGTTTAACTTCGGTTGGGGAGTTACTACCCCTGGGGGAGCAATAAAATAAAAGGGAAGGTATTAATGTTTCGAATACGCACTGAATATTGTTTTTTAATTTGCCAAATTTACAGAATACCGAAAAATTTGGGAAAATATGAAAATATCTGCAATGCTGAACCATTTTACGATTGAGTACTACAACTTAAGCGTTTTTATTAATATTACTTCATAGACATGTTTGACAACTATTACTCAAGTAAATGGGTAATTTTTCCAATATAATTCATAATTGAAGATTTTGATGCAAATGAATGTTCCTGCATTTTCAAATATTTACTAATATCTTTAAAACATATTCTAAACACATTTATTTACAGTAGTCACAAGATGTACGTGAGAAAAATAATATTAGTTTTAAACCACTCACCAACTTGAACCCCCTGCGGTCTGGCGTTCGGATTAGGGTACGAGTAGGGAGTATTCCCAGGCATTCCTTGAGGTCCACAGAGCTGGGGCCCCTGCAGTCGTGGTCCCATATGTATTGAACCGGCACCCCTCTGGTTCATGGGCATGTTCACACGGTTTATCATCGGACCGTTGGGGAGGCCCTGTGGCACGTTGTGGTTGCCAGGATGCTGGGGATGGCCAGGCGTGAACATGTTCGCGTTGTTCAGGGGTTTGTTCACGCTGCTGCTGACCACCAGACCGCCGCCCGCCATGCCCCCCATTGTGCTTATGTTGCTGCTAGTCATTATCATGTTGCCCGCGCTATTACTGATACCTGAAAGGATAGTATAAATAAGGAGCAAGATAAATTGTGGGAAAAAAAAACAATAACAGAAGTGAATACAAACCCTGAATAGAACTCATAACTTGGGGAGAACCGCCGTTGTTGGCCATGGATTGAAGACCTGAATTGTTCGATACGCTTGACGGCAGACTGCCCAGGTTCATTTGATCTACCACACCGCCTTTCGCCACCGATACGTTTGGAGGAGACTGAAGGTTAGGGCTCTTGTTGCCCAACTGACCGTCTGCCAAAGCAAGTGCATTTCCAACTAATCCCTTGTTACCCTGTAAAAATTAAAGCGCTTAACATCACTCACAAATTTTTTTATTTATTTATTTCAAAAATTGGACAAAGAAACTGCATCACTCCTTTATCAAATCTTCTCTTTGTTTAACTTTAGACCCTTAAAATGGTGTTTAGAGAAAAATTTATCCTCATCTGCCTACCTGTTGCTGAAGGAGGTGGTTGAGCTGCATCTGCCTCAAGTTATTACTGTCCGTAATTTCGATGCCATTGGGCAATCCACCCGGTCCCGGACCCTGAGCAGGTGGTTTGGTATTGCCCATGTTGTCAGATAGACCCCAAGATGAGCTCGGCCCCAAAAGCTCGTTGGGCAGGTCATTTTCCAAATCAAACATGTCCATATTTGAAAGCACATCTATCAAGAAAAAGCACATATTACAAATATTCCGTTATTTTGCTATAAAACGATGTGTATAACCTTAAAATTTTTATTTTTGTCTACAAAAATCCAGGTTATTTATAAAAGTATGCTTTAAAAATGGAAACGAAAATAAAAAAAGACGCTTAACAAAAACTTTAAAAATTTATTATTTATCTAATATTTCCTTTTTAAAGCATACTGTTTAATGTCTATGATGTAATGCATGATAAATGTTACGAAACAAGCATACAGAAAATTAAGGCAAACATGGCGGCACATATAGACTTTACAGAAAACAGAATTTGATTTTAAGGCAAAATCTTACAGCCTTATTTTCAATAAAGTAAGTCATTAAACATAAATCTTCACATTGTGTAAAAATTTTAATAGATTTAAGAAAAATTGTACTGACAGCCAAAAAACTTAAACTTAAAATTAATTTCAAAAAGTATATTACATAGACTAGAAAGGGAATTGGTGAGTTAGATCTACTACATGTAATTACTATATATACATTCTAATAAATAATAAATTAAAAGAATGTTTACATTCAAGTGCTATAATTATTAGAAGCATTAAAATAACAAATTCTTGCACACTGCAAAATGTTACTTAGTGAAGCTTTGTTATGGTCAACTGAAATGATTCAAACAAAGAAAAATCCTAATTTACCTCTAATTATTGTTGTTTATGTTATTTATTTATTCCTTTGGCATTAAGTAGGTAATCATGAATCTTGCAAAAGATCTATTTTAAAATCATTCATCAAACATTACTATTACATAATTAAGAAAACCTTTGTCTCCCTCCTATAATATATGTACTACAAAAATTTAATTCAAGTTTATTATATTAAAAGTGAAAAATTCATCAAAATTAGTTTTCAAATGTGCTTTCATGCATATTTCTTTACAAAATATTCAAAAAACGAAAATGAGGTTATGAAAAATCAAACATACATCCATATTTTATCATAACAACTTGTGATATCGTATAACAGAATTTATTATGAAAAAAAAAAAAAAAAAATTGACAAATATCTACTTTGAATTCCATTTTTGTTAAATTGCAATGCTGAATCATTTAAGAAAAAATGGATGCACCTACTGTGTCACAAACAGTTCTTTCTAAATTAATAAAAAATTGCAGTATTTTTTACAGTGCAAAAATAAACGATAGTATTTACCCACAATCAAGGCTAATAAAAAATTTACTACCATAACCAAAACTAAAAGAATTTGTTAAATTACTGCAAGTACAGAAATATCAACATCTAGTAAGTTCGACATATTGTTTTATAACCTGCTTACTCAAATTAAAGGTATACTAAAGTAAATTTGATTCTTTAAAATACACACGATGTAATATCGTAACGGTATTAGAGCAATTCCTTAACCATGAGTACAAGTTTGGCCATGCACATTATTTTGTGTTTTATCTATGACAAAGCAAGCGAAGTAGATATATGTTAGGTCTGTATCATATTTTTCAATTTAAAAAATAAAGTTGCTACGACAAATGGAAAAGTTAGTTGTTAGTTGGTAAGTACTGTTTTTGGTATTAAGGGTGTATTTACTTTGCTGGCTATAGTTCCATTGGTGCCTTGGATTCGAAACACCACCACCCATTGACGTCTGTGTGGACCCCAAGCCATAGTTGAAAGCTATTATTAGGTTTAAAAAAATATTACTCCAAATAACCAAATCTCTTACACATTATAATTCAATTAATAGCTTTACAGGTAAAAATTTGTAAAAGAGAAAACGAAAATTTCATTTTCAAGCTAAGAATAATGATACCTATAACCTGTTTAAAGCAACACCCTTATCTATGCTACAAACTGCAGTCAGGGGTTGGTTAAATTTTTATATAATATACAACTCTGCAGATGCTGTTCAAATTTGACAAATGTAAACTATGGAATTTGGTCGATTTAAATTTAAGGTAATGTTCATATTTTGTAAAATGCATATTGTATCAACTGAGGTATTAACAAATAAACTAAACAGATCTAAATTGTAACTATACAATTAGAACCATGGAGACAATAAGGCAATCAAAAGAATACAAAGTTAATGAAAATTTTTGAGATTTAATAAATGTGTCCTAATGTATATTTTTTAAAAGGCTCATGCAAATTGAACACTACAGTTCACAAGTCATGCAAAGTTCAAGAGCATTGATGTTTACTATTACAGGCAACAAATGACACTGGCTCTTATTATGATGCCATGAGGTAACCTATCAAATTTTTCAAGATTTTTTTTTACGTAAAAAGAAGCGTTTTTGTGTTAAAAAAAATAAAAACAGCTGTTTATATTTGTACTTTTCGCGATATGTTTGTGAAGTTGTCAAACTAAAGGAACGCCTCTCCCGCTTTCATTTAGGACATGCTGAATAGAAAATAAACATTTCTGGACGACAAATATTGCTCCAGACTTACCAGTGGAGTCCGATGGCCCTTGAAAAGGGTCCAATTTTTGCCTTTTGGCATTTGGCGGCCCATCTACGAGATGATCAGCCATAGCAAAATCGGTGCAGTCTGCTGTTTACCAAGCCAAAGCCGAAGCACTGGCCCAATGCTGCGGCTGACCAAACTAACAGCACTGTAATCCACTATTTATCGCGACTTGAGCACAAAACACATGATTTATATGCAAAAATATAAAAGAAACGGCGCCAAACAGTCGATGTACCGAGTGTTCGAGAGTCGATGCATCTCACAAGGCACATATTTATCTAACAAGAGTCAACCATCGGCCATTATGAACTTCGACTAGTCCGACTGGTCGACTATATTTCGCGACTGCCTCTCACCATCTTCCGTCGGAACCGCACAATGATCTCAAACTGAATCACTTCAAGTTTCGCACTTTTACACTCTTTTTTAACAATCACAGGCGAAATTTAACCACAGTATGAATATCTAACACTGTCTTTGGCGAAAAAAGACTTCTTTAATTTACATGCAACGTTACAATCAAAGGAATTCATCCGAAATTCTACGCGATCTCAAACAGGCAAAATGGCGGCTGTTGATGAAACTTTTTCTACGCTTGTCAGAAATATTCTGTCTAATAAAACCTATTCAAATTTCCATTGGTTAACATACGCCACGTGACGTAGACCATGGCGACCATTGGCTTCTGATCTCCGGAAGAAACGCTGTGACGCAGCGTCCGTCGTCACTTGTAACGTCACGAACGACGAGGCGGAGAATGCCGAATGAAAGAACCTTGACGCAGAAATAACAAAATAAGGATCAGATAGATAAGATTATTTTATTAATGTAAGCAATTTTTACAAGTTTTATAGAGTAATCAATTTCATCGCAATCATTATACGCCAAAATAAAGGGAAAAAGAATAGACTATTTTTGTTTACAATTTCTTCACCTAGCGGATAACTAAAGAACTGTTTTCACGGCCATTTGAAGATTTGTTGTACAATAATCTATTGATATACCTACATTTATATATAATTAAAATAAGATATATCGAAATATAGTTTAGTTTATATAAATTATGAGCTTGACAATATTTTCATTTAATATTAAATTAAATAATGAATCATTACTTGTGTACACTCTTTTATTAGCATTGCGTTATCCATTGATTCTTTTGTTTGAACCTATTTTACTTTTTTTTGGTGAGGGACATCGCCCATCGGTTAGAGTGAAAGTAGAAATTACTCTCGCCTAGGTATCAAAATAGAAGCCAAACACTAGATAGTAAATTAAAAAATGTAGGTTTTTGGAACAAATTCTCTATGCTTATACAGGATGTCATAATAAATATTCTATCATAATCAACCCAGAAGTATCAGAAGTTTGTGCGTGAGATGGGGCGGCAAAAATAAACATTTTCAAATTTTATTAATAAACTCCTACAAGCTTGAACTCTAATATTTTTTTCCTGCAGTATAAGAAAAGAACTCATATATTTTACAATTTAAAAATATATTGATCCACAATTCTCTTTTTAATGAATTTTACTATTTTGTTGTTAAGGTATTTAAATGAGACAAAATGTAGGCATATACCTATATAAGTAAAAAGTCCTGGGAGAGTCGCTACTCAGAATATGCAGTCAGAGAAACATTTAAATTCAATTTTAAAACCATCTGAAAAAACAATTTTTTATGAAGTCTGTATTTTTTTGTAGAAATGATTTCCTATGAAATAGAAACATTTCAGAATTACAGAAAGTTTATAAAGAGTTATAAGTATGTTACAAAGTGGGACACTGAGGTAGGTATATTAAATACAGTTTTCAAATCAAGAACTCGAAATATATATAAGTGGGAAGGTTTTTCTTCTAAATTAATGAAAATAATAATAGACATAGGACACAGGTAATTAAGATATTAAATAAATATTATTTTTTCTACCACCTAAAAATTTTTAAGAAAAACGTAATCGTGTGAGAAATAATATTTCTCACTCAACGAAGTAATAGAAACGCAATTTTAAGAAATTTTAAAAGAAAACCAAAAAAAATCACTTATGGCAACACGAATCCCATCTATTGCATAAGAAATTTTTAACTACACAAGTAATTTTACAAATAATGTAAATTGTACAAAAATGTTATCACATTCTTCAAATGACGCCATCATACTTAGTATGCAGTCTCGGAAAGTTCCATTTCCTAGTTCGATATATTTTGGACGATGAAGGGCACTAAAAAACAATTAGTATTAAAAGGGACTCATTAGTTCTGTCATGATTTTAAAATAAGAACAGACAATTAAGAAAGAAGGACTATTCTTATATAGATAAATGTATAAATTTTCTCTACAGTTGTCAATGAAATGATTTTAAAAAAAAATCAGTAAATCAGTAATGTCTCTTGACACTAGCATTATAATAAAGTGTAGTCTAATTTAACAATATAAAATTAACTTATAGTACAAAATTATAGAAACTGTTTTTACTTACAAACGCGGATAACAGCGATGAATGCTCCAAATATAACCAAATTTGCAATAACCGATTCCCGGCTCCTCTTTTTTTCTTCCTCGGGGTCCCTGGTCCCGGAAAAGCCCCCTTGTTGTATACGCCTCATAGTTGATTATTCTTTAAATACTTTTGTTATTATATATATTTTTCTCGTGATCTCGTGCTAAATTTGAGTTTTTAGGTTACATTCGTCAATCCACAAATTACTGAACTATTACGTCAATCATTCAACGTTCGAGGGCAATGACCTGATTTCATAGAGTAGGAATAGAGCAAGTCCGAGCAGAAAAAAAGAAGAATTAAAAAAAAAACCTTTTATGAATTGTTAAGATAATAAGATTAGTTTGTCTAAGACTTTGTTGGACAAAGCTTTGTAATTTGATGTAGCATTTCCTTTTATTATTTTTTTTAAATAAATTAATAAAAGTTCCATGTTCACCGTGAAACGTGTTTTCTATAGAATAAATTCAACAAGGCTACTGAATTATTCTGTTTATAAAATATATCCATAAGAGTAACTAAATACTCTTATGAATATATCTAATATTATGAGTATTTAGAACAACAGAATTCAGCAATTGACATCAAATACCTAGTACCAGGCGCAAAACGTATAATCATAGATCTAATGTAGTATATATATTATACTATTAGATCTATGCGTATAATATTAGGTTGAGATTAATACTAATAGAGTATTTCCATTTAGCTTACCTGATCTCTATCAGGTGATCACAAATTGGTACGAGAGCAACATTATTATTTATATAGGGTGTCCCAGAATAACGGGTTCAACGAAAAGACCACAGATTTGTGGACTCAAAATAGTCAGATTTAGACTAATAATTCATCTATACCCAAAATCGTTTCGTTTGGCTGCTAGATGACCACAAAGTTCGTGAAATTTATTTCAATTTTGTAAATAACTCGAATACGTATTAATTGATTTTGATCATTTTTGGAGTGTGGACTTTTGCTTTCAATCTACAAATTTTGGTGTTATACATAGTGCTTTTTAAAACTTACAACTACAAAATTGATGATATGGTGATAATATATTTGATATATTATACTTACCATTTGGAAGTTTTTGGGCCTCTTGTAAAATTTTGATTAAATGAGCGGTTTGGGTACAAAAAAATATTTTTTAAATTATAGCAAAGTGAAATTACAGTCAACCTGCAAAAGCAGAGCCTACTAGCACTTTGTTAAGTATTGTAATATGGGTGGCAAGATATAATGTATACATTCAAAAAAAAAAATATTTTTTTTTACCCTAACCGCTCATTTAATCAAAATTCTACAAGAGGCCTAAAAATTTCCAAATAGTATCACCTACCAAACAAAAAATAGCTGGTCAGTATTGCCCGAAACAGGAAAAAGTTATGAACGTTTATTACCACTATACATGCATCCATTTTGTAGGAGTTGTAGATTTTACAAGGGACTCTGTATAACACCAAAATGTGTTTTGATTGAAAGTAAAAGTCCACACCCCGAAAATGATCAAAATAATATACGTATTCCAGTTATTTACAAAATCAAAAAATTTTCACGAACTTTGAGGTCATCTAGCGGCTAAACGAAGCGATTTCGGATGTAGGTGAATTAGCCTAATCTGCCTATTTCACGAATCTGTGGTCCCCCGTTATACACGTTATTCTGGGACACCCTATATAAGTAAAACACTGGTATAACATACTCTTATAATTTTGAATTAAAGTAAATGTCTTTTTAATTTCTGTTAATCCTAAATACATACACTCATACACAAGTGAACTATTATAATCCTATTGTGTATTCAATTGAAATGATTTTTAATTTTGTCAATAAAGGGGTATAAATAGAAGTAGGTTCTTCTCTGTATCTATTAGTATTTGAATTTGCCGCTATATACACCGGGTGGCCTTGAGAATCACTCTGGCTAACATCCAATCAAAAATATCAGAATATGAGGTTTTTATCTGGGTTGGATGTTGGATGTGTTGTGTTGTGTTTATAGTTCAGAAAGATAAATGTTTATTTTATAATTAGAATTAGGCTTTTATAAATTAAAATATGTCGTTTATAATTAAACAGTTATTTAATATTTTATGATTACTTGGCGTACAAAAACGTTTTTGAATAATGTGAAAGGTTAACTTTGAATTATAATTAGCATATATTTTTTAACATATAGACAATAATAATATTTATTAATGATAGATAAGGATATTGGAAAAGTTTTGCTGCATTAAACAATGTGACAAACAAAGATTATAACATTCATGGGCTATTTTCCAATGTCGAGGCATTTCTACTTTCATCTACTGACATTCGTTTGTTTACTGTACCAATCATATGAAGGTAGGTCTCTAGTAAATTACATATCGTACGGATCTATTCTATTACCTAAAAGAGACATTAATAATATTTTTTTTAATTTTTTAGGAAATGTATCACAAAACAATCCACTGCTTTTATACTCAACTACCAAAGATATTCGATTAGTAAATTCCTCAGCTCGAGGAAGCAGTTATAAGTTAAAACCCATAATAATTGTGAAGAATTATTCATATATTGCCGCCATAGATTACCATTTTGAAAATAAAAAGATCTTTTGGGCAGATCACGAACTGGAAACTATATATAGTATCGATTATGATGGAGTGGCTGCAAAAAATAAGGTATGTAATGTAAATATAAGTTTATTTTACTTTCTACTATTCTTTTTATTTATAGGTTGAAATAGTTAGTGGTGTTTTTACACCAGATGGATTAGCTTGCGATTGGTTTACTAATAAAATATATTGGACAGATAGTGAATCGAATCATATAGAAGTAGCCACGATCGAAGGAAAGTACCGGAAAGTCTTGTTCTGGACTGATATCGATCAACCACGTGCCATAGTTGTAGTGCCTATGAGGGGGTGAGTCATTTTTATATTGATTTTTTTTTAATTTATTATTTTCTATAACGTCTATTTAATTATAAGTAAAACGTATGAAACGTGGAATAGTTGGAATTAGTGCTTGTCTTTTGTAGTTACATGTTTTGGACAGATTGGGGAGAATCACCAAAAATTGAGAGAGCTGGTATGAATGGAGACCCAACCACACGAAAAATGATTGTAACCGAAAACATATTTTGGCCCAACGGGTTAACTATTGACTATCAAACGGAGTCCATATATTGGGTAGATGGAAAAATGAAATTCATTGATAGGATGGACTATGATGGGGGTAATAGGGTGAGGGTTTTGGAAAAAGGGTTTGAATATCCTTTTGCCTTGACTAAGTTCCAATCCAAGCTGTTTTGGACTGACTGGAAGACAATGTAAGTAGGAAACGTTGAAATTATAACATTTTTTGTTATTGTATTTTGTTACTTATCAGATAGGATTAACAAAATAAGGGAAATATTTTATTTTTAATTAATTTTTCCTGTATTTCGAAGATATTTTCCAAAGAACCCTCTTTTACTTTGTTGTCTGTTCTGTGATTTTATTTTCAACCTTCAATTCACTGGAAAGGCCCATTGTTTTAGGGCAATACACTATTATGATACAGAAGGATCGCAACGAATGCCATCAGAGCTTTTGGTCTCCCAACACCCTATGTACATCCACATCTGGGACCAAAGACGGCAACCTAAGCTGCCACACCCCTGTGAAACCAACAACGGGGGTTGTTCGCACTTGTGTCTTCTTGCCCCCTCACCTCCTGGATTCACTTGTGCCTGCCCCATAGGAATTAAACTCACAAACGATAATAAAACTTGTGCGGAGGGACCTCAGGAACTCCTCCTTCTAGCCAGACGCACCGAGATCTGCCTTATTTACCTGGACTCACCCGATTACAGTTACAGGGTGCTACCTCTTAGCGATGTTAAGTATTCTATAGCAGTGGACTTCGATCCGGTGGAGAATTTCATATACTGGTCAGATGATGAGGTGAAAAAGATTCAGAGGGCGAGACTGAACGGTAGCGACCAAAGGGACGTCATTTCGACGGAGATACAGGATCCCGATGGCATCGCCGTTGATTGGATTTCGCGGAATATTTATTGGACTGATACGGGGACTGATAGAATAGAAGTGGCGAGGTTGCAAGGTGGTTTTAGACGGGTTATTGTTGGTGACGGTTTGATCGATCCAAGAGGTAAGCAATATTTTTTTTCGAAAATTGTCAAGTAAAAGATACATTGTTCTGAAGTTCTAATCAGTAAAAATCATTGCAGAAGCGCGTCTAAAACAGTATATGGGCGGTATAGTCTTTAGGATACGGCAATTTCAATTATGCAGTGACTTCTTTTGGAATGTTTCTTATTTCAATAATATACCATATTTTCTAGAGCATATCCAATTAAAAAATCGACATTAGTAAAATTTAGCACAAAACTGAATATTTTTTATATAATGTGTCATGAAATACACCTGAAATAAGAAATATCCTCTTAGTCTTGCTATCGGTTTTGATTAATTTTAATTGAATATTCTTTGAGTAAATCAGTTAGATGTTTGAGACGATTTGACATCTAAATATATAAATAAGATTTCCATACCAGACTGTATCAAAAGCTTTTTTTATATGTGGAAATGCAGCAGCACTGTGGTGTCCAGTTATTCTTGAGGTTTTAATATTTGAGGTTGCTGGTTGAATGGATGAATATTTAAGATATTTTCTCTGAGTATTAAAATATTTACTCCCTTTTCTGCCAATTTTAACAAAATTTCAAGGCATTTTTTGAAAAAATATGATACAAAGTTGCAGTCACTCTTGCATCCTCAAATGAATTTTATATTTGGTGGTGTTTGCAAGAAAAACTCCATCCTTGAATATAAAAGACATACTTTTCAACCTAGAACCAAAGATAACTATTTTATTTCTGCAATAGGTATTGCTGTAGCTGCCGAACTCGGCTGGCTCTTCTGGTCAGACTGGAATGAGGTTCACCCAAAGGTGGAAAGGTCCAATCTGGATGGTTCAGAACGTACACAGATAGTTACCGAGCGGTTGGGTTGGCCCAACGGTATTACTTTAGATCTGAATAATTTTAAGATATACTGGTGCGACGCCAAATCGGACAAGATCGAATATGCCAATATGGACGGGAGCGATCGCAGGGAACTCGTAAACGACAATGTGCCTCATGTTTTCGGTTTTAGCTTGATGGGGGACTACCTTTACTGGACGGACTGGCAACGGAGGGCTATAGACCGGGCCCATAAAGAAACAGGTTGGTGATTAGTATCTAATATATAAATTTATTATAACACACTATATATTATTTTCGAGATGTGCAATGCTAAAAATTCATGTTTCAGGGAGCAGCAGGGAAGTGATAGTCGACCAAATGGAGAATGTGATGGGTCTCAAAGCAATAAGACTCGGAACTGTAAATGGTTCGAACCCGTGCCAGGAAAACAACGGGAATTGTTCCCAGCTGTGTTTGTACAGGCATAACAAGACCAGAGTCTGCGCGTGCCAGATAGATTATGAACTAACCAAAGATAAACAGAACTGCGTTAAACCTGAAGCATTTTTATTATATACCAAACGAGATACTATTGGCAGGATCAGCATCAAGAACGAAAACAATGAAATAACTATTCCGATTCCTGGCATCAAACAAGCAAGGTGGGTGTTTTTTTATTATGACAGTATCATTAAGAGAAAAATTTATTTTTTTTTTCAGTGCTATCGATTTTGACACGAATACAATGCGAATATACTGGAGCGACAGCAAACTGAAGACCATCATGAGAGCTTACATAAACGGATCTGATCCCCAGAGGGTCATCGATTTGGGACTCGCCTCTCCCGAGGGCATAGCAGTGGACTGGCTGGGCTTGAACATCTACTGGACAGATCCAGTAGCTCACCGAATTGAAGTTTCCCGACTGGTAGGGTCCAGTAGAAGAACGTTATTGTGGGACGAAGCATACGAGCCTCATAGCATTGTCTTAGATCCAGCGGCTGGGTAAATAAGGACATAAATTAGAGTTTTATCCTGGGTACATAATTTCTTTCTGTTTCAGCTACATGTACTGGTCCGAATGGGGAACGACCAACTCCATAAAGAAAGCGGCGATGGACGGGACTAATCAGATAAAGCTGATATCGACAGTGCGACCCGCCACGGGGTTGACGTTGGATTATGAGAGGAAAAGATTGTACTGGGCGGAGAAAGATACTCCTGCTATCATATCCACTGATTTGGACGGAAACGATCAGAAGAACATAGTTAAGGACAAAATCTTCGAACCCATGGGCGTGACCTTGTACAAGGAATTTATTTATTGGAGTGATAACAAAACGGGTAAGGATTTAAGTTGAATCGTTAAATTTGAATCCTGAATTTGTTTGTACAAGGTGGTACAATTTTTTAACAAACTTTAGGAAGCTGTATAATTTTTTTTTATTCATTCTCACCCTGTAGTTTTTATCTTTTCTGATATTTTGAGGGCCTGGGGCAGAACACTATCGACTATTTAAAAGCTAATTGTGGACCATCATTTATTCTAAAAGTATTTAAAAAAAAGCATTATTTTTATAAATCTTAGCACCTGGTATCTTAAAAAAATTATATAGTATATTTTATAACAAATTATAATTTTTTGATTATCTACCCGTTTCTAGTATTTAAACTTGATTTTCATCTATTTAGGTGAAATATCTAGAGCAAACAAGCTCGACGGTTCCGATTACCAAAGAATCCACAACAGATCCGAGGGTGTCACCGATTTGCTGGTCTACCACTACCTGAAACAGAAACAGACCAACCAGTGCGCTACCAGCAATGGTGGCTGTTCCCACCTGTGCCTAGCGTTGCCCGCCGAAGGCCCGGGGGAACATGTGCGCTACACTTGTGCCTGTCCCACACACTTCACGTTGCACAACAACGAGTGTCACCGTAAGTTACGCGAATTCTGGTGAAATTCTAGAGAAAATCATTGCCTATTTTTTTTTTCAGCTCCTAGTCATTATATGATATATAGTTTAAGGAATCTGGTTGTTAGGTTGGTACTCGATACCTTGGATTGCCCCGAAGCCGTGTTACCGATTCAGGGACTAAAGGCTGTGAAAGCGATTGATTTTGACCCAAAATCGAATTTTCTTTACTGGGTGAGTGTGGTTTGAATACCCTACTTTTTAATAAAAATATATTTTTCTTAGTGTGGACTATTTATACAGGGTGTTATAATAATAATGACAGTGATTTATTCATAAATATGTTTTTTTTTTCATAATATCACATAGACACAAACAGACCATATTGTCACTAACCAGTGAAATAATCTTTATAGGTTTATCTATATTTACATTACAGAATGCACTTTACTAAATACCACTTTAAATTTTGCTGTAAAAACAAAATTAGTGAGACTGGTCAAATTATAAATTAAATACTAAATAAATGCAATAAAATGAAGCGGCAGCATATTTGATCAATTTGGTTTCGTTGAACTAACTTTGGTTGTTGTTTTTTTGCCCATCTAGCTGTTATATCGCATTAAGTAGATTATGTAGTTCACCTAAACTATGTTAATGTGACAGAAACTGAACACAGTTCTTTAAAAAAAATAGTAAGAAAGACCACCTTTTATACAAAAAAAAATTAAAAAATTAAATTTTTTTTACAGTTTGAATTTGAATTTTCATATAATGAAAAATATGTGTATTTAAAAAATGAATTATATCTCTATTATTTTTTTGATTAAAAAAAGCCCCTCCTTAAAATTACACCACCATAATAAAATAATGCAGATCTCACTGATTTTTAATCAAATTCCTCAGATTGATGGCAAGTCGCGGTCCATCAAACGTTCTGAGGCTAGCGGGCAGTCCTTCAACATCGTCGTACCAAGCAACCAGAATATATCACCTTTTGACCTCGCAGTGGACACCATCGGTAGACTGCTTTTTTGGACATGCGCTTTAACGGATGTCATTAACGTCACTCGATTAGATAATACGAATCCATTTGGAAGTTTGGAAAGGAAGGAAGGGGAAAAACCAAGACTAATCGCAATGCATGCCACAAAAAGGTAAATTTATTCTATTTGAGTGTAGTTGTAAAACATTTATGTTCCTCTTCGATACAAAATATTTACCTTCCAGGCTAATTTTCTATACCGACATAGGAGCTACCCCACAACTGGTGAGAACCAGATTAGATGGATCCCATAGGATCGTAATTACCAGAGCTGCGGACATTGCGGCTATTGCCGTGGATACTGAGAACGATTTAATTGTGTGGGCTCAGGAGCACAGCATTTACATTAGCAATATCGATGGCGAGAATCAGTAAGTTGTTAAAAAAACGTTTCTTATGAAAAATTGGTAAAATTCTTATTTCAGACATGTTTTGCTAAACGAGAGCAATTCGAAGATAATTCAACTCACCGTACACTCCGGCTGGCTCTACTGGATAGACAAAGAGCTGCACCAACTACAGAGGTTGGAACTAATCTCGGGAAAATCACGTTCTACATTGGCGATCCAAGCATCTCACATACTAGACCTGATATCCGTAAAAAAACCGGAGAACCACAGCTGCAACCTTCCTCATCAAAGGAAATGCTCACACTTCTGCATATTGAACGGGACTGTACCCCACTGTGCTTGCCCTAATGGCAAAATTCTACAGGAGGATAAAAGGAATTGTCAGATTTTACCTGATTGCGGGAGTGACCGTTTCACTTGCAGTGTGGCTGGGGGAGACGTCAAGGATTGTATCCCTATTGCTTGGCGGTGCGACGGGCAGAAAGATTGTGCGGACGGCTCTGATGAACTGGATTGTCCTAAATGCTTGCCCAATCAATTTCGGTGCCAAGACGGGCAGTGCATCGACAAGGAAAATTACTGTGACGGTTACGAACATTGCACCGACAAATCAGACGAAAAAAATTGCTGTGAGAATGGTTTCCAATGCCCCCAGACAGAAGTATGCCACCCAATGTCTCTTGTTTGCGACGGAAATGAGAACTGTGCCGACGGATCGGACGAGAAAGATTGCAATGCGGCTCTTACTTCAAAGAAATCCGTAACGCACACCGTTATACTGTCGGTGGTGGGGGTTGTCTTTGTCTTTGCCATGTTTTCGGTAGTGTTTCTCCGAAAGAGGTTCTTGCCCAGGGAAGATATAACGGATCAGTCGGAAGATTCACTGAGTCCGATGCATCCTAACGCTAGTAAGAATCCCAAATTTCGCAAAGGTAATTAGTATAAGGGTGGTGTTGAGTTTTGGGTCTGTTCAATTCGTTGGAAAATCATATCAAATCGAGTGGTTTTGAATTTTTATAATTTCTAACTTCTGTCTTTAAGTATTTTGGAAATTTATATTGTACAACCTCTTTAATCTGCACATCTACTTGTAAAGCAGTATGGCAGTTAGTGGTACAAATAATAATGAAACGCAATTACTACAAAAATCGAGCTCTATTGACTATTAAATAATAAATTTAAAGACCGTTTCTGATTCTCATTCTCGTGAAAATACTGAAAATCCTCCAATTTTCTCAAAAATGCTCCATATTTTTCAATATTTAGAAAAGGAATATTTTAAAAAGTAATTATTAAAGTATAGCATGCCGCTCATGTAGTACAAAAAAGATAACGTTCCTGTGGTTTTTTCGTATACAAATATACTCGAATATTCTCAAATACACATTCAGAACGTTCTTTACAACACTACATAACAATTGATACATTTTTTTCAGCATTTCACTAATACTGGTCTATTGCAGGGATACCCGATGTAGTCCGCATGTCCATGCTGAACGACAGTGGCTGTCCATCTACCTACGACAGGCGGCACGTCACAGGTGCGTCAAGCAGCTCCAACACCAACGGTTCCAGCATTGGCTGCTACCCACGCGAGACTCTCAACCCTCCCCCAAGTCCCGCGACCACGGCTGCCTCCACAAGAGGCAGCAGCCCTTCCTCCCGTTACCGTCCCTACCGTCACTACCGGTCAATCAACCAACCGCCCCCGCCTACCCCGTGTTCCACGGACATATGCGATGAAAGCGATTACAACTATCCTTCGAGAAGTCGCTACGACGGTGGCCCATTCCCCCCTCCCCCCACTCCCCGATCTCATTGCCATCAGGAAAGCTGCCCTCCCTCTCCTAGCTCTAGGTCGTCGACTTATTTCAGTCCCCTTCCGCCCCCTCCGTCGCCTGTGGCTTCGCCCAGGGGCGGGTACGACTCGTAGGGGTTCTATGTACATACTCGTTAAAGGTTTTTTAAAACTTTGGCTTTGTCGGACGACATCGACGTATCTCGGTGCTGATCGTTTACTATAAATTTTTTATTTATTGAGTACTTTATTTTAACTACTACTAAATTTAGGTGATTACTGAAGAAATTATGAAGTGCGTCCACAGTATGGTATTTATACTATAAAAATAATTTTGACTATGTAATCGGATGCATATGTCAAAAAAAAGTTTGGGCTCTCGTTCTTTTAATCTCATATTCGTATTCTCTCTGGACGTACTTCAATTTTTATAAAATTGTGCAATCATCATTACGAATTAGATTTAGTGGTCTAATTTTAACAATAAGGTCGTTTTCGTATTTTTTTAATTGGAACATATTTTTTATGACTTTATTATACAGAGTATCTGGAAATGAATGAATCATCCTTGAAGAGATGTTTCTTTAAAAAATAAAACCGATTTACATCCAGGTGTCAGTAGAATTTTACTTACTAGAAAAATTGCTAATTTTGTCACTTTTTCATATTTTTATGATATAACCCAATTTATCTCTATTCAAATGTTTAATGAAATGCTCGTTGGAGTTAATTCTGCAATGCAACATTTAGAGACCTATCTTTCTAGAACGTCTTTTGAATTGGTCTAAGTTTAAAAAATATTTAGTACAAGCACAAATTTAGCAAAAAGATGAAGTTTAACGAGACTATAATGCCCTAAATACTTGGTTGTCCATAACTGACAACTGTGGTAAAAAATTTAAGTCGGATTTTACTTACAAACAACAATTATGAAAACAAAAAGTTCTTTCAGATATTTTTTGTGACATCTATATTTTAAGTAAAATGTATGCTTATAATCATCTTCGGCTACCTCAAATATATTAAAATTTAACAGATATCATCAATTAAATCAAACGATATTTTTATTAAATTGGTTTATTTTCGTATTAGGAACCCTGAAAGTATGGTCCATTCTCTTCACACTCTGTGTATTAGTAAAATGATTATCCTATTACTATATTTAGTGATTACATGTATAGAAGATAAAAAAAAGGAAGAAATTGTTACCATTTTTGTTTTCCTACACTTTTCCTTCTTTTCAGTTTCAGTAAGTGTGTTTATTCAGAATTTTTTAAATGCCTAAAAATGTATTTAACATACAGAAGCAGCCGAGAAAAAATTCTTTTGGAAATATAAAAATCAAATGGAGATTCTTTCTCTGTATTCCTCTTATTTTAAATCGTTTTAAATTTCTGTAAAAATTAAGGTTCAAATCTCTCTTGATTTCTTTTACTTACTGGAATTATAAAAGTATATTTTGTTGATGAAACTTATTTTCTGAACCGTTGTACCTAAAGTTTCACATTGTGCCTGTAATTTTATAAACCTTGTACATAGCGTTATTTTAAATTGCATTTATAACTTCTATATAAACTGTTACTCATAATTAAGCAAATATAAGGCATTATTCTTATAACACTGATTTTTATTCTTATGAAAAGATTCAGGTTTCTCTGATGGTTCCAATTTGGAAAATGGGATGTTTTCTAACTTTTCAGTTACATCACAAAGTAGAAGTGTTTTGACGTCATAATTTTTAGAATATTTTAGTTTATTGCAGTAACAACATGTATGCATCAACATTAAATTCTTCAGTGTTGTCATTGAATTGACAGTTTCGAAACTCATCAAATTTCCTTGAATTAGCTTTAAAATCCTTCAAAAAGTAGCAAAACTTGTATAAAATATATCTAACTACATATTGAAAGACTTCAGGAATAAAATGAATCCAAACAGATTTAGAATCAAAGTTACGTCAAAATCTTTTGGAATACAGTATTTCGTATTTGAGGTTAGAAAATCGGACATAAACTACTACATAGAAGATATTTAACGTATTTCATATTTGAGGTTAGAAAATCAGACAAAAACTACTAAACAATAATTTTGCTGTTTTGATTTATTTTAATGATTTCTGATGCCGCTGCTATGTTGTGCCACATTGTATAACTGTTATGATGCTTCGGCAGAATTTCAAAGCTGGTTCCAGTAATGTTCATGTATTTTGTGTTTTGATGTATGATGGTGCATCCTGAAATTATTATTATTGGGCAAGTAACCAAACCTTTGAAATTAACTCGGATGGGAAAATTCTTACAAAATTTAACTTTCTTTCCTTTTACCATTTTATAAAGTGACCTAAAAAAACTCAAATTATCCTGCTTTATACCTTTAAATAAACAAACAATAAAATATTTAAAAGTTTGCTTATGTAGGCAGTATGGGTCAGTGTCAGTATAGTTTTAAGTGGGTGGGCATATTTTTAGGTGGATCATGGTCTATTCAGGCCCGTCCCTGGTTACGTCCCTGCTAGATATTCCATCATAGACCTTACAAGTTGATAAGGTCTATGTACCCCATTAAAGTCAGTCAGTCAGTGCGGTGAGAACACAAGGTTGCTAATTTCTTCCATTTTAAATTTGGCGCATGGGGCTTTTAAACAGTACCGCCAATAGCGTGATTTTAATAGGTCAAAACTGAGAATCCCCCAGGAACAATCATAATTTTTTTTTAGGCTGGCGGACAGACGCACGACGACCGCCCATTGATTTTCGTTGCCCTGTCACGAATTCTGTAGTTGTAGAGCAAACAAGTCCTGTATTTATAAAGGTTTCGTTGGAGGTGTGGTTCCATTGAAGCCCGAGAAAAAATGCCGAGAATCGTGCTCAAAATATCTCATTTTTAGTTGTAGTGTGCCGTGTACGGACTGTGTCGTGAGCGTGGTTTCATTTGTTTTTAAAAATGTTTTGATGTCTAAAAGTTTAGTTAGGTTATGCTTCAGTGAAGATTGCTGTTCTGATCAGGGCTCCAATTTTGAGATGAGCAGCTGGGCAGCTAGGATGCATAGGCGGGCTGCCACTTTCAGTAACGTTGTCACGTCCTGTGGCCACCCTTCCGGGCCCTACCCCCGGAGACTGGAGAAAGTCAAGTTTGGGGTGCCTTTAGAGGAAGTTTGCAAGAATGATATTCCGGGACCACTTCTCGTGAGTAATCGAGTTATTTTATCGCTTTTATTTTTTAAACTGTATGAGTTTCACTTTTTAACTCATGTAGGTAAACAAATAATTCATAATTAATTCAGCTCAGCCTGCAGTAGGTATCTGTAACAAAAAATTCTCGAGTTACTTCAAGGTTTATTGCATGTATTATTTACATAAAAAATGTTTTTATCAATATTTATGGCGAATTAGATATTTGTTATGAGATATGTATCACATTTTTATTTGTGATTATCCTCTTCAAACAATGTTTGGGGGATTAGAGATATAAAAATTATTCTGCAATTGGACGGATATTTGTTTAAAATTTAATAGAATTGAGAATGAGTAATGTTTTAATAGATATTTCTTAAGCGCACCTATTTATAAACATTTAGCATGAATTTCTAATCCCAATATATTTTACCAAGAAAATAGTAGGTACATACATGTATTGATATTGATATCAACTATTTGAGAAGAATGTATTCTCACTTTTTTTTTTCTAATTCACTGATTAAAATGTCTTTGATCCCACAGTACCTACTATCAATTATAATTGTCATATAACTAACTTTAAAGAATTGTGTAATTGGAGTAATCATCCAGAATAAAAGGATAATGGATTATATTCTTACCGAGTTCTTTTTAAAAATGTCCAATTTTTATATTATATAAATTGTTAAAACATTGTGTTTATACTCGTCATAGTAAATTTTATTAACATATTCAGCATTTAAATGTGTACTGTTGTGAAGTCTCATGTATGAAGTTTTCATTTTATTTTTTTGAACACCAAATTGCAAACAGTCATGCCAAAAAGTTTGTAATAAATAAATGTTTGTTCATGAGAAAACAGTTCTTGTTATCTGTGTAGCATGTTAAATAAATATTAATAATTAAGTTGTTGTAGCAATGTGTATTAAGGCCAGATATTGACACTAGAATCTACGTAAATCTATTGTTTTCAATGGCTTTAACATGAATTTCTAACGCCATTGCCTAATTATCACACCTATAATAAGCCGAGATACAAGTCCAACATCTGCCCTAATAATTAGAGATAAGTATAATTATTACAATTATGTTTGTACTGAATATTATAGTGTCAAATAATTCAGTACATTCTGAGGTAAACTCCAATGATATAATAATCATTAAATGATTGTTCATATCTCAAATGATTTTTAACAATTTGGAAATATATTTTTTTGTATGTGTATTTTAAATGTTTTAGGTAAATAGGTCAAATAAATAAAATCTCAAGTTTATTTTATTTAATAAGAGACTCAGGATATTTATTAATTTATTTATAAATTAAAATATTTTTACAAATTTACAGGAGCACAAACAAATTACATAAGAATATCAAAAAATTCACTCAATCAATTTAACAGTTGTTTTGTGTTACTAGCAAGATATTTAATCATTGTCAAAAATTAAAAATTGTTGTTTATTATATAATTTTAACAAAAAAGGGAAAACCTTGTGAGATTTCTAGTGTCCAAATTCTAAGACAAGTTAAATATTTAGAAGTTCAAGGTGAAGCGAATCTTATTACTATAGTTTTACTGTTAAATGTGATATGTAATACCAGAATGTGAAGGTGCACTTTGCTTTAACCATGCAGGTACTTATTTTAAAACTGAACAAGGAAGCACCCTACCGCAAAGATGTGTTCAGAGCTCCGGGCCACCAGGGGGCCATGAAGAAGCTCATTCACTTCCTGCAGACGGGCAGGCTAGTCAACATGGACAACTTCAGCGTTTATACCATAGCCAGCGTGCTGAAGAAGTTCCTCAGGAAGGTGCCCGGCGGTGTTTTCGGCAGGGATATCGAACACAGATTCTTCCAGGTCATCGAAATTACAGATGTTCAAGCCCAGCACGATGAAATTCACAAGTAAGGCTTGTTCATTTTAGTTTAGCAAATTTTATTCATTATCCTTCTGTTTTTGTAAATGATTATTTTCAGACAATATCAATAAACATTTCCACATTTTATACTGTATCACTATACATTAAATATGAATGTAAATATAGCTGAGTATGGAGTAAACATGAAATATTTATAAGCTTTATCCTTAAATAAACAAAAGGTTAACAAAGGTATTGAATTAAATTTATCTCCGATTTTATTATTATTTGTAACACCACAATTTTGGTTAATGAAACTATTATTCTGACGTTGAAATGTATAATTTATTTTGAGACAGACAGATGTCCTAGAATATTAAAGTTAATTAGCCTCGAAGTTTGCACAATTATTTTGAGTTAATTTTTTTATATAGGGTGTCTCATAATTAATATCACAAATTTCAGTTTCATTTGTGACATCACAACAATGGTTAATGAAACTATTATTCTGTCATTGCAAATTTAATTTAATTTAATTATTATTATAATTTAATTTAAAGGTAATTGGCCTAGAATTTTGCACAACTATTTCGAGTTTTAATTTATTTATACAGAGTGTCAGATAATTAATCTAATCTCAAATTTGATTTTCATTTGTGACATAATTTTTCTTAATGAAACTAGTATTATGACATTGAAAAATGTAATTTATTATAAGGCTAAATTTTGTACAATTGTTTTCGAGTTTTAATTTTTTTTATATAGGGTGTCCTATAATTAATCGAATCTAATTTTATTTTTATTTGTGATACCAAAAATTTGGTTAATAAAACCATTTTACTGACATTCTGACTGAAAAATATAATTTATTGAGATACAGACAGATGTCCTAGTAGATTAATGCAAATTAGCCTTGAATTTTGTGCAGTTATTTCGAGTTTCAATAATTTTTTTAAACAAGTCATAATTACAGTCGTTTCATATTTCCCACTTGTAGGAATAATGAAATTTTAGATATCTATTTTATTTTATACAAAAATTGTGATTTATACACTTTCTAGGATAATAACCTCGTTACCCGTATACACCCAAAGACTTCTGGTACTGTTGTTCGGTACGTTCAGGGTAATCGCCTCTAATAGCGAAAAGGCTGGAACGGGGATGACCAGCGAGGCTTTAGGCGTCAGCGTGGCCCCTAGTTTTTTCCACTCTTGCGTCAGTGACGGGAAGACTGCCAAAATGGAGGACGTTATGAAATTCAAGGTGAGCAAAATTTAATTTCAGTTTGTGTCTGATGATAATAATGATTATTTATTGATATTATCGTTTATTTTGTCTGGTGGTACATCACGCTACCGAAAAAATTATTTTTAATATTGATAAAATTGGTTTGTTTTTTAATTTTTTTGGTACGGCAGGTAACACTCGATAAAATGTGTCAGAATTGTTGCATGATGTAAAAAAATAAATTGGAATTATTTATATATTTTGCACATATCTAGAACTTTGCAGAAAAATGTTTTATGGATCTTTTAAGTGACAGATTTAAAATCGGATGTCTCAATTATATACAAATGCATGTATTTTGCGCATGGTATAACAGATCTCAAACGTTTATCTCAAGGAAATATATTTGATTTATTACACAGCAGCAATCGAATTCACATTTAATTTAAAATATATTAAACTATGTTGACTGTATGATTAGTAATTTTAATTATATACATGCACAATTAAATGCTAAAATTTGATACTGATACACTTCTGTTACTGCTTCCGCTGTACAATGCTTACTTTTGCAACCAGGCCGAAGTGAACGTAAGTTAAATTTTTTTAATATTCTGTAATGTTTAATGGTTTAAGTTTGTACTTGCATTTAAAGGCAAGAACTATTTCGTTTTATTTTCAATAATTGATAAGTCACCCAAATCGCAGTTAATGCAAGTATACAGCAGGTGGGAATAAAAAACATAATAAATAATAAAAAGCAATTTGATTAATAAAGTGTAACCTGTAAAAAGACGAATATTGAAAATAAAAAAAAATTTATAAGTAAATTTAATTTCCAATGTGGCAAAATATTCCAAAAAAAAATCTGAGTAAGAAATGCCATAAATACTACTCTCAGACAATATTTATCTACAGGGTGTGCTGATTTGTAGGTACACAAGGTGGGCTAAATTCAACACTACTTGTGGAAGGTTCCTTCTATTTCATGAAAAGAAAAAAGTTGAATGGCTAAAACTTCATCTCAATATCTTTATTCGCCTTAAGAGATACAGAGGATTTTTTTTGTTTGTGTAATTATTTCATTTTTGTAGAGGTTTTTACAGTTTTTTTGCGTAGAACTTTCTATTTAAGAAATGTTTGTATTGTCATTTGCCATTCAAATTTTCTCAAAAATACATATCTTACACATGTATATAAAAACTTTTTTTCATGTATTTTACAAAGAATCTTCGTTTGAATTTTTCGCAACATTAATGACCACCCTGTATAAATCAAATTATATCTTATTAGAGGTATTGACTATTGAAATACCACATTTGCCTTAGGTCGCATCTCGTGTGATGAAACATCTAATAGAAGAGTTCGCCTCCTCGAACCTGTTCGGGAAGGACAACTATGAGTACTACGCCAGAGTAACTGGAAGAGTGCTCAGGGTGCAGGGGGAGTGGATCTGCTCCTTCCAATACCCCCCGCCACCAGCCAAGGGCGTCTTCCCCAATGAGTATATTGCCTTGGAGCGGTACTTACTCGGTGAGTTACGGATTTTTTTTTACCACCCACGTTACGCTTTCATTAATAAAAGGAGGTTCAAAATTAACAAATCGCTTTGATGGGCTTAACATCTGCCGCCTGTAAATGCTTTGTATAGAGGAGCTTGCTATTGAGTTTGAAATATCGAACACCGGGGTGGGACGGCACAGAGTTTGGTACTCGCTTTGGCTTGCATGTTTCTGATAATGCTAAATTTTCGTTAAAAATGATCAATATCGTGATACTTTCATACTCTTTTGTGGGAAAAAAACTACAGTACTTAACGGATTTTAACATGTATATAAAACTCTTCTACGAGTGTCTCAATGTGTGTCTCTTCTTCAAAATTGCTTATCCTAAGCCCTCTATGATTTTTTAGGTATCAATTTAAAAAACTATATTCGTAATTTTGTATCCAAAATCGAATAACATGACATTTTTCTACACTCCTTTTACTGTAAAAGATTACGTTTCAACATTAAATCGAAAACAAATAATTAAAAAATGAGATATGCTAATCAGATTAAATAAAATCAGGACACCCTGTATGCTTTTATAATTTTGTAAATAATGCACCAAAGACAACTAAAAATAAAAATTATAAACGTTTTCTCAAATAATGACAGGCCATATTTTGAAATTATCGCAGTTTACCATAATCAAGTGGAAGTTATAAAAAAACTAGTTGAAAACTGAAGTTTTAATAAAAATACCGGAAAAACATAAAAATGCTTTTTAAAACTGATATTAAAATAGATATTCTCCTTTTAGATATAAAAAAATAGATAACATGATAAAACAATATTTTTTATTCACTTGAAAATTAGATTATAAGCTTATACTTGTTGATAAATTAATAAGATTACTTTCATAAAAATATCTCATTTTAAATTTACTTATGATAAAGAAAGCTAAACGTCACTCTCTTAAAAAAAAAGGGTAACGGTTAAGGTGGGCGGCACATTTTTCGTTCCATTTTCGGCGCCTTCATGTGCCTTCTACGAATATAAATCATGAAAAAACAAACAATTGATATGACGGTCTCCTGCGTCATTAGCCTTTCTTTCTTCTTTTCTAACAATGCAGAGGCCTCACTTGAATATTCATACAGCCTGCTACATATTTAGGCGGTGATTGGTTTATTCATAATTAATGTGGACGGAATATAAATAATTTTAATGAGGTGTAGATTCTATTTGCTCCTGTTAATTCAAATTGTATTTTTTTACACGTGTCACATGTTTGATTTGGTTATCTCGAATTTTTATCTAAGATTAGAGTAAACAGTAGAAGTTTCTTATCGCACCTTTTATTGTTTCTCTTTTATTTCACACTTCCCAGAATCGAACGACTTGGTTTTGAATCTCCTATCACCCCTAGACTGTAGACCTCTTTAGAGTAGTCAGAAATTACGTAGAGGTTGAAAGGTTTAGATGTAGTTTAACTGATTATTATTGGGTAACAGGCTGCTTAATGTCAGAAAAATTTAATTTTTGTTTAATCAACTCGCAATTAACTGGAAGAAATATAAAATGTAAAAAAAAAAACGATAAGAATTAGCAGGTAGAGTGGGGCAATTTCGACACTTTATGAATTTTTTGTATTTTTCAATTAGTTAGACAAAAGCTAGTTATTGTTTCAGACTCAATTTTTGAGCAAAATTGCAGGACAAATATCACATCTCAATATCTTGACTCTTGTAGGAGATACAGGGCGTTTTTCCTTTTTGAGCCATTTTTGTAACTTCGAATTGTGAAGTTATTTTTTCTGCATAAAAAAATTTTTTGTTTAGTTCGTTGTGTATAATCAAGTAGTATATGTAATATATTTCTACATCTTGCAATTGCTTTAAATAAAGTACCCTATATATTTTTCTATTTTGAAAATATACATACCATTAGTTAAAAAATTTATTTCGCCTCGTGCGCCACTTGTCATGTTGTCATAGTACCTAGTAGGTTACTTATTGCCAGTAGATACAAATTAGTGTTTTGTGGCAGAAGGCATGGACGAACAACGATATTTAAGATATGAAGATATATTTTATAGAGAACTAATCACACAAAAGTGTCGAAGTTGGCCTCCTTCTGTATGTGTTTAATGCTGCCTAGTTATTTACATTCAACGTTTTTACAGAAAGGGTGAATTAAAACTGACAAATATTATTTGTAGATACAAATCGTTTGTCATTTCTTTTTTTTTTTTTTTCAAGATGAAACCTCTGGTAGTTTAACCGGAACTGTGAACAGTTTTTAAAATCGACGATAATAGGTAGTGTGGCCCGTAAGCATCCTGTTCATGATATAATCAGTCCCTCAGTAACTCTTAAATATCATTAGTGAAGTGTGGTATGTTTCTTAAAGGGCAATTGTCGATGGGTAAGCAGACATGGCTACAATGCGAAAATAATGACCGTTGGAATTCTAGTAGTTACTGTTTGGAAGGTAATGATGATGACGATGATAAGATTCGTGCGAATCAGACACTGTAGAATTTTAATTTATCTTTCTGTTGTTCCCCATACAATTTGTATTAATTAGTCTTTTTTGAGAGTAACAGTATTGTGCATAATTTTTTTTTACAGATTATTTGTATTTAACACTGTGATATTTTCAGGTTTCAAGTCCTAATAAATTTATTATTTTTTCCGTTATGTTTTATTTTGTGATCGTTTTTTGTGTTCTCGTTGTGGCTTATGCATTTAGAGTGCCGAGGCGCTGCACTAATAACCCCTCCTTTAACGACTATTTACTTTCAGCTTACGTTATTATTAACTCAAAATGATACTTCTAATAGACAAACCTTTGTAAATAGTTTGTGGGTCTGTAAGATATTGTTAGTTCCGTTATATGTGGGCGTAACTTTGAATGAGGGTCATGTTTATATGGAGGCTAACTTTGACCTTCAGAAACACGCGATAATAATTTTTTTGAATCCTTTTTTCGTAATTTTCGGACCCGGTGCTGGACAAGTTAGTTATAATATGAAACATTACATGCATTGTTGTCAAAGCTCATCTTTCTTGATTTGTATACAAGCTTTTTCATATCACATAAAGATTTAACAATGGAGACACAAAGAGCGTACCATCACTAAACATTGAAATAAATAATTTTATAAGATTAAATATTTAATTAAATTAAAATTGATAAAAGAGAACACCTATACAAATTCTATTTTCCTGCAGTTGGTTTAAAAAGGTAACGACACTAATAAGTACGCACATACAACTGATTCCAGTGACGGAAAGCTCCTAGACAAGAGTTTAAATGCGATTTAAAAATTTGTACTCGGGAACACTTACGGACTCCCACTTAAAGTTACACCCTGTATAATTATTTATCTTTTCTAAATGAATAAGCCTTAAGCGTTTTCATTTCCTTTTTTATTTTCCCTTGAAGGTATGTAGCTTTTGACTTTTTTTTAACAAATAACACAGTTTCCTTCGGTATTCGAAACCGTCAGAATTAAGAATAGTATTTTCAGCAATGTCGCAAGTGGAAGAATGTCAGTCAACACCTGCCCTCTTAGAATCGGGGCTGCAACCTCAGGTCAGCTCGAGTTCTTTAGGAATGATTGCGGAACACGGGCTCCTTGAATCATGTACGCGCCTTTCTATTTCCTTAGAGCAAAACGGGTTGTTTCAGGTGAGAAAATTGGGCGTGAAGTAATTTTTTTGTCAAATACTTGTTCCTTAACACTCTATACGTGTTAACTAACTTTCCCTTTTAGGGTAATGCCACGTCGCATTCTTCCAGTACCAGCCACTCCTCCTCGAAGCAGAGCCAGAACCATTCGGGGCCAAAGATGACGCTGGACGAGCTGAAGGCTGTCAACAAATATGCCGAGAGCACTCGCAGCCTGAGCTACCTGCCACAAGTAATAATTTTCACGACACGCTTTCCTTTTTCATTAGCGATTCCATTTAAGGTGCACGAGAGACAGACGGAGAGGATGAAAACTAGGTCGCAGTGGTTCTTGGGCCCGTCCGTAGAGTGTACCAGTTGTGGTGGGTCGTTGGACCTACCTCTAAACGAAGCCGACGTGTCGGCTCTTACTAACGCTCTTTTGAGGAGGTCTTCCTCAGGGACAATAGGTAAGGGTTCTGACGGTGGTGTAATTTGCGATACTGAAATGATTTTCACATATTTTCTTGTGGCTTATAGGGTTAGGGCAAAACGAGGAATGATAATGGTTTGATCGGCAGATTGTTTATTTTAGTTAGATATGGTCCCTGTTATTTAAAATGTTGTGCATGCCATCTGTTTTTGCAATTTGGAGGTGCTAGAACGGCTAAAGTTTATTACTAACCTTGGAATAGGACGAACGCAACCAATGCTCTGATGTTCTTGCCAATAGTAGTTTACTTATATGGAGTGTATAAAAAAAAGCTGGTCGAGCTGTTAATCTCAGATCCTTTGGGTAGAAATAATGGCCCCTCTTTTTCAGTCTCTAAAAAAATTTTTATAATTTCATGTTAATAAAAAATGTGTTTTTAATTTTTAACTTTGACACACAGTTGGCATAGCCGGTCTATCACTTAGCGCGGAATCGATCCAGAAGCGGCTGAGCGTGAAGCGATCCAATTCCAGAGACAAGCGCTATCTGCATAGATCGGCCAGCAGGAGGAACAAAGAGAATGGTTCAAGGTCTAATAGGTAAGGCAAAGTAGTGACGTAGAGAGAGAGAGAAGCATTTAGTGTGTCTCTCGTGCATTGTCTAATGTAAATCGTAGTTTTAAGAGTCGCGGGGAGCGGAAGTCCTCCAGTTCCCGTCCGGGCAGCTTCAAGTTGAAATACGAGAACATATCAAAGTCGTGCAGCTTCAAGAACAAGGGGGAGCTGTGTACCTGCCCATCGGGCGCCGGCGTTGTCAGCAGCAAGGAGAACGGGGGTGGGTCTGGTGGGGCTACACCCAATACTGCCAAAACGATGGAAACTATTTGCGTCACTCTAACTTACAAGCCTCGTATCTAAGGTTGCGTCACGATCCGTTACTTGTAATAAAATACTGAAGACTCTGTCATTGCCCGAGTTTGTACAAGGTGTCTACCGTAATTCGTGCTGCTGCTGGTGTCTCTTAAATAGTAATGAATAAACATCATGTAGTGTTTTGTATAAGGTGGTCTTCAATTGTCTCGCGATATTTGCAGGAGGGATAGTGCTTAAAAAAATAATGTACCTTTTTGTATAAACTTTTAACTTAACTGATGATATTGCTGGAAACAACTACTCTGTGGACTAATGTTCGAACTAGCATTAACGCTTTAACTTCTTAATTGGCATTATTCTTGATGCAGTAATGCATTCGAATGTTAAATCATCAAATGTGGATATGTCCGTCATATCCATTGTGTATTTGCACCTGTGGACTAACAACTATATTAAAAAGGGTAAAAATTGAAAGATAAATCATGACAACTTTTATCGGAGTTTTCGGAAGTCAAAATTTTCACTTAAATCCGTGTCACAATTACTTGATAAATACTTCCTTTTAAAAATGTTGCAGCTCAGCTCAATGATAAAAATGAACAGCTTTCAATATATTACGTTTCACTCTAAGCAGCGGAGCATCTCGAAAATCCTTCCGAATTAAACTTAAAGTTTCTAGACACTAATTTATGTATTCTTCAGATACGAGTGTACTTTTACAGGATGACTGAATATTTTATATCCAACGTTTTTATTTTTAACTAAAACAAAAAATTTGAAAAATTGATCTCTAGAAACTACATTTATTTAATTTCAATGAATTTAACTGTTCTCGAGAAAGAAATTCAGGTTTTACATAAGTATGAAATTTTGTAACATTGATTGACCATGTATAGATTACACAGCCACACAAAAAAAAAGTTGTCTGTACTTTTCATGCGACGTATGTTATCCGTAGTATTTTTGCCTCCTGATCACGAATCTGGTGTCAGGAATTGAGCTATTACATCACAGGAATTTCTTAACCTCAAAAAACAGGTCAAAAATAGCAAAATTCACGAAAAAGTGCTAGGAAACGTACAAAAATTTGTTTTTTCTATATTCAAATATTCATTTACATGGTTAAGGCCCCGCCGAACGTGAATCCGCGGTCAGAATTGATGGTTCTTTTTCTGACCTAAAAAAACTGGTCAATTAAGGTCAGATATCACGAATTTTCAAAAAATAACAGATTCGCGTCAAATTTGGTATATGGGGGTTTTCGGGGTCGCTGATCACGGATCCGAGGTCAATTTTGCAAAATTCAAGATGGCGGATCCATGATGGTCGACAAAATTTTCAAAAAATAACATTCGCGCCAAATTTGGTATATGGGGGTTTTCGGGGTCACTGATCACGGATCCGAGATCAGATTTACAAGATTCGTTTTTAAAAATTTTATCAATTACCTATGTACCTATTTTAAGAAGGTTAAAATATGATTGGGTACTCAGATTATAAAGTGAACAAATATATTACAAAATGAATTTCGCAATTCTGACCTCGAATTCGTAATCAGCGACCTTGACAATCCCCGTATACCAAATTTGGCACAAATGTTATTTTTTGAAAATTTGTTCGGCCATCTTGAATCCGCCATCTTGAATTTTGCAAGATTGACCTCAGATTCGTGATCAGCGACCCAGAAAACCCCCGGATACCAAATTTGGCGCGAATCTTATTTTTTAAAATTCGTGATATCTGACATGTTTTTTTTTTAGGTTAGAAAAAGAACCATAAATTTTGACCGCGGATTCACGTTCGGCGGGGTCTTAACCATACAAATGTACATTTGAAAATAGAAAAAAAAAATGATTTTGTATTTTTCCTAGCACTTTTTCGTGAATTTTTGCTCTTTTTGACCTGTTTTTTGAGGTTAGAAAATTCCTGTGATGTGAGCCCTTTTCTTTTACTCATGATTTCGGAATCATAACGCGTTATGATTCCAAAATCATGAGTAAAAGAAAACAGCTGTGATAGCTCAATTCTGACACCGGATCAGGCAGTAAAAATACTACCGATAGCATATGTCGCATGAAAGGTACAGACAACATTTTTTTTTGTGTAGCTGTGTTATCTTGAGCAAATTTTGTATTTATTCAAGGGACAACATAACCAAAGTAATTGTTCTATAGAAATAGTTTGAAAAGTGTGATATTTCAAAGCATAAGTTTTATAAAATGTCATCTATATTTTTATATATACTAACCATCTGAAAATATTAGAAGACTATTTAGGACTACTCGTATGTATTTTTTGTATCATCATTTAGAGAAGTGGTTTTTAACCTGTGGTCGCCGACCTCCGGGGTCCATCTTCTCCCAATGGACCCGCGAAGTTTTTAGGAACATTTAATCACTAGTAACAACTAATTAAGAAAATGCACTCTCTTATGTCAGAATATAACTTATTATTTATCTTTCCAAAATTTACATTTGCTGTGCAATTTAAAATTTACATTTCAAACCCATTTAAATTGAGTAAGTAACTGGGGGTCCACAACAACAAAAAAATATTGAAAGGAGGTCCACGGTAAACAAAAGGTTAAGAACCATTGATTTAAAGGATACCAGTGGTGGTGCTACTCAACGTAATCAACTTGTACATCATTCTTGGGGTGAAGTAACCCTAAGGATGGGCGCAGAGACTCGGCAACGATTGTATTTAATTAATAAAAATTCTACGCTTATTAAAATAAATAATGTATATAAGTAACACAATATAAATATATTATCAAGGAGTGATTGCATGTATTAATGGGATTTTAATTACACATTATCGCTTCCGGTCCTTTTTGGGTGTATAAATAGAAAATATGGCATTTATGCTCACTGTAATGGTACAATGTTGATATATTTCGCTCGTCATTTTAAATGGTATTCATTATTCGCTATTCTAAGATTAACTTGATTTAGTTTTTTATTATTTATAGAAAGCCTCGTTTGGATAATATTTTCTAAATCTGTAAAGAAGGTAAACATTGACTTTTTTTTACTCGATGCCAAAGATATTTGCAGATATCCAAAACTGAAAGAAAACATCAGTCTGATTTTTTTATATGTTTAAACGAATTTTTATATTTTACCAAAAATCTATTTTATTTATTATATATCTTTGCAAATATATGTATTTTTTAGAATATAGTTTATCCATTAGATTTTAAAATATTAATAATTAAGATATTCTATTCAAAATGAAAAATTTAAAACATTAAAAACAAAATTTTCAGTGTAGGACCTGAAAAAGTATTTTTCCTAAATATTGATATCTGAATTCAAATATAGTTACCCGTATTTTGTGTGTAAGCGATTTTGAGAGAAAAAGTTGAGGTATTATTTTTACTTATATGTATATTTATATCTCGGAATTGGTTATTTTTTTTTTAATAATAAGAGGCTGATTTTGACATCTATTTTTAAATTGTACCAGGTAACCCAGGTTTCAGGCAGTACAAATTTGTGGTAGCTAAAGACATTTTTGGTTCACCTGGTATAACTAATCACTTTTCATCATTTTTTTTCCAGTACAAAATCACAAAACTAATCACATTTTGTTTAGCTAGTTAGAACATATTTCATTATTTATTCGATAAGTATTTTAGAGTATAAGAAGTGACCAAACTATTATAAGATTTTGCATTCCAAGTAATTCGAGAGCATTTATAAGCAAAACGATTCTTTTTTTAGAGATGTATATTAGTGGCATGTTCTCGCGACGGCTGTATCTCCTACTTACCACTTTTATACGCATAAAGAATATATATACAGGGTTTCTAATGGAGAACAAGTACCTTTAGACCTTTTTTTTATATAAACATAAGTATATATTCTCTTTATACTTATTATTTGCTGCAATAAATTTATTTCTCTTACGAATTTTAAGATGCAATCAATGTATTACTTTTGATTAACCAGTCTGTATTTAGTCAGCAGTATTTTTTTTACCGTTTATATTTTATTGCACAGTTATTTTAAATGTATATGTGTGGACATTAAAAATATGATACAAATATGGACAGCAGTAGGTGTACAAAGGTTACTTTTGATAAAAAAAAATTCCTACATGCGACAATTTCAAAATCCATTTTGCCTCAATTAAGTGGCTGAATAAAAGACACAATTACTGGGAAGGAATATCTAAGCATCATAAGTCTGGAATATATATTTTTTTAAGTTTTAAATCATATTTTTGTTTAAAAATGGAAAAGTGTAAAGAAAGACTTACTAACTAGAATTGGCGCTTTTTAAACTGTGATATTTTTTATTTTATTAAAGAAAGAATAGTATCATAAGATTTTATGCATATTGTAATTATTATACATTGTGTTCTACCTTTCATGGAGCCATGTCTCTTGTGCGAAATAGAATTGTTTTCACATTTTAGCACAAAGAAAATGGATATAATTTTTTTAAAAGTTGTCCGCTTTTCTAATGTTAGAATCGAAAGCCTACAACTAAAATCAAATTAAGTTATACTAGAATAATCGCTTTGCAGCTAATTATTTCATATTAAATGTCGGCTTTTCAATTTAAAATAATCAAGATACAATATGACCCTTGTAAAAAAATATGTTTTGACCAATTTAATTTGGGTTTTTCCAAATCAAAAAATTAAATTGCAAGATTATAGTTTATGAGCGTTCTGGTTACTTGTACGGTTTTTTTGTAATTATAATTAGTTCATCCATCTAAAAAATTATTTAATTTTGAGTTGTACATTTAGGAAATGATAAAATCTTTAATATTAAATTTAGAATGAGCAATTTTTTTTTTCAAAATTTGGTACAAATTGCATTGAGAGGGTGCAGAATCCAGTGACGCAGTCAGATTCTAAATAAAAAAACAATCGATTAAATCGGTCAATAAGTACCCTTATTAAAAAGGTTTTTCCATTGTTATTTGTATGAACATTTTTTCCAGATGTTTGGTATGCTTCTTAATCATGTTTAACATCCTTTTTAGTAAAAATAAGAGATTAGATAGGAAATTTCGTTCAAAGTTGAAAGTTCTCGTTTGATTTCGAAATTTGATAAAAAATACAAGGCCCTTCCACGCTTTCATAAGGTTTTTAATGAAAACTTTCACGGGAAAAATGTTTCATCTGGGCAAATTAGGATTACTAGTGTAATTTGTCTGCAAGGTTACAGTACAGAAAGCATTCAGCCTTATGGTGAGGTGATTCGTACAATTTTTTTTATCGAAAGTGACCTACGAGATAGGTTTCCGGGGATATTTTGTTAAAACCCATGTAAAAATGTCTGTTAAATGTTAATAATTGTAGAATTAAGTGTTGTTAAATTACAATACTGAATCGAAAACACCAAACAGAGTTCCGGCTCTTTAAATATAAGTATATATATTAGAATTTTTGAAGTATCCTTTTTGAAGTACAACATTCTTTTGAATATTTTTATACATAGTTATTGATTTGATATATAAATTTTATATGACTTTATCAGAGAAAGTTGTAATATTCAATGTTCTAGGCTTAGTGGTTTCTCTGTTAAAGGTTTCGCCAAAGATCATTGTAAATGTCTCTTTTGATAATTTTAAAATAAGGCGCACGGAAATTTTGTCTATGTAGCATAAGTACATATGCCAAAAATTTTACCAAATTTTATATACATTCATATTGATCTCTATATATATATTTTTTGTTTTTAGTTCAGAAATATTATATCTGTGCATTTTCATTGTATTATATATGTATTCCTTTTACATAATAAACAACTATTGAATATTTCCATGTGCTATCTTATTTTTTCCAAATTTTCCATAGAAAAAAAAAATTTAGTGGGGATAATTAAAACCACCGAAAAATCCACTGACAGCTCTGAAGACTTCTGTCCTTCTGTTCACCGTAAGATATGCAGATAAACGCAAAATAAAATTTTTCCAACACAGTTATAAGTACAGGGTGGGCCAAATTGGACACTTAGGAGTTTCTTACATTCCCCAGGACGATGGACAAAAAAAGGTAAGACGTCAAAGGTTCAATTTTCAAGAAAAAATAAACTGAAAGCTGTATCCTGATATCTTTATTGGTTTAGGACAGCCTTTCCCCGCCTTATTCAATGGCGGGCCCCTAGCATTACTTTACAATGATTTGCGGACCCAAAAAAGAAAAAACTTATTTATGTTTATTTAATTTTAATGAGATGGTTGATGTTGCCTTTTCACGACCAAAGTCGTAATGTTTGGGTTGATGTTGCTCAGTTGGCAATTTGTCAGCCACTTGTCAACAGCTGAGATTTATTGCACAGGGGCCCAATGCAGCTGTGTTTGTATTTTGTTTGCCCGCGCTCGCATTCTTCAACTGGGCGTATACATTTCTACCACCTCCACGTTTAGTTCGACCAGACTTGCATATGGGTACGGCTAAATAAATATGGGAACAAATTTTTCAAATATTTCGTTCTTCAATTGATATCGGAAAGACTATACATTCGTAGACTCAAATTACACATGAGCGTATTATAGTCCGAGAAACAATTGACTGAACATATTGATGAAATGAGTCACTCTTGTAGATTACTCAATGAAAACTAATTTTTACTGAACAAGCAAAGGGCAAATGGATGGTTGCAAACACTTGCTTTTTATCTATAAAATGGTCAGGCCCTACTGTTCACATACATTTACGATACCCAATTTCTCTAAAAAACTATAATGTTTCATGGAGCACGAGCTCTTTGCAAGAATGTCAGCAAGCATTTCGGTTGTCTGCAAATACTTTTTTCACTGCACGTTACTGTAAAACTCTAAGCCGCGTCATTATGCTGCAGACCCCAGGTTGGAAAACCCTGGTTTAGGAGATATACGTCAATTTTTGTGATGTTGATTAACTTTTTTGTTTGTGGTATATGCAATATTTTGTCTATAACTACTTTTCATTTATAAGTTGAAGTTTGAAATAGTGTGTTGACTGCCATAGTTTTAATAGGCGACATTTTAGTAATTAGATTCGGTTCGCCTATTTGAAAGCATTTGTTTTATGTCTGGAATACTATTATATCTGGGGTATTGTTCATCTCTGGATATTTTGCCATTGGAGATTTATGGAAAGAGGGAAGAGATAATGCTAAATATGTCTAGATTACTATAAGTTCATTTTCGTAAACCTTTATATTCACCATAAAAAGACTGATGCATGCTAGTCAACCGTTATAAAATTGGAGTCAACCATTATAAAATTGGATCGACTGATTCCGTTTGATATTACAGTGTAGTTTATAAAATCAATGGTTTTTGAAATCTGCATTTTTCTTTCCGTCCTTTAAAAAAAGTTTGGGAGGCAGTGGGGGATCGTCAGGTGACGCACCGCTTCACCTAATTTTTCCATTTCCATTTGGCTGTGCAATTTAAAATTATTTTTAATTTTTATAATTTAGGTATAATTGTAGAAATGTTTCCTATGTATGATACAGTATGTATTTTATTGGAAACGCCATTTTTCAGATGGAAAATTGAGGACAAAAAGGATTTTTTAAATTGCGAGAGACCTGTGCCTTATTCTTTCGATATGGAAAAAAGGGGAAGTCAAAAGACGTGTATGTTTGAATGTTTCGGAATGAATGGTATTTGGAGTATAAGTGGTTGTGTGGAAGTGTTCATTTAAAAAAACTTTTCTATATACCGTGTTTAATTGTGGGTGTAAAGTCGGAAGTGTGGAATAAGAAGGGATTTAACAATTTTGGGAATGTCACGTGAGGTTGTTTGTACCACAAAGCTTCTTTGGAATATACATGTATGGTGTTCGTTAATGTTCGCAGAAATCCACAAACCGAACTAATATTTCTATTTCTTATAAGATCTAAATGAAAATCCTTCTCACGAACGTCAGTTTTTCGGTAATAAATGCAACTAAAAATTTCCACATTCATTTAAAGCCGTTTGACCAGCGGCACTTTTTTTTTCGTTTTAGAGAATCAATAAATATGCTTCACCTATTCTCAATGTCACGAGCCGCCACTGTTGGGAGGTCAAATATCCTAGATTTTAACTATCCAACTATTTAATGCAAATAATACATTATCTTTCATTTCAATGGATTCTTCCATTTAACTTTTAATTCAAATGACAGAACGCTAAAAATTGTTTAATATTATAATAGGTAACTATTAAAATAACTAAACTATAAAGTTTCAAACAAATTATTGAATTTATATTATTTTAATGACATTGTAGGAGGCACTCAAAATTCACTTAAAAACTTTTACGAGGAAGAATTAAAAAATACAAGTTTTTCAGTGTTTCTGAAAGTATGAAATTTAGTGAAATTAAACGTATTGAATGTCTTATATCTTGAGAATACTTTCTTTTAAATTGTAACACATTGTATTGTGTGAACCAAAAAACTATAATGCCTGTTATGGATGCTTGCATCCCCTGAGGCATCATTTGGTAAATAAAAAAAAAACACCGAGTCTAAAACATAAAAAAATATATATTACTAATTGTAAACGCAATACTGCATGATACATGAAAATACAAATTTTGACATTAAATTCGCAGTTTGTTAGCAATAAGAGTATCAATCTCAGAAATATAAATACTTGAACAAAAAATTATACTACCTTAGAACTATCAATGACAAAATAATTGGTGCAAATCGCAAAATTTATCAAAGTTAGTGAGACAAAATGAAATAATAAATAGAAATTGGAAAGTTAAAGGCATAAGGCAAGACGAGTAACATCACTTAGTGGCTAGCATTATCTAGTAAAGGCATGGAATCTTCTTCATCCGATTGCTGCTTCTTGCCACCGGAACCTAAAAAACAATTTGTGGGACACTAATCTTTGATCTTAGATATAGGTGAAACTTTTTACGTTATCTGTACAACATATTTAGCCCATAGAAAGCAGTGTCAAGGCAAGGTAAGAGAAGCAAGGTTTTATTTTCCATTTATATTAAGTCATAATGCTTACCAGAATCTCTAAATTTATAAAAATAGTTGGATGACTGATCAAACACTGTTTACCACTATAATCTCATACACGTTCTATGAAGCTGGTGAAAATTAAAATGGCCATGAAACTATCATTTTGGTATCAAATTCAAAACATAGGTAGTACTACAAAGATTAAAAAACCACCATCTATTGAAATTTTCATACTAGGCTTCATTCAAAATATTTTCACCAGCCGCCAGTGATTCTAATCAGAAATTGTAAAAGCTTCCTTCTTGGAAAAAAAATTGTAGAAAAATAAATCAGAGCACATTTTTTTAATAAGCATGTGGGTATTCTGATCTAAAATTTAACAACGACAAAAGTGCTAGGCAAAGTATGCATTTTACTTTCATAAATGGCTTTATTTATACATTACTCGAAACATACAATTTTTTTTTTCTTTTCAGGCATGCACCCATTTCCTCGGTAGTATTTACAGGTGTAAACCCTACAACTGTTACATACACAATGCGGTGTTACAAAAAAGCACTCGACCACCAGTAAGTTAATAAACTAGCAGAAACGTTAGTGTGAAAGGAGAAGGAGTAAAAATAAAGAGCAAAGTATAATGTAATAATTTATGTCAAACTGTACATGGTGTTAACAATTTGGTGTGCGTGTTTTTTAAACTACTTCTATGCCAAATATATCGGGTGGATCATGTAGCTCAAGACGTATAGACAGCTGCAATGCTCACAAATTGTCTTCCAATACCTTATAAGATTAGAAACGTATGTGTGCAAAGAAGTATATAAATAAAAAAAGTGTAATTTGGATAAAATTATTTAACCCAATAAAAACTATTTCAAATAAAAATGTAATAGCGGTGCAAGAAAACAATCCCTATTTGATTTGATAAATGTAGAATGGTCACCTTGAAATTTTGAGCTTCAAATTGGAAATTTCATGTTAGAACTCGATAAAACTCAAGATATTATTAAGTTCAAACTGAAAATTTCGTGTTTGAATAGAAAATTTTTAGTTCAAATTAATAATTTTGTGTCTAAATTTCAAATTTCGAGTTTCAGCTTGACATTTCTAGTTTGAATTTAAAAATTCCAGTTTGAAACTTTTCAATTTGAGTTTAAACCCAAAAGTTTAGGTTCAATTTAGGAATTTCGTTTGAACTTAACGAAACTAAGTTTGAACTTGAAATTTCAAATTTGAACTCGAATTTGAAATTTAATAAATAAAAGATAGTCTTTCTAGACTTTCATATGATATAAAATTTCAGATGCAGCTGGATATACGCCACAGGAAATAAATTTACAACCTTTTCAACGCTACGTATTGGTACAGAGATTCTAAATCTAGTCACAAAATAAATACTTTATCTAAGTGTAAACTCCTTGTGATTTCAATATCAGACACAAGGAAAAACACATGCACTCGATGGCAGTTATTGGACTTCTCTCCTCTGAGAGGAGCGTCTGATTTACACAAGCAGGTATCGGGTTGGGAATCGCACAATACAAAGTTTGATAGAGGACCATGATCGCCACTATTTCAACTCCATTAAACAAAATATATTTCTTTAATATGTTAGATTCGAATCGTGAATATAAAAAATATATATGAAGGGGGCTAAAAATTTAATTTATAAGCGACATTATGCTAGCGGGTAACAGTCCTAATTACTGGAATCAAAATTATACGAGAAAAATCACCTAATCATTGTGTAAAAACTGGTATGGAGGCCGAGGTTGCCGATTATACTGAAAAATTAAAAAGAAATACAAATAAAAACAAAGAAAATGTGTATAAATACCCCTGAAATAAAAAAGTAATGTGATAACAGATTACTGCTTTATGATTTGATCTTTGTCACAACGCCTTTAGTAATATCAATAAACTAATAGAGAATCATCCAATTATTCCCCCAAAAAAAATTAATATCCTACTTTCCCTTAATAAATAACACCATATATTAGTGGATGAAAATATAAAAGTTCGCCGATTATATGAAGAATATTAAAAATTTGTGCAATTAAAAGACGAAATTCTAAATACATACTAATTTTTAATTAACGGTGAAAATGGAAGGAAATTATATAATTTGAGATTCCAGTAACTGATATTTTTGTCTAAAAATAATATGAGAAAACCCTACAGTTATCTTAAATACTCACTACTATAAATATGAAATATATATATAAGGCATTTTTATAGTTAATGTTGATCTAACACACATAACATTCAAAACTACTTTCTCCTGTGACGAGAATAAAAAAATAATGCTTTACAATCCCAAATACAAGATTAAATCAATTCAACATGGAACCGCTAATACTTTGGCACGACACGCGCTGACTAGCGCTGTATATTCGACATTTCTAAGAGCTACTATAGACAGTTCCACGAATAAAGTAACCGGATAACCGTCAGACCTGCACGATGTTAGGTTTAGTAGTGCTTGCTTTTACTGCGCGTCTTTATCGATTTTGTTACTTTGGCATTCGTACCGTTTTTCTCCAATGCGGAAGAGGTGGGTGGGATCACCTTCTGCGGCCCGCCAGGATATGGTATTCGGAATAGCTCTATGTGGAGGTGATCGCAAATCTCTTGGCAGATCTGGTAGCAGTAGCGCATCAGGTCCACAGACACCCATATCTGCATAACAAAAAGGTCTGTTTTACAGTCACCAATTTCCTTCAACCACAAAAAGAAATGAAAATGTTCATTTCTTCAAAATACATACATAATACACACTAATTGTAAGTACAAAAGTGCAAATAAGTGCAATTTAATAATAATTATTAAATCACCGAAAGTGCCAAATAAGTTAGGGAAGATCAAATCAGAAAATTTATCTATCTTAACACTGACTCCTATTTTGGTACTGCAATATAGAACTTACCAAACATAACCATAAAACATAGTACTCATTGACGAATGTGTTGAAATACTGATTTAAAAATAACATCGTCGGTCCTAGCAGTGACCAATCCATATAGTCCATTTCGCTTTTGGTCATATGGGCCACCTACAATATAACGGATGGAGAAAATCATAGCAACTACAATTGTAACAAGATACTCACCACAAGTCTATTCGTGACCTTGGCAGCGACCAATCCGAAGGCCAGAATATATAATGCGGGATGGTTCTGGTATATTTCCTGGGTAGATTTTTGGTATATTATAAACGCGGGTACTAGGACCATTGAGAATGGTATAACGGGAGATAATACACTGGTTCCCTAATAAGACAGAAGCTTATCAATTTTGTTTGCTGTCAAAATAAAATCAGGAAACTGCTTTGCTATCGAACTTTTAAAGTCCCATATGCACCAGACTTCTGATAGAAATGTAATCATTGAAACAAGAAGGTCAACGTGTTAGTAAGTAATAGTGTATAGTGTGTTAGTATGATAAATTTAGTACTTTAATGTGTTCTTTGCCGAGACCTTCCCACCTAAACGGTAACACTGCTGAGTGCATTGGTTTGATTCTATTTCAATTTCTATTAAGGTGGAACCCCCTGATCAAAAAAATGTTTATACCAACCCCATAATTTTGTGCGCAAAAATTATGAATATAACAATAAATTAGCATATGATTATCAGAAAATTATGAGGTAGGTATGAATCCTTCTTCCATTCACCTTAATATAAGTTCTAATAAAGCAATATTATTATTAGCAGAACAGTTTCCCTCATTGTATAAATTAATTATTAGTATTCTTAAGTAAGTGGTTACTAGATTACTAGCAAGCAGAAAGCCTACAAGCGCATGTAGTAACTAAACTAGCACAATAACTAAATAAGCCTTTTTCTACTAGAACGTCTTGTAATTTACTTCTCTCATATTTTTTATACATGAAGTATTTGCATTTGTACTATTAATTTTAATATTTAATAAATTAAAGGGTAACTTTAAAATAACATTAAAAAATTGTGACATTGGTGTAATAAGCAAATTACTAGACAATTCTACATAAGAGTAGTACTACAACAGGTTGACAATGGAGCAATCTTACAGCGACAGTCGATCCGTTTTTGCCCACTCCTCCCGTGAAAATTACAGAAATATTGGCCTGCGCTAAGAAGACTGCGACGGCACAAGCCACAGCTATTGGAATCAGCTTCACCTCCATATCCATGGTTGGTATCTTCAACCACGAATTCAAATTTACATACAAAGCAACTACTGTCGGCAAAATAAATGAAGCAAAAACTGGACTCATTAGAAAACGTTTTTATTTATTATTTATTTAAAAAAAATGTTTTTACACTGCTATTACCGAATCACTGGGAACTCATTGAAATCGTTCATATTTTATTGCATATAAATGTACATATTCAATAACTTCCAGCTGTTTTTCGAAAAAAGTTGTAACCATTTTTATCTGATATCATATTCTTAAAAAAGACCCTTCTTCGTATACAGAGTGTCTTGTAAGTACGTGTACCATGGCGTTTTGAACTCAAAATAGCTTGATTTAGGTTAATTCACCAAAATATCTGACATTGTTTTGTTTTATTAACGGCCAAACAAAGCGATTTCAAAAAAGGTGAACTAACATATATATAGGCCCAGTTTGAGTCCAATAATCTCTGGTCTTCCATTGTACATGTACCTACGGGACAACCAGTACATCGTTTAGTTTTTTAAGAAGTCAAAAAGAATATCCAGTACTGCAAGAATGACTGCCTCAAAGCTTTTCAGTAAAGAAAATTAAACAAATATATGATTTAATTTGCCCAAGTATCTCCAGTATTTTCTAAATCATGCTTCAACTGATGACCAATATAAACTACAAAATGTTAAATAAATCTAAAATATCAATGGACTAACAGCCAATCCAACTCAGCTTTGTCTTGTATTTAATACGAATGTGTCTCACAAACACCGCTACATTGCCAATACATTTAAGAATTTGCTAACTAGGATTCCAATCGATTAATTATATTTAATCAATTAATCCCATTTTAAAACCAAATTAAGTGCTAAATAAGAACACAAGGAAAAATAGACAACATACCATTATAAACTTTCATGCTAAAGAAACAGAATTAACAGTTATGCAAAGGAGGTTATTACTCCGGTCCAAAAATGCATTTTTAGCTTCACCTTAAACATACAAGAAATTTTCAACTAATTTTAATACACAGGGTATAACTTTAAAAGGGGGTAAGATGTTTATGGGTATTAAAAATTAATAAAAATACTAATCAGATGTACTCAAAACATATTTTAAAATCATTTCAAGTTTTTAATTAAAAGTATTTGTTATTAATTTTTTAAATAACTGTGTTTAGTTTGTGAATCTCATGGTCAATGACCACCGACACTGAATTAGTTTACGTTAAGTACGTAATATGAATCCTCCAGCTGGAACAAACATTAATTTGGTGACATGATAATGAACAAATATGTCACATATATTTTTATTTTAACCTTCAATTTATCAATTTACAAGTATTAATTTTTACTGGAATCGAAATGGAATCAATTTGTATAGTGCAGTGCTATGCTAAGTTTAACTTTATAGGAACTTTAAAGTGATATTTAGTGAAGAAAAAATATGCATACAAATCAAGAAAGACGTGATTTTACAACAATGCATGCCATAGCATCCAATTGATATGTTTCTAAAGGTCAAAGGTACAGTAGACTCTGTAAAATATGACCATTCAAAGTTATACCCTTTTTTGTTACTATTATACCATTACCAGCAGTATTAGCATCAGAAAAACTTATGGTATATCCATAACCTTTGTTACTACTAACTGAGTTTGATATAAACATATTGAGCAATCCATTTAAAATAAGCACGTTATTTTTTATTTGTAGTTCTCTTACCTAATGTATATACACGGCTGCAAAATCCACATAGTTCATCTGCCTTTATGTGAGAAGTAAGTCACAGAAATCCATACGATAGACAAGGATGGCTATATTGAAGACGTTTCATAATCTGAATAGTCAATAGGATGCACTCGGTTAGAAGTGGGAATGACTATTCAGGTTATGAAACGTCTTCACTATAGCCATCCTGGTATATCACACGGATTTCTTTACTTTACTTTGTCGCTCTCATGTAAAAGCAGATGGATCATGCATCGTTGCCAGCCGTGTATAAGCATACATCCTAGTTAGCAACTCTAGGAAGAATAAGATTAAAATATTACAGAGAATATGAGAAGCCAGCATTTGAGAGACAAAAATTGTTGGGTTCTTACTGCAACTGTTGAGCCGTTCTTTCCTATGCCTCCGATTTTCAGCCTATCAAAGAACGCTATTAAAATCTGCAGGTAGCCTAGGTAAAATACCGTGCAAACCACCTGGTTTATATCTAAACCCACTCCGAACACAGACACCTATAAAACAAGGGTTCCATTGATAAGAAAATCATTGCTCCATACAACCTGAGTAACTCTTAGTTGTATATACCAAAAGAAAAATTCCTTCACCTTGTATGTTCCGAGATAAATACAAATTAAAGTGGGTTATGTTATAACAGTGATAATTCAACAGCTCCATCTATATTTTAAAAGCGTAGGTCAAAGGCATTAAACGCATTTTGAAAAAAAATACGAAATATAAGTAAATATTTTAATATACCATTTTAATGCCTGACACAATCAAATTGAAATAACAGATTGAATTTAATGCCTCCATCAATGAAATTTGCAAGCCATACTTCTAGAGAAGTAAGTATCTCATTTCGTTTAATCCATTTTAATTCATTTTGTAGTAAATTCACAGACTCACATTTAATGCAGTAAACAATCATTACACATATTAATTTTGCAATGTACGAAGACAAGAATAAGATGAATTCAAGATGATGAACTTTGTTAAAACAAATTAATCATAATTACTCTTTAATGATTGGTTAACACATATTAATAATCTCCCTTGGAGAAATTACCCCCAAAGACTAAAACAATAGACACAAACAAATCGAACGCCTACTCAATGTACAGAGGAGCTAAATTCACAGAAATCTCAACGGCACTTGAAGTACTTTCCCGAGAGAGCAGGTAACATGCTGCCTTTGCCCCGCTTGTCTCCAACTTACAGCGACGGTGGATCCGTTCTTGCCCACACCTCCGGTAAATATAACTATCAGACTGCTATAGAGAGCCACCAGACCGCACACTAGCGTACTGAGCGGTATCAAGTACCACAAGTAAAAGGTATCACTAAAAAACTGAAGGAACATTCATAGGCAGGCTTTGGGAAAGATAATTCATAATCATGATCTTTTTGTATAACGGTTAATATAGGATTTAAAAAATGCAGATGATGAAATATAATACAAAAAGTTGATTATTTTTCCATGCTGTATGAAATATAAGTGAAATGGTGACATAAAAATATCACAATGTGCGATAATAATAACGAGCGTTCAAATAAAAACGTGGTCAAGTTGGTTCTGAAAATTTGGACGTAGGGCGTAGCGTATAGCAAATGAACTTAAACGTCATCTGTCAAAGCGCTATATCGCCGCTATCAATTTGAATATTTTCGTTTTAAAAAGCGTTTAAAATGGTGTTTTCTCAAGAACAAAAAGTGTTTATCATAGAGTCCTACTTTAGAAATAGACGCAAGATTGATGGAATATGGAAGTATTCTATTGAGGAATGTTTCATAGAATTTCAAAATCAATTTCCCGTTGGCGTTGTTGAGTACAAAATTTTTCAAAGTGCAGTTCAGCGTTGTGTTAATGTTTTTCGTGAAACGGGCAGTGTAACAAGAAAAGAAGGAAGCGGCCGACCTAAAAAGCGGACTGAAGAATTAAAAGAAAATGTCCAACAAATAATGGAAAATGCACCAAGAACTGTACGTGTTTTATCACAAATGGTGGGAGTATCAGTCGGTACCTGCCACACAGTGTTAAAAAAAGATTTGCGTTTGTTCTCCTATCGTTTAACTTGTCAGCAAGAACTTCATGAAGTTGATTTTCCGCGAGGGGCCGTATTTTGTGAATGGTTTTTAAACAACTACGGTGAACTTCATAATATCACCTTTTTTTCTGATGAAGCCTGGTTTCATTTAAGTGGTTACGTAAACTCACAGAATATGAGAATGTGGTCTTCTGAAAAACCAGATAACTTTTTTGTCAAGGGCCCTCTACACGCTCAAAAAATTGGAGTTTGGTGTGCTCTCAATCGAAGGAGGATTTATGGACCTATTTTTTTTAATGGTACTCTTACTGCGCAAAGGTATAGATAAGAAATTATCGCTCCTTTTGTTAACCAGCTGGAAGAAAACGAAATTACAAACTTTTACTTTCAACAAGATGGCGCAAGGGCACATACGGCAGGCGAGACGATGAATATGTTGAGGGAAGTTTTCCAAAATCGACTAATAAGTCTCAATGCTGAACATGAATTTCCACCGAGGTCATGTGATATTACGCCGTGTGATTTCTTTTTGTGGCCTTACCTTAAAAACACTATTTTTGAACTGCCTATTCCTGATTTAAACCATCTGCAGGCTCGACTTATAGACAAGATTCGTGAAATTAACAATACCCTGAGCATCTTAGAAAATGTCTTTAATTTTTTGAGGAGCAGGTGTGAAAAGTGCTTGGAACAAGGAGGGGGACTCTTTCAGCAGCTGCTTTAATTTATTGTTATAACAAGAAGGGGGACACTTTCCGCAGCTTCTTTAATTGTTTGTTATTGTTATCACGATTATTCTTTAAAATAAAGTTATATAGTCATTAACGTTATTGAAACTGACAGCTGCTATACAGCTCGTTGAGAAATGAGGTTAAGTTGGTCGCTATAAGCTACTCCCTACGTCCAATGTGTCAGAGCCAACTTCGACCACGTTTTTATTTGAACGCTCGTTAAATTTAAATAAATGTTTAATTATTTTCTGCCAGATTCTTGTGAAACATTTCATGTAATTGTAAGACAACTTCTGGAAATAAAACATAAAAAATAGTCATTTGCAGAAATATGTGAATAGTTCCATAAAATGGGTTGAATTAGATTAACAATGATTCAACTGATTTGTTAGATTTATCACAAACCCTTTATTTTTAACACGATTTAACAAGACAACGTATTTAATTAAATGTTCGATTGTCTTAAAGAATTTTCTTACGAATTATGGAAACAATCATTTATTTAAGTAATAATAACACCACTTCCTATTTTTTTATCTCCAGAATTTAAATAAATAATGTATTATAACTGTAATATGTTGAATTCAGAATGTTATGTTCTATATGAATCTGACAGTAAATTATAATTCTATTAAAAAAAAATTGACATCAAACTATTGATAGAGGAAGACGGGGTACCTACATGAAAATATCTATTTAAAATAAATAAAATACAAAATTGATTTGTCAAAGGAAATATCATGAAAGTTTGTCATTTTAGAAATAATTAATGTATTCCACAAGTTATAATCACAGCATATGTAAACCAGGAGTTCACTCCGTTCTTTGAATTGCTTTTCTATGCCCTTGAATAGAGAAGTGCTCATCAGGGTCATAAAAAGAACTCTTTACTTGTGCAGGAAAGCATATTAAAATACATAAATCCTAATAAACATAATTTAAAAATATGAAAATTATTCACTTTAAGGATTGATTATAGTTTTATTACTACTTCATGATCTCTTTCTAATCACATTAGGTAGTGTATTCACTATTTGTTAGTGTTAATACCATGAAATTAGCTACTTCTATTATATGTTTATGTTTACTATAACTAGATTCTCGAATAAAGGGTCCTAAATCTCTGTATTAATTGGTAACAGTAATTTTGTAAGTACAGTAGAACCTCGATTATCCGTGTGCGGATTGTCCGGGGTGTGGATTATCCACGCTATGTCTAGGAATTTGTGATGACGTGTTATTTTGTGTTTTTGTTCAGTAAAGACCGTATGTCGTGTTGTGGCTAGTGCTTCTAATCTGTAGAAGTCGCAAATATTGTAGTAGCCTATTTTGAGTAAGTTGACGTTTTAAACTTAAGTAAAATATGTCAGAAAATAAAGAAAAACAGAAAAAGTTACTTCTGGCTGGTTACTTATTTCTGGCTAAATATTTTTTTCAGACTAAAAGCAATATGGCAATCTATAAAATTTCAAAATGAAAACTATTTGCTGCTTTCTGAAAACTATTATGCAATATATTGTCTGAATCGTTATAAAACTTTTTATTTTTGAAATGTATTACAAATATTAGTAAAATATTTTTATCATCTATAATTATATTTCTTTAAATATAAATACAGTAGAACCTCGCTAATGTGACTCCCCGCTTAGTCCGACCAACCTATTTCCAGCGTTTGTTTACCTACTTACAGCTCTTGACATGACTGATCACTCACATTGTTTCTTTCATGTTTTGCTATTGTTTTAATATATTTCAGACAGAACAGTACTTTCAGTTGAAAATTTAAATTTTATGTACATATGTACATGCTGTATTGTATTGTGATGTTACGGGTCAATACAAGTGTTCCTCTGACAATCCGACCTTTTTTGCGTTCTGACCAAGCTCCCGGTACTGTAGGGAACAGTCTACTGTATACACATTATGTATTATTTCTATTTTTAGAAAATCCATATCAAATCAAAGCAAATCAAATACTGTAAGATATATTTGTTCAATTAGAAGTAGTACATCATCTCATTGCACCAGTGTATCTCATTCTATATTTTATCGAATACGATTTCCAAACTGTAAAATTTTAAATACGTCTGTTTATTATTACACATAGTTGGCGAATTGTGGAGGGTTTGTGCAGACTGACTTAGCCGGTTTACATATGTTGTGGTATGATTTTACAAATAATGCTACCTTTATCTTCATTATCACACCAAAAAATATTTATAATGATCTTACAACTAATAATGCTACCTTTATCTTCATTATCACACAAAAAAAATATTTTTATTTACCTAGCAGTTTAAAGATAATAATTAATTTAATTATAATGCGACTAGTATAATCTGTGGATTACCACTTCCTTATTTACTCTGGGTGATAGTAAAAAATCATGGCGAGTATATATGAATTTAAAATAACAGATAAAATGAGCTGTTCTTTTTCCAAGAAATGGCAAAATAGTAATACCAAAAAATAATACAAAATAAATCATTATTGGTAGGATAACTGTACCAGTAATTGCCATTGTAAAATATGGTTTAAAAATGCTATGGGAAAATTGAAAACATTAGTAGACTAAAAAAAACCACATTATTTATCTTTTAATAAAATTTACAGTTAAATATTAAAAATGGGATAACTAACTAACTATTCACGAGAACAACAAATGAGGTGACATCTATTAATTTAATTTACAATCACTCTAATAGGAAAACTCTTAGTTTGCTTGTTTTATATTTGTTCAAATTTTTTTGTTGAAAAAAATATAAATGATAGTTTATTTTAAATGCGGAGAGTGATAGCAAGTCAAAAACATATTATTCAGTGTCATAGTGCAAGAATTACATATGTATCAAAATTTGTATCATTTTACTTTCCCAAGGAGAAAAAAAATTTTTTTTAAATAAACAGCTCTTAAAAATTTTGAATTTCCACACACCACATTGTGTGACATATGCAATTTTTAAATAAATAATATTATTTCTAATATTATAAACATAGAGTGGCAATTACTGATGCATTTACCTGTTTTATTAATATACAAAATTATTTTTTATCCTGAAATCCATTTTCAACAATTTTTATATATATTTGCTTACCTTCGTCGACCACACACTTGGCCCGAATATAGCGGATATTGCCAAAATGCCCATTATAGTGAACTGAGCCTCAGTAACATCCACTCTCCCAAATCTCAGAGTACCCGAGACGTAAGTCTGCCAATGGGCGCAGTAAAACAGAGTCACAGCACAAAAACACTGGAAAAATATTTATTTGTAGGCTTTGATTGCTTTTGAACGAGATGTGTTACCTGGAAAAACATCCATCCCGGGTAGTAACCCAGTTGGACAGCTATGCAAGCGGAAAGAGCAACAAAAACAGTCGATATTGAATCACATCCATGATCAAATAATTCACCAAGTGGGTTGGCAGTACCCGTTCTTCTGGCTTGCTTGCCATCTATGGCATCTAAACTTTGATATATGAATAAACCTAAGCCGCATAAGGCACAGGCCCATCTAGGGGCCTCTAATTTCGCATCAGGTGAATACCTAAATGATAAGAAATAAATAGAAAAGAAGTAAAATTAAATTATTTAAAAGAATTACAAATACTTTTGTCATTATAATGATCTCTGATTTGATTGCTATTTTTAGATATAATTAAAATATGTTCACGAGTTTTATATAAACATGTCACATGTATTTCTATAAATATGTATGTATAGGTACATATTCCTTTCCAAGAAATGTTTTGCCATACATTTACATTCAAAGATTTTTGTTTATTACACAGAAAAAATATTTTATGAACTAATTATGTACTCAACTAAATACATGTTGCAATCCAGACAGATTTAATTAGAGAAAATTCAGTTAAACTTACCACACTAATATCAAAGCTGTAATTATGTTTATGACGAGACCAAGGATGGTTATAAGGTTAGGAGCTAGCCAAATTGGCACTTTTGAGACTAACCAATTCCAATACGACTGCAGAAACGTGTCTAAAATACTACAACTTTGGCAAGAATACTGATGTTCGCTCAATCTCTTCAGCTGGGCATCAGAAAGGAGTCTTTGCTTGTACAATTTCATTGCGATCGACTAATAAATTAACCACACATTTATAAACACAGGAAATGAATTCGTGAAGCACGCTCTTTAAGGTGATGATAAGGCAAATTTAATAACTAATCAGAATAATATGTGTTATTTTAATAAAGTATCACAAACAGTTAAAGAAGACACAATTTGCGGAAGGTGAATTAAATTTGCAACTTTCCATAACATCGGATGATTTTACGTTTCAGAAATGACAGCGACACCACCACGCTCCGCCAATCAGATTTCCGTACTCTGTCTGGCGAGTGGCGTCTGGCGTCTTCTTGTCTTCTTATTCTTCGTTCTCCAGCTCTTTGCAACGTATTTCAATTGTGGTAATTGCAATAGTTTAGGATTTGAAAATATTGTTGAGCTAAGCTTTAGTAACAATAACAAAACTTTTTAACATAAAAATTAGTGATGGGCATAATCGACCAATTTTGATAATCGAGTTATCGGTAATCGAGTACTTCTAATAATCTAGTCATATATTACTTATAAGCGTAGCTAAAAAAAAAAAAAAAGCTCACGCACTTCAAAACCTAACCACTTTTTCGTTTTATTCTAAAAAAAACGGTTACGCAATCAGTGACTATTTGCAGTATGCACTGACATTTTGAGGTGCAACCGTAGGGTAATAATCACTCGAGTGGTGGGAGTAAACATCTCGAGATATCTCGAGTGATCTCAATAATCGAGTACCACTCGATTTTTCACTCGAAATCTCCCATCACTAATAAAAATTATGTACTATAGTTAACAAACGTGAACCCAAACCCAGATTTTTTAGCACAAGAGTTTCGATGTCTCAGTAACTTTATTCTACAAATGTAAAAATTATTTAGAAATTAAATTATAATTTAGAGTAGATTTCAATTAATTTACAATCTAACAAATATCATTGTTTAATGCAAACAATGTAAAACTTTAACATGAAATTCAAAGTAAAATATGTATAATCACAGTAAATACAAATTAGTAAGGACATGCACTTTTTTAAAGGCATAATGAATTGTCATTGAAAAAGTTGCCATATTAAAAGGAGGGAAAGGGAATAATATTATTCTCCATTCTGTGTCTATATGTGTGGGAAATTGTTTTTTGGCACCTTTACAGGAGTGATTGATGTTCTGAATGGATTGATATTCAAAACTAATTCACGAGCAACAGAAAGCACAATTTAGCATACAAATGTAAATAAAAAAGTGTTATCTGCAACCATAGTTTAATGACTCTAAAGAATTGTATTATACTATACTGTGTCATAATACCTATAAATAAACTTTCACAAAGTTTTAGAGCATGGGGTAATTTGATAAAATAATAATTTCCACATATATTTCTAGGAAAGAAGAAGATCTCATCGGTATATTCTATCTCTTTTTAACTTACAATAATAGACGTTAGCCTTCTTTCAGCATTTCATTGCATTTCAAATAAAAAATAATTTTAGGGCAAATCCACATTTGATTGCCTCGTGGCCTCGTTGCATTTCGTATTGTATTGCATCATTACCATTTATTTAAGTGCATTTCTAGTGTCTTACTTTGTTATGTACCTAGTGTTTTAGAGATTAGTTGAAAAAGGATTCGAGATAATTAATTTATTTATATTTATTTTATTAAAATGGCTGCGAGACAAGCATTAGAAAATCAAATTAAGCAGCAAGGAGATTTAGTCAGGAAGTTGAAAGCTGCGAAAGAAAGTAAAGAAAAGGTAAGATAACCACTGATTAGAGCAACATAAGTGTATTTCTTGTCCTGTTCAGTGTCTATTCGTTACAATTCTTTTTTGATCCTTTACCAACGAATGTTCATTGAATTCGAAAATATGGTTTCGGCTTGTTTTAATCCTTGATTAAGCAAATGGCATGACATTTTAATTAATTGTGTAAATACTTTTTTAGTTCTTCAACAATTTTTATTTAAACTCCTGAAGTATTTAATCAGTTCTAAATTAGCAGATCTACAGTTTTATTTCAATTAACACAAGTTAATTATGTGTTTTAACTTCAGGTTGTAAATGGAAATTTGTCTAGTGTATATCAAACAATTATTGAACGATCCTGTGAATTCATAAATGATTATTTGTCAACACGCAGTTACGTTTGTGGATATATTCCTACGAGTGCTGACAAGATCTTATTCAATACATTTTCTAAGCACAATGTCAGCGATTTCGTTCACATCCTGAGATGGTTCAAACACATAGAAAGCTATTCTGTTAACGAGCGAAATAACTTTCCCCAGTATGACTATGATAACTTACGAACTTTAATAACTTATTATTTAGATATGCAGGTAAATAACACGTTATTTTGTTTAGATGTGTTGAATGAATGGTTGCCTGTTTGTGAAGAAAAGAAATGATCCGTAGGGGTTTGCGCACGGTTTATTTTTGGCCACGGCCTGTGGCACGTGTTAGTTGTTTAAGCACTTCTTCCATGTCCTTTAAGGAACTACCACAGGTCAGTGAGCAAAAATTTCTTATTGTACCAGAAATGATCTTGTTGTGATGACCATAATCTAAAATATTCACCATTAATTCAAAACAAGTTATTGCGAACCATTATTCTAAAAAAAGGTCAAGGTTTTTGGGTCCGTTAAAAGATGTTTCATATTATTCGTCAGGAACTAAAAGTGAAAGTTTTTAATTTCAGTACTGTGCAAAATAAGTTTTAGTATTTCCTTATAAAAAACTCAATGTAGCATAAAAATTAGAGTTTAGCGTTAAATAATTTTTAAGCTTTCTAATAATTATAGTAAAATATCACTATAGTTCCTACCTGATTTCAAATAAAATCATTATTAGTCATGATATCAATTAAATACATAAAATCTAATCAAGTGTTCCAAAGTCTCTCATAATAATTAGAATTTTCTGTACAAGATAATTTCATATAAATATTTTGCTTGCATGCCTATGTTAAAATTTGTCTAATAAGTGCATATATTTCTAATTGCCACAAAAATTGATAAACTCATAAATTAAATCAAGAAAAAAAGAAATTACAATCTTGAGGTTGAGAAATGATTTGTCACATTATAAGCAAGCAAAAAATAAATAATACAGAGTATTCACTGATACTGTAAGTTGAAATAAATATTTTGCAATTTTTTTATTGATAGGAATTCTGTTATTTCTAATTACCATTAAGGACAGATCAGATCTTCCTTTCATTTGGCAATAATTTATGATTAAAATTTTCTGAAATAACTTGATTTTAAAGTTATTATTTTCTTTTGTAGATATCAGAAGAAGTTTCAAAGCTCTTGGAGCTGAAATCTCAGTTAAATAATTCATCAGAACCATCTGCAAATAATGTACCAGTTAATCAAAAATTTACTCTCAAAACCGCAAAGGGTACCAGGGACTTTTCACCTGAGCAAATGGCTCTCAGGCAAGGGGTGTTACAGAAAATTGTGTCGGTATTTAAAAGACACGGTGCTGAGACCATCGATACTCCCGTTTTTGAATTGAAGGTAAACAATTTTTTTTTTAATTAATAAAAGTGATGATTTCTAAGATTTACTTAAGAACATATGATATTTTCTTTCTCTCGTAATACTCAGGTATTTTTCATTTTAAAAAGCATAAAATTGGGTCACATATGATGATCTATGACCTCTTCTAATATCAATCTACATATTATATACGCATCAGTAAAACTGGGACATACATTTTTGATAAACACTAATTATATCTAATATCCTTGATCTTCAAATACATTATTTGAATTCGTGTATCGAGACATTATTAAAATACCTATACACTGATTAACTTTTCTGTGGCAGTAATTACAATTTATAAATTAATAATTTGTTATTTAATTTTTTTTATCTTTTGTGTTTTGAGGACAAAACAGTTTTATTTTAGTTATTATATAGATTTATCATTGTATAAATGTATAGTATCTCTATTAAAGGTGTGTAAAAAGAATATTAACGAATGAAAATAGTAAATTTGTGTTGAAATAATTTTTAAAGGATTTTTATCCCGTGACTCGATATGATCCATATAACCTTGAAATAAATTCTTTGGTCTATTGCTTTATAATAGTTTGCCTTTTACATTTACTGTTATTAAGTTGACACTTGAAGTGCACCCATAGAGAACCGGGTGAAAGTACATTTACATTTAGCCTTAAGCAGTGCAATGTAGGTACCACTTCGAGCTAAAATATAATTTGAATTTGATTAATATTTATTATTAGTATTACCTAATTGTGTGAATTTAATTTTCATTTTTGTAACCATTTTATCTGTCCAAGTTTTCAAGTTTAAGTTTCTTATTTTCCTTTTATATTTTTTTTAATAAATCTCGCACAAAATATAAAAACAGTCAATTTATTAATGTAACTTGATTTGTTATTGATTTTTCTTAAATGAAAAATTGTACAACAAAATATTTGTGGAATTCCCCATATTGAGTAGTAGATAAATTAAAAAAATTACATTAGTGATATCAGTTTTAAATTCTTTGAATATGTAAGTTCTTTCCTATCAGTTTATTATGTTGTTATTTTAACTAGTAGTATACAGGGTGTCACTTTGAGTGAGGATCATATTTACACAGAAGATACATTTTCTCAAATTCCATTGCGAAATTTAGTTCGTTTTAACCTTTTTCATAATTTTAACACTCTTTTTGCTAGAAATGCTAGTATAACCAACAATCACTCATACTAAATTGGGTTAATGTCACTTTCAATGGGTCCATATTTATATGTAGGCTCCTTTGGCCTTTAGAAACATATAAGTTTATTTTTTGAAATTCTGTCATGAGAACTTATATACATATTTTTTAACTTTTTTTGCTTTAATATCTATTGGCAGAAATATTTGAAGAATTTTATACTTAAGATGTTCTATATTAATCTGAAGGTGTTTTAAAAATAATTTCTGTCCTTAGATAATCTTGTGTACATTTTTGTGTTTTACATTAGATTTCTATTGGTATTAGAAGTGTTTCTTTCATGACAAGTTGTACATATTTCTTACAATTTCACTGCTGCAACATCACCTCATTGTATATTTAGTATATTCAACGAATAGATATATCAATCTTCATATAATGAAAAAAAAAATAGTATGGTGTTGACTCATTGTTTATTTAGTGTAAAATATATTTAAAAATGTTACCTTTCTGAAATAAATTTTGTAATATTTCTGCAAGTTACATAATTAATTTACTACATATGCACATGCATTAATAAATATTCTATACAGGGTAACTTTGATTAGGGGCACATTTTTATGGATGCTACCTTGATCATTAGAAACATATATTATAAGATTGTTTTTCCAAATTCTGTTGTGAGCATGGAATTTAATTTTTTTTGCGTAATTTTTGTATCCCGACATTGGACATACCAATGTAACCTCAAATAACTGCGAGCACATACCCAATTGGGAGTTACCATATGCATTGTTGTCATATCTCATATTTCTTAATTCGTGTAAAGGATTTTTCATATCTCAGAAATTTTACAATGAAGACACACAAACACAGCGTACCATTACTAAACACTGAAATAAATAACTAAGTATATACACTTAACTACACAAGACGTTTTACTAAATATCACATTCAGTTTTACCCTAAAATTAAATTTAATAAAACAGAACACGGCACTATAGAAGTTCTGTTTGGATTTCAGTGAAAACTAATACTTCACGCAGAAAATTGCAAAATTATCGCCAAGTTAGAAATACTTTAATTTAAATAAAGTGAAAAATGAAATGAAAGTTATAAAATGAAGCGGTGACATATTCTGCCATTCTCATTTTGCTGAATTAATGTTGGAAATTTGTTTTTTGTCTGCCTAGAGCCTGCTAGTCATATCACATAAGGTGCATTGATATTGTGTAGTTCACTTCAACTAGGTCAATGTCAGAAGTCACATATATCCTGTATACATATCATTTTATTTTTTGCTGTATTAAAATATATAAAAGTAAAATTAGAAATAGTTCTCAACAGATTCTTTCTCTCCCCTAGGAAGTTTTAACTGGAAAGTATGGTGAAGATTCGAAATTGATTTACGATTTGAAAGATCAAGGAGGAGAAATCCTTTCTCTCCGTTATGACTTAACGGTACCTTTCGCCAGATATCTGGCGATGAATAAAATCACGAACATCAAACGTTATCACATAGCCAAAGTGTACAGGAGAGACAATCCATCCATATCCAAGGGAAGATACAGGGAGTTTTATCAATGTGTAAGTAATTTTTACTGTGTATTGACTACAAATTTCAGTAAAAATGTTCTTCTAGGATTTCGATATAGCCGGAGCGTATGACCTTATGATACCGGATGCCGAGTGCGTCAGAATCGTCTACGAAATCCTAACTGTTCTCAAAATGACGCCTTTCGTCATCAAACTGAACCACCGCAAGTTACTCGATGGCATGTTTGAGGCTTGCGGTGTACCCAAAGACAGTTTCCGAGCCATCTGTTCTGCGGTCGATAAGCTAGATAAGTCGCCCTGGGAGGAGGTTCGGAAGGAGATGATCGAAGAGAAAGGTTTATCGGAGAAAACCGCTGACCAAATAGGAGAGTATGTTAGGCTCAACGGTAATTCGGAGCTGGTCGACAAGCTGATGAAAGACAGTAAACTTTCTGGTAATAAATCGGCTGTGGAAGGGCTCGAGGCGATGAAGCTTTTGTTGAATTACTGTAACATTTATGGAACTACGGATAAGATCCTGTTCGATTTGAGTCTGGCTCGAGGGCTTGATTATTACACTGGTGTCATTTACGAAGCGGTGTTGTTGGGAGGTAAATTATTAAAAAATTTTAAGTTGCTTTACAGTTAGTAATTTTTTTCACTTATGTAGTACCTAAATTAGTAGGTCCTTCTTTGCTAATAGGTACAAAGTAATGGTTTATCCTAGGAGATCGTGTAGCAGTGACATATTACATATACTTTGTAGGTTATATCCCATAGCATGACCTACACCAGTAGGTACAAAGTAATGCTTATGCCAGTAGGCATTGAATAATTTTGACATTTAAGATGACATACTTTGTAGGTTATATCTCACAGAATTACATTAGCAACACATAGAGTCCTGAGGATGTCATACTAAAAACAGCTAAACGCCGATGTGTAATAGTGCGAAGTGTAATAGTTTAATAAAAAAAAATTATAATTCCTTATTTAAATAGAAAAGATTTAATATTCGTAAATTTTATATCTGAAATGTACATTATAATTTTTTAATAATAATTAAAAATATATATTATGGTCAGCAACACTTTGTGGTATCTTATTGAATATTACAAAAAACATAACATTTCCGTTTCAGATGAAGCGGCCGGTGATGAAATCCTAGTGGGTTCCGTGGCAGGCGGCGGCCGCTACGATAATTTGGTTGGCATGTTCGACCCTAAAAACAAACAAGTACCCTGCGTAGGCGTATCGATCGGGGTGGAACGGTTGTTCGCGGTCATGGAAGCGAAATTGGCGTCGCACAACAAGAAGACCCGCACCACGGAGGTCGAAGTGTACGTCGCCACAGCACAGAAGAATCTGTTGGAGGAGAGGATGAAATTGTGTAACGAATTGTGGAATGAAGGATGGAAGGTAAAAGTCGTTTTTAAACAAAAAGTTCCTTTTGGACAAATTAGAAGAAAATTATGGGATTAGATGATGAATAACTTGCCGTAAAGAAATATGACCCAATTTTTTTCACTTTGAAGTTATCATAGAAAAATTGAAAATTTTATTTTTTTTAATTTTATTAATCAAAAATGTAGAGGTGGATTTTTTAAACACTGTCAGGACACTTTTTTCTTGGGAATTAGAACATGTTAAATAAAGCTAACCAAATTAGGTGTGGTTTGGGTCACAAAAAACCTTTAATTTAAACATTTTGTATCTTACAAACAATCCCCCAGTCCAAAAATTGGACCACCCCATTGTTAATCATAAATTCTTTTCTCTAAACGATTGTGTCTAAAAATATTAGGTGGAGCACTCGTACAAGAAAAATCCAAAACTCCTTGTTCAGTTGCAACACTGTGAAGAGTACGGGATTCCCCTCGCAGTCATTCTGGGTGAATCCGAGTTGCAGAGAGGTGTCGTAAAACTTAGAGTGGTGCCCACTAGGGAGGAAGTCGAGGTGTCTCGCACTTCCTTGTCCGATGAGATTAGGAGACGGCTGCAAAGCCTTTGCATTAATGGGTCTTCATGATAGTACTTACGTTAGATTCTATACCAAATTGTGTGACAAGTATTAATATTTTATGAATGTACAGTGTAAATCATATGCAAGAATAATGGACTTAAATTGTAAAAGAAAAAATTGAGTAATATCCGAAAAGATTAGTAGAAATGGAATTTTATTAAAGATAGGCATTACAGTTATATATTGTTAGACATATATTCCCTTTTATTTTTCTTAGTAAATATGCTTTGTTATTTATTTATAATTATTTGCAAATCTGATAATAAATTATTTGTTTCTAGTTTTTCTTTTTTCACTGATTTGAATTAAAATGAAAAATTACGTTACTAGCAATTTTCTCAGAAGGTAAGTGAAAAAACTTTTACTTTCTGTTACTTTATTTACAATAAAATATATCATATACTAATGAAATATGATAATACATTTAAGATTATTGTCACAACTAGTTTCTTCTAGAGGAATGGAAAATTAATAAAATTATAAAAACACCTTAATTTCATGAAAATAAATTAAAAAAAGAATAATATCTATTACACCAAACCATATTGTTTAGAAAGTCGGTGCTATTATTCATTTACCTCCAACATGGTTTGAGTTTTTTGGAACTATCAATCGATGTAGTACCTGCCAAACATTAATAATCTACATGCAACAACGGCCTTCGAAAAAGTAAAACATGAGGCTCGGGCGTGTGTAACATGTAATGTACCCAGTTGGGGCTCTGCTGAACTCCCAGATTTCTCCACTCAGTCTCCGTCATTAAATGAGGACGTGGTACAAGCTTAGCCAGATCTGGAGGTAATATAACGTGCCTGTACTCGTAGTGCTCATCGCAGTATTTTTCGGAATATTGGATAGTCTCGGCGGGCATACCGCTTTAACCTCTAAATTTAATGTATTTTAGAATAAAATATATTTTTCAGTAAAATGTAACTTACCGTTCTTACTCTTGGTTTTGTTTTCGTTAAATATATATTATTCAAAAAAATAGTGAATTTAAATGAATAGTAAACAACTAGATAATCTCTAACCAAAATGTTATAAATTATCAAATTAAAAGGTTAATTTCTTCTTCTTCCTTTTTCGTCGCTTGGCTTCTATCCATAGATTACAGAGTCCTCTCTCCTGCTTGCGCTTTGTTCGCTGGGTAGTACCATTGTATAAGTAAATTTAGTAATTTACTTATACAATGGTAGTACACAGAAAACAGTAATTGGGCTTTTACCGAGGATAATGGAACGTTAACTTCTATCATTGTTTATAAAAATATAATTAGACAACAATATTAATTCTGTACCATGGCACCGACAAAGCGGGGACCATAATGTATAATATAGGAATTGTTTCCAAAATTAACATGTTTTCGTCTTTTGATGTGATAAAGATTTTGTCAAAAATAACTTAAAACCATGGTAAGAACTGTTATTTGTACAAATAAAACCTAGTCTAGGATGAGAGGAATAACTAAAATCTAAGAGGTGCGTTTTGTTGGATAGATCCCAGATTTATTTGATTCTTTAGAATGACATTTATCACTAAAACCATGGAGACTAGATAAGGAGCACGAACTCATACGGGAAAATTGACAAAATTTGTCCAAGAAATGGCAGAAGTTGGGGTGGCGCTAGTGTTCCATANAGGCACCGACATAGCGGGGACCATAATGTATAATATAGGAATTGTTTCCAAAATTAACATGTTTTCGTCTTTTGATGTGATAAAGATTTTGTCAAAAATAACTTAAAACCATGGTAAGAACTGTTATTTGTACAAATAAAACCTAGTCTAGGATGAGAGGAATAACTAAAACCTAAGAGGTGCGTTTTGTTGGATCGATCCCAGATTTATTTGATTCTTTAGAATGACATTTATCACTAAAACCATCGATCTTATAGTACTAAAACGATTTCAATAAAATCTAGCATTTGACAGATGCCGGATGTCAACGGACCAATGCCATAGCAGCTACCTTCCGGAATCAATCCAACAAAACGCACCTAAAGTGCCTTGAAAATATGTCCCTACCATTAGGTTGTTTATGGTTTTATAAACTCTGCTTCTACTTCTTACACAACCAAATTTTTTAAATTTCATTAACAATAATTTACATTTCAATGTCGAAAAATAAAATAGTCTAAAATGATTTTTTTTATTTAAATTAAACTACTTATTTTTAATTATAAAATATATATACATAAATAGAAGAAATAATATTTGTGATAAATAAATGTTAACTTTAAAATTATGTATACTTATACCTTAAATTAGAAGCATTTTCTATAAAAATTTAAAATCCAGAATTTGTTTTTAGACTGCTTTGTCAAATCAACTATGAATTGTTGACGACATTTGGATTTTTCCCAAAAATTGCTATTACTTAACTAGTTTAAATACATCCTTATAACTAATTATGGGAATCTTTATATAACCATGTATATATCCTACTATCTGTACATTGATTTAGAGTATACATAATAATTATAATTATTCATAGTTTTGAGATATTTTTGTAATCACGTTGATATATAATGAAACAATGAAACCTAGGAAATATGATATAAATGCAGTGTAAAAAATTTTCAAGCCAAATCTAACCCAAAATTTAAATGCTGTCATTAAGGTAATACCATTCACTGATCGGTCAATGTTTACTTCTTTGCAATGCAGCCTTGCCAAAGTAAGCCACCGCAGGCCATACACACTATAAAGTAGACAGTCACAGTTATAATTACACCTATAATCACATAGAGTTTCACATTCTTCCAGAATAGAGACCTTGCCAGATTTCTGCTGGTTATTCTGAAGGTAACTGACTGCAATGAAAAAAAAAAAAAGATTTCAAATACACGTATTTGTTAATCAATGTAAATTATACTAGGTATAACATTAAATTGGGGTCAGTTTTTTAGGGGTAATAGGACTTGCTCCCCAGAATACTATTTTAGAAATTACACTTAAACTCTTGTCTACACCGTCACTGGGCAGGGATATTGGCATAGTTTAGGTGAAGTACATAATATCCAGCTGATGTGATGACAATAAGGAGTTAGACGTGCAAAAAACCAACGGTCAATATTAATTTAGATAAATGAGAATGACCGGATGTCACCAATTAATTTTATGACATTTATTTGTTTTTAGTTCATCGGTTTTATGAGAAGGTATTCGTAATTCAGTACTATATAATACAAATAACTGTATGATTAATGATTAGATTTTGTTTTCAATTACTAAGACCTCACTTATTTTATCTGTAAATAAATATTTTTATCAGATTATAGTTATCAGAAATGTGAAAAAATAAATAACAATTAAGTATTGTTAATCATTGGGTAAATATTCATATTTTCTGAGATTATTCTACTTTTAAATACATGTTTATGATTAAGCAGAATATGTAAAACAGGAATAAAATTCAATAATAACAAGATGTATTTGGTTACATGTAAATCAAATTTTATACAATTTTTAAATGCTTATTATTTTATAGGTACGTTATAAATAATTAATTATATGCGAGTAAAAGTATTGAACTATAATAATCATTTCGAAACTTACCCCACTGTTCAAATTTTCTGCCTTATTGACCAACAATTCTAATCTTTCTCCTCTCATTGCAACATTATCTAAAAAATATTATTAAGCAAATTATTGTTTAATAAGTAACTTCATATAATTAAATACCTATATTCTTAACCATAATATTCTTTAGCTCATCTAATTCGCTATGGACCTTTGAAATTGTATCCACATCATGTGATTCGGAATAATGTTTCATTTCATTGGCCAGTACCCTCGAAAATTCAGAATTCATAGCATACGCAATGGCTGTGTCAATGTTAGAACCGTAAGTTGTCTGAAATCGTCTTTTGATTTCATTGAGGAATAAGAAAGCTCGACTACGTTCAAATTCCTAAAATATAAAAAACACATTTTTTAGTAACACACATATTTTTTTTCTTAATAATTAGATAATCTACTTTTGTAGGTATTTTCAAATAAAACATGTTTAAAAACTGTCAATGATTACATACATCGTCTGTTATACACATGTATATTATTCGGTTTTCAGATATGTAGTGAAATAGATAGTTCCCATGGGAGTATGTAAGTTTGTCATTTTGAGGAGGAATCTTTTCAATTATCTGTTCCGTAACTTCCGCAAAATTGCCAGCACAGCTCGCATACTTTGCTAGGACTGTGCCTCCCCTAGACACAACACTGTATAAAATTGGCATCTGAAAAAAAAAAAATAATAAAGTGAAGTATTTTCTGTTGCTTTAAAAAAATTTCTAATACACAAGTCAAACATATTAAATCCTTTGTTTCATTAAATAAAAACAATAGTAATTATAATTATGAACGAAAAAAAATTGTTTTCAAAGTTTACGTACATTTCACATTTAATGCAACGACTAAAACATGAATTGATGTAGAAGAATAAGTTTAAAAACAGTGAAAAATTAATAAAAACTGATGATTTGACAGTTTACTTGACGTTGACGTTTCTTTTTTTTTGTCTGACAAGTGGCAAGACAAGTGACAAGTGACAACTGGTACAATTTCGTCTTCTTCTACGTACATTTTGCTACGTGGTCACAGCACAGCAACTCCTGTGTTTAATGTTTAGTATCTAATTTTTAGGTTGGAATGGCCTGACATTTATTTAATAGTGAAATTCTTATATTGAGAATTTTTAAGATTTCAAACTAGCAAATAATTTTTTTAATTTTAGCCTTGGACGAAATAAATTAATTCTACAATCACGATGTCCACTGAAACAGAGCAAGCCCGAATTGAATTATTACAATTACTTTTTCCCGATGAATATCCAAGTAAGTTTGACAGTTTTTTGAATTTTGGTGGTGATTACCTTTTTAAGGTGAATGGAACTATGACGGCAATGTTCAAGATTATTTGACAAAATTGGGAACTTATAAACTAGAGGATTTGGTGAAGGAACCAGATCGCTTAAAACTGGAAACGAATTCAATTCAAGAGCAGATCCAGGAACTAGCAGTTACCAATTATAAAACATTTATAGAAACAGCAGAATGTTCTAGAGAGCTTTTTAAACAATTCAATACTATTGAAAATAAGTTAGATATCCTTATAGATAAAATACCAAAGTTTGAGGAGGAATGCAAAATATTTGCGGAGAAGTCAAGTGATATAAATGATTTGAGGAAATTAACATCTTTAACCCTGACTAAAAATGCGCAGTTATTAGAAATCTTGGAATTGCCGCAATTAATGAATTCTTTTATAAATGATGGTTTATACGAAGATTCTTTAGAGTTAGCTTCTCACGTTCGAAAATTGTATAACAAATACCCTGACATACCCATATTTAAAGTAAGTTGCTTCGCTTTAATTCATTTCAAAGGTAATACACATTATTTTAGAGCATTGCTGATGATGTGGATAGAGCTTGGCTTCTCATGTTGCACCAATTGCTAGCACAGTTAAGGCAAGATTTGTCTTTACCGAAATGTCTTCAAATTGTCGGTCATTTACGGAGGATGGAAGTTTTTACAGAATCTGAGCTAAGGCTTAAATTTTTACAGACCAGGGATTGTTGGTTACAGAAATGCCTTCAAGCAATCCCTAAAGATGATGGTAAGTTTTATAATATTCTTAATCTTTCTTCATAGAACGTGTTTGGTTTCAGTTGGTCATCACTTAACAAAAACCATAGAAGTGACGAGAGTAAACTTATTTAACATTATCACTCAATATCGGGCTATATTCAACGATGATGAGCATAGTCCCTTAGCTTTGATGAAAAACCATAATGTCAACCAAAACGTGATATTTTTTAGTTGGATAAAGGATAAGGTGCAGCATCATACGGATTTGTTTACGTTTTCATGAATTTATAAACGTTTTTTATTTTCAGATTGCTGAATTTTTGCTAATATTGGAAGAAGATCTAAAGAGTGTCACTTCTATAGAAACAATTCTTGAGCAGTGCATGTATTTTGGTCTTTCGTTTAGTAAAGTGGGTTGCGATTTCAGATCATTGATGATACCAATCTTTACTACGAGAATATCTCAAAATTTCTCTGGTGCCGTATCGGAAGCTTTAAAAAATTTTGAAACGAACATCGAACGGTTCACTTTGATTAACAAAAACCATCCTAGCATCCCGTGGAAAACCAAAAATGAAGATCCGCTGCAACCCCCAGATAGTTTGCTGGAGTTTTACCCCTTAGCCGATTATTTGAACAGTATTTTAATTGCGTTGAATAAATTGAGGTTGTGTGCACCCATAGCTATTATTGACGATGTGGTGAGTTCCTTGCAAAGTTCGTTGATTTTCATCTCAAAGTCTTTGCTTGTATTATACAATCAAGAACAACAAGCATTTACTGTTAATTCAAAGGACGCCTTTACTCGTTTGTGTATGAGTTTTTCCGACGATTTGGTTCCTTATCTGCAAAAGTGTGTGCACGTTATTTTTCCGCCTAGTCAGATTGCGATGAAATTAGGTGTTAATGTTCAGAGTTTACAACAAGAACATATTTCGTTTTTGGATAAAAATACTATAGTGGAACCTATTAAACATTTATTACCTGCAAAAATTGAACCTGATGTGACCAGGGCGAGTGTAGAGGGTAGTAATAAAAATGACGAGGGTGCAAGTATAAGTAATAACGTCGAGGCGCATTCAAATGAAAATGAGAATTTAGAGGATAATAATTAAACGTGTTATTGCAAATTTAAGGTCGAGAATTTAAAAAAAAATCAATCAGCTGTACATATAAATTTTGAAATTAGAATATAAGTAGCTCATACAAAAATGTTGTTTAAAAAAATATATTTTAAATTATGTAAATATTGTCTTAATTAATGTTCCTTATACAGGATGGTTCAGTGCTTAATCTGGAACAGAAGTGATAAAACAAACTATTTTAAGTAAAAAGTTTCTTATGAGTGTGGGCCATGAAGCGGTAACTGAAGAAGATCATAAGTGACCAGGCACATTTGAAAATGACTATCAAATATTAAAAATGTCCACAGTTTTTTAAACATCATCAAAACTTAATATTTTGTTTGTTTCAGATTGAAACTTGGTTTCTCATTAAAATAAACTTTATAGATAAAAAATGTCATTTCCTGAATTTTTTTACATAAAAATAGTTTTTTAAGAAAATTATTTATTGGTACCATCGTGAAAAATTATTTCTCTAAAAAATGCGAAAAAAAATTTTTACAAAATTAATAGTTTATAACAAATTAATCATTAATTATTGCAAAATGGACCGTGCAGTTATTATTTTCATGCGCTACCCATATTAAAAAAAAAATGTTAAAATTGGTCCACAATTACCGGATATCGCAAAATTTTCGGGCAGTTAAGATTTGAAGTCTCAGAACATTTGTCTTATTTCCCCCACCACATTCCAGGTGTAAAAATGTATTCGAGGACGTTTTTTAAAGGGTTAAAAATGACTATAAAATGCATTTTTTTCCATATCTTTAACCGTTATTATGAAGTTTAAGGATTGATTGATTTATTCCCGAAATTTCAAGTCTTAATATTTATAAATAAACAAGTTATGAATTAAAAAAAAAAACGCTAGGTCCTAGAACTATTGTTTTTTTAATTTGTGAAAAATTACCAGCATTACGAATATCAAAGTGGCTTTAAAAAATATTAATTCTTCACAAAGTTATAATAAACAAATTACACTATTTGTTTATACACTATTTTGAGTTTAGCCTATGAAATTACAATTTCCAATTGCATATCTTGAAAATATAAGTCAAGACGAAACAAATGAGCCCTCATAAGGCCCTTTATTATAACAACCGCGTTTTTGCAATTGAAAAAATGCTATTTCTAATAAACAAATGCAAAAACTCGTAAACAAATAAATATTTTTTTCCAAATTTGCAGGGTTTCTCAAGAGTAACAAAATACAACTTTTACTGCAGTTTAGAAACGATCTATGCTCTTTTCTTCTATTTATAGCAAATTCAAATTTTACTGGTTTTTTGCAATTATTTAAACAAATTGTTAATGGATTTTAATTTAGCAGGTCTCAAATGAAGCGTTTTTTGAAAACCTAAAAGTATAAACAAAAGCAAAAACTCCTGTTGGAGAGTGCTTTTTAATACTAAAAAACTCCATTTTTGGTAATTTTTACATTATAATCATTGTTTAAACAATTATCTTGTTGTTTTAAACCGATACTTTTTGGGAAATATTATTTCTTTTTGCCTAAACTAACGATTAAACCAAGTTTCAATCTGAAACGAATTACCTTTTGATTTACATGTATTACAAATTTCATTTAAAAATTTTTGTAAAGGATTTTCTTGAAATAGTAATAGAAAAGTAGATAATAAAAGTACAAAAATAGTTTAGAAATGTGCTATAAGCATAACAAAAAAACAAATTCAAAAAAATATTTTTCAAAATTGGAAACGATTCCGTTACTTGTCAATTATTAGGTGACTGGTCATTTAGCCATAGCTATTTGGTAATTTGGTTAGGACCAGGTAAAAATTAAAATGTATATATTTAACATTTTTATAGTTTTATTAATCTAAATAAATAAACAATGTAAATTTTAATAAAATGGCTGGTTATCCTAAAATCCAATAGAGTAGTTACGAGTATAAGTACACACAACTTATTAAAATATCAAATGTAATGTAATGAGTATTAAAAAATCATCCGAGAATATGTAACTAATGATAGAAGCTGCAATGCTGTTATTATTAAAATGACGATGGTACTTATGTAAGATGAGACGTCGAACATTTAGAGAAAACGGCAGTGTTGAGTACGATTCAAGCCCATCTAAAATATTAATAATCAAATATTTTCGAATTGGACATTTGAGCGTAACCTTAACTACTTCACTACACATTAATTATCATCTTATAGATTTAGTATCTTAGGTATATATATTCTTTATATAAAACAGTTTATTAAAATGCAGCCAAAATGACTTAGCTAAAATATAGTGACAAGAATTCTTCATATTGTATAAATCTGCAGTATGAATATTAAAAATTGTGTTAATATGTATCGGTGAATAAAAAAAATACATAGTTTTAACTGTTTATAATTAGATAAGTTCTGTGTTCTGTTATATATTTTAGCCAATTCAACTGTGTAGTACTTTTCAAAACACATGTTTAAGAATAAAATTGGTTAAAAAAATGTTTTAAAAATATTGTTTCCGTATTTTTTATTTGCAGTTTGTGTCACGTCAGCTTACATTAATTTTTAACGTAATTAAAAAAAAGTAGCCCTTATTAATACTCATTATTACGACCATTTTAACCAACTTATATTCCTAATCTATATTTTGAATCGCTCAATTATATACGACTATGCTCTTTTCCCTATCCTCTAACATTATTCTTTACTCTTATTAATGTTAATATTTTCCCTTATAATACTGTTAACACATATTCTCACGAGACAGTATACAGATAAAATATTCCAGAACAAATTAAATACATACTTAAAGTTAAGTTACCTTCGTAATGGAATCACATTTTCGTAATGATTAAATTTAATGCTTTTGAACCCTTGATAATTTCTGTCTTTATACGATAAAGACAAAAATATTAATAACAGGTACGAGTTGCATTTTAAAAGACTTATATCTTAGATGATCTTTTTCTAACACAATTTCTCGGGTGATGTGTCAGTTTGTCATTTGGATAAACAATTATCTGGATTCATTCACCAATATCAATTCAAATCTTTAAATAGAACATCAACCACTGCAATTCCTTACATAGCAACATCTTCGTACAGGGTATCCCAGAGAAGACGGCCAACAGGGCAAGCACAGATTCCCACAGAATTTTCTAAATCTTCATTTAATAATTATTTTCGATGATTTTCTTCATATCAATTTCAAATTTGACACATATTTATAATGTATATATTGTAATCGACTTATGGATATTTATTTATGCTGAAAAACAAATATAGATGGGCTTGCCATTACCCCTTATCATCCTCAACTTTTTTGTAGTTTTTTCATTTATTGCATTTTGTGACAAATACCACTTTTAAAAAGATGTCCACTAAATTTAAGGAGAAAGCTTCTTATTGAAAATGTTTTCAATAAGAATTTTTAAAAAGTAATAAAAAAAGGACAAAAATATTTTTAAAACAACTTATTACATTTTAAACAATATTACTAATGTCAAATGCAAACATCACTGAATTAATCCTCGAGAAATTATTACAATTAAAATCATGTAAATGCTCGTAGGTATGTTATTAACGAAGATCTTATATTAATAATAAAAGTACATTCCTTCTTCATAAACGATGTCCTTTACATTATTATCACAGAACAAGAAACCCATTGGATGAAAATCTAGGGATTGTGGTGGACATTAAACAAGAACATTTCAGGTTTGTCCAATTATTTATTATTATTATTATTACTCTCTTAAATAATGCATATACAGGGTGTATCTAAATAACACCGAAAAAATTCAAGGGGCGATTCTCCGATAAAAATTAATAGGGGTCTTTGGTATAAAATTTTTTGAAAAAACCCTCCCCTGAAAAGTTACGCCCCTCCTAAAATTACAAAAAAAAATTGTTTTTCTTTTTTATCTTCCACGTACATCAAGCTAAAGAAACCAAACTTGGTGAACATTATCTGTCAATAAAACTACACTTTTTGAATTTTTTTCAACCCTGAACTATTTTTGTAAGGGGTTGAAATAATCAACCCCTATGACATTTTTTCTTATAATTTTTTTTTCGATAAAATTTTTTCCTTTTAAAAAATATGTCTAAAAAACCCCATTCATTTACTAACTTTTTGATCTCTTCAAGTTTCTTCGAAAAGTTAAGGATTTATGACAAAAAAAATAAATGTATTGTAATGTATTTTTAAAAAGATGAGTTGTTTAACGCGAGTGTATTTTGCCGAAAATGTCATAGGGGTTGATTAGTTCAACCCCTTACAAAAATACTTCAGGGTTGAAAAAAGTTCAAAAAGTGTAGTTTTATTGACAGATAATGTTCACCAAGTTTGGTTTCTTTAGCTTGATGTACGTGGAAGATAAAAAAGATAAACAATTTTTTTTTGTAATTTTAGGAGGGGTGTAACTTTTCAGGGGATGGTTTTTTTCAAAAAATTTTATACCAAAGACCTCTATTAATTTTCATCGGAGAATCGCCCCTTGATTTTTTTCGGTGTTATTTAGATACACCCTGTATATTATTTTCAAAAATTGCTATTTATCTAAAAATGTGCAAGAAACGGAAAATTTCTAGAAAATAATTGCAATGAAATTTGAAAAAATGTCAATAGGCGTGAATACAAAAAAGTGGGGATGTCAGGACAGTCCTATTCTTTATTTGTTTTTCGACTTGCTCCATAAACTCACAAGAATTGCAATGGAAAATCGTTAATATATCAAAAGTCATTGAATTATCAAGATTTTAGAAGCCCTATTTTAATGTCCCGCATCCTTTAAATGAAGCATTTGATTTCAGAATTACCAGATTGGCCTTTTTTCCTGGGACACTCTGTATATGAGAACATCCAATGCTACAGCATCCCTTTCATTTAGTAGAAAATATTTTTGTTCAAAGTATTTGTGATTGAGACATTTTACATATATATATATATTATACATACAAAATAAAAAAAATTAACTCGACGAAATGTGCCACTTTTGGTAAGAGAGGAAGTTTGCAATTCTATAAAACACCCTGTGTTCCTTAATATTACTAAAAATTTAATGGGTGCAAATTGCTATTGGCGAATTGTATCCAGATTCATTTAAAAATAGAGGATGAAACGTAAATAATATTGGAAACGAGATGACAGTATGACTTGTAGAATTTCACTTAGAGAAGTCTGTTCTGGTACAATATATTGGTTAATTCAGTGGTCCACAAAAATTCCAAGCAGTACATTTAGTAACTATACAATCTACAGATAACTTTACGAGTCCCTGGCGGTTGATCCATATAAAACGTGAAAAAAAAATGAACGTGCCGTGTGTTTGCGTGTGAGTGACACTGAAAGGATTTTTGTACATTTGATACCAGTTTTGTCGAACCTCACGTCAAGTGTCCATTAACTTGATTTGATTATTTATATACACACATTTACCAAACACCTAGTTATAAGTACTTCAATTCAATTTTCTTAAGTAGCGCTTGTTAATTAATAATCATTGTAAAAGTATCTTATAAAAACCACATTGGGACCTTGAGACTCCACCGGCCGCATTACTACAGAAAAATAACCTATGGGTGTCATCCCCAGCCCTTAACACACTTACTATTTTCAGTAATAATAACGTTGGGTAATATAAAACTATCCTAACATTGAGTTCACAGATATATTAATAATATGTATATAGTTTTAAAACACTGATTCTATGTACTGGTACGTTTGTTATGGACGATGGTACACAGTTCTCCAAAAACTAGTTTCTTCTACGTTCTCCTTCGAGTTCTACAGAAATGTGTGCGTATAAGTACCTAGATCTGCCTCAGCAGACACAAAACTCTCTCATATTGCATAGAAACAGAAGGTTAATACAGGGTATCCCAATAAGAGATGCTGGTGATATAGGATATAACTTTAAGTGAGGAAAAAGGCTTATTCCAGAATACCATCCTGACATGTTTTTTTTTAATAAAAATAAATCGTTATCGGTGGGATATGAAAATTGCAAAAAAAATTTAAATTAAAAATTTTTCAACGAAATTTGGAAAAACAAATGTCTGATATGTTTTTTTACAAGTTAAAGGTAACCTCAGTATAAATATTACCCCCATTCAAGGTTACACCCTGTATAATTCTTGTAATTATCAAAATTTGAGACCGCAACAGCATTTCGAAGGTTTGGGACACAATGTACTTGTATTTTAGAAAATAATTTTTCTCATAATTTAGGGCAGGACATTTTACATATCTACTGGACATCTTCCAGTTATTTGTAGTCATTTTTTGATTTGAATATGCAGTATCGTGGTTACTATTAGCATACACTAACCTATGTGGAAGACGAGATAAACGAATCACCTAACATTATATTCTAGAAGATGAGTTTTTATAATGATATGTTTCTAAAACACACAAGAAATAACTGTCTCTGCTGAGGTTTCAGATTGTTTACCAAAAAAATTGTTAATTTGCCTGCATGATTTGACGTAAAAAAAATGTATAAAAGTTACGTTTTAGGTAAATTTTCGGATCTGCGACTAGTTTCTCGTTCAGTCTTCGTTATGTACACAACATCTCAAGAAAATATATAACTTCTTTTTCCCTATGAGACGTGCAAAGACAAATTAACAATTTTCCGATTTATAGTCGAGGATATGTGAAAAAATTGCTAACAAGAATAAAAAATTATAAATATAAAATATAAAAGTACAAACAAAACTAAAAAACGAACAATAAATATCTGCTTATACCGTAATATGAGCAAAAACATCAGACTTGTCATACATTTATTATTTTTTCTTTGAACGAGAGAGAGTGCACAAGTGAGTGGTCAGAAAGAAGTAGTCGAAAAACTTGTAAGCTCTGCTTGGGGAACAAAAACATTTTCGCCCCTTTCTTTGGTAATGCATTTTTACACCGCTATCAGAAATTATATACACGTTCAACATAATTTTCTCCTGCAACTCTCTGAAAATAAGTGAATATTCTGAGCCGAAGCACAATTCGTAAGAGTCGTGGGCCTCTTTATTCCAGTCGAGCCTTATAACTCGTCTTCCATATTTCTGCCAGTGTAACAGCGGAATGGAACCTGTGGAAGATGCAGAGGGGCAATGTTAAACGCTGAACTATCGCCCAGGCAAGAAAACCGTAAAATTTCAGTTGCACCGGGTTAGCTTCCACCTTCTGCATCTCGAAGGTGTAAATAATCCACATGGTAACGTTGCAGATTAAGAGGAATGTTACGACTTGGCGACCAGGCTTGGAACGATCGTGCTCTGGTAAATGAACGCGACGGCGTGACACATCTGCTATGAATAGCAACTGAAGGACCACCTGAAAGTAATTATGGCATGTTGTAGATTTAATAAAACAAAATTTTTTATTTGAGTTGTTATTCCTTACCTGTACAACCGACAGAATCCCAGTAATCATCACTAGGAGGTTCGGCTCCTTTGTGAATGCGTTCTGATGGCCTGCAATTATGCTGAAAGCAGCATAGAGGAAAAGACCGAATGCAGACACGCGAAGAAGAATATCGTTTAGGTCGCTTTGTTCCTCCGTCTTGAATTTGAGCGACTGGACCCTGCAATTTACGTGCCATGCCGTCAGGTGAATTCTGTTGTGGTGAATGAGAATGGTGCGATGAAGCAGCAAAATAAAAAATGAAACGGAAGCAGTGAGGCAACTTATAGAATAGATAGTTATATAAATGATAAAGTATTAAGCTGTTTTGTACATAAAATGGATGATTTTTATTATTAATTGTCTAAATGTATTACTATAAAGTCAATATATTTTGTTCTTATGATTATGTTTGTTTTAAAATAGGACTTTTTATTTTAGATTTAATGTTAACTGTAAATTTTTACGAATCTGGTTGAAAATGGCTTTTGAACAGTATTAAATATGAAATTCAAGATTTTATGTTTCAAACTAGTATTTCAGAATCTTGTTATTTATGTACAATACAGAATTCACAGAGGTTAAATCTTACTGCTGAACTACTCAAGAAGAAAAAGAAGTAACAATGTCAGATAATTCAAAAGTTTACATCAAAGCAAATGTTGTGGATTTCCCGTAAACAGTGTCTAGTCAAATCTGTTGCAAGTAGTTTTATGTAAAATGGCGGTTAACGTAATAATACAAATTGAATTTAGTTTTATGTGAACAGCATAACAATTTGATGAGAAATGTGATGTGATATACAGTTCCTACCTTATAAATCCGATGATTATGGCTATGATGCTGAGCACCATCAGGACACAGTGAGACACATCAGCCAAGTAAATAGCAAGGAGACCGAAGTCTTTGTGTTGGACAAGCACAAAGAACAAGATGAGGCATATGAGAGAGCCGACCAGCATGAGCAGTCCGAAGAAAAGTCCTTTGGAGGCACCTACGCAGTCGACGCGTCCCTGTTGGGCGTGAGCCAGAGCTACGGCCCTGCGGGACAACATAATTTCAAGACGATGTTCTAAATCTTCCTGGGTAACATATCTAAAACAAGCGGAAGTGAATATTTATACAGGCGTGCAGATCTCAGACGATAAGTTTAATACATAGAGTTAATGAACATATCAGAACACTATGCGAAGTAAACGGCACTTTACAATTTCTATACAGGGAATACACAAAATTATCTTATCAGATTAAAAAATAAGAATTGTGGTTTGATTAATTTACGAGCAAAAGAAAGCTTGATGTACTGATGTAGAATGTAAATTTAGAATTTTTATTTTACCATTTCCTTACCTCGGATTTCTTCCAATGTGCTTCCACATCACATATATCACAGCAGCCCCGATCAGAGAATACTCTATAATGAATGGGTACAAGTAGGGGCCCGATTCTTGTACTATTGTTCCCATAATGTTGACTCTACCACAACCATCCGAACCATTCACGGTTTCATTGAAAGCTTTCAGCGATTGTGGAATAATTTCATCGATCAGTTCTGTATCCGTACTTGAGATAGCATTGCCAAGGTCTTGGGTTAAAATAGATTCTTCTACGGCTATAATTATGATTATATTTCATAAAATATGGTACGTTGTGAGTCGGATGAAAATACAGTGTAACTTTAAGTACGGGTAAATTTTTAAGGTTAGTAGATAGTATGTGTTGCTGAGAGAATTAAACAAATCTTAAAGGTATTATTAATTTTTTAAAGTCTGCCACCGCCATTGAGCGGCATCCGCATGAATACCTTTTTAAACAACATGAAATTAACAGAGTGACTGGCTGTAAGCGAAGCTGCAATGGAAAATAATTTTGTAAAAACAGATTGCTTTTGTATGACTGTGTGGCTTCATTGTTGATTTCTGTGTGATATAAATATTATGTATATGAGTCAAGAAAGATGAGATTTGACAATACATGCTGCAGCTCTCAACACATTTGTTTGAGGTAATATTGGCATGTTCACTGGCAGAGTACGAAAATTACAAGTTAACAAAAAACCAGCATTCATAAGGTAATTTGAGAAAACAAACAAATGTGTTTCTAAAGGTCAAAGGTAACCCCCATATAAAAATTACCCACATCCAAAGATACATTCTGTATAATCCAAATTCTAGTGTGACATTTCCATTTGACCTATAAACAAATGACTGCCACCAACTTATTTACAGTTCTACAATGGTTAGTTAATGAGGTATTAATGAAAATGATGAGGATTGGTCCTACCTACCATTTACTACATCGTTAGCTACGAAATTATTGAAACTCCTGAAGTCCAGGAAGTTTTTGTGCGGCGATGGATTCGTAGTAGTGCTGGTGGTGGTGCTGGTAGCGAGAGTGGAGGTGAATGCTTTCCAGGCTCTTGCGGCAGTTGTACGTAATGTTGGGGTAGCTGTAGTGGTTGTAGTAGTAGTTGTAGTCGTCGTCGTGGGGTTAGTGTGGTACATTTCCCACAGCGTGGTCGGAATGGTTTTGGGTATTGTGAACACATCTTTCGAACGAGGCGGAGGTTAGTGAGTTAGAATGAGAGGGTTAGTGGATCACAGTCTGTTTAACCATTACCAACCATAATATAAAGCCTCACTTAGCCAATCTCTAATGGTAAACGATAGTTGGCGCGCATTGTTAAATCCAATAATTTGGGCAATTATTAGATTAATTATATTGTAAAATGTGGTCTTCAATAGTTTTATCCATCATTGTGTATGATAAATGTTTATTGTAACGCTTGACCTTTTTTCGGTAATTTGAATCGGACTGTTATTTTGAGGTTAATTTGGAATTAATGGTGTAATGCATTTTGCATAACTGTTGTGTGATAAAAATGCTGTTCCACCTGTTTTGTACCTTTATGTGAACGGAAAAAAAGATTCATATTGTTCCCAAATTTTGTGCAAGTTTTGGTACTTGGCCATTCATAGAAAGAACATATTTTTTATATTAAGTATATACAACCATTGAGACTAGGTGGTAAATTCTTAAAATATTGCCTTACCGTTGAAATATGTTAGACAGACTCTGAATTAGTACATAACACATACATTGAGTTAAGAAATTTCTAAAGAAAATTTAAAATAATCTTTGGAAATCACTTTTTAAGAGATGTTAGTCACCAAACCACACTAAACCGGAAATCAAAAGTGGTCCAGCGGACTTACATGGTGTGCTTGTTGTCGTGGGCAACGTGGTAGCATCCTTGCTGAGTGTGGTGGCCGCCATACTAACGGTAGTTTGAAAAAAATCTCGGAAAGAGGCGCTCGTTGTTGGCAACGTTGTGGCCAAGTTGGAAGCTGTCGATTTTATCACATCTGCTAGCTGTTTAGGCGTGCCCAGCAGTGTATTTTTATCGGGGAGACGAAAGCTTTCTGAAATATATATACAGGGTGTTGGATCACGAGAGGGACATGGCTTAATGGGAGATAGAGGACATCTAGGGTAATTAGGATCGCCTATAGAAATAGCTCCTTGGCCATTCTTTATTTTTTGGTCAAAACTGCTTTATGTCATAACTTTGGTAGGGAATGGAATAATGGGTTCATATTTGGTAGGGTTAATGCACTCACGATACTTCATGTATGCATGTATAACAGCAAAAAAAATCCAGGTCTGGACTGCAAAAATTGTTAATTTTTTGTGCAAGTCTAGAAAACAACACTCTGCATGTCTTTTTTTGAAATTTTGATACGATATTCGGAAGGAGCATAAAAAAGTGATCTTAAAGACGTGTTTCTTTTTTTTGTTACACTTTCGTGGTTATTTAAATAAGCTATTGAATATACGAGACTACGGCTTCTAAAACTAAATTACGTAAAGGATACATGATAAAAATGGTTTTGCAACTAAAATTAGCAAAGGCTTAATTGAGGGTAGATGTTATGAATAAGCATGCATATTTTAAACCTCATTTTCTTTAAATAATATGTATTCCAGGTCCGGACAGCAAAATTTTTAATTTTTTTTTGTAACTAGAAAACATCGCCCCGTATGTATTTTTTGGTATTCCCATACGATTATCGAAAAGAACATAAAAAAGTAATCTCAGCGACATGTCTCTTTTTCTTGTTACACTTTGATGATTATTTAAATACGCATGATAAAAACACATGACAAAAAATAAATTATAATCCGTAGATTTCGATTGCCATTCATGTAGATCTACCCAAACATTTACAGTAAATCTGTACTGTGAATTACATAAGCGTTTGCAGATGGGTATTGCTGTGCCCATTTATAGTCGTTTCTTGAGTTATTTATTTACCCATAATCAACGCGAAAAAGAAATGAGTGAATGTGGTATGAATAATACTGTTTCCTTTTCAATGTTTTCCATACATTCCATTGAGAAATATTAATAGTCGAACTTATGTTAGACCTTGCATTTTGTTGAATTGGATCTAAAATATTATTCTCTTTTTGAACATCTTGATGTAAATTATAGTAGGCGTACTCAAAGTGACAGATAATTAAATAGTGAATTGTTTGACAACAAACTGTTTACTGGTGTTATTGTATATTCATTAACTTGCATTTAGTACTTTAAATTTTGTAATTTAAACATGCCGCAATTACTTTCAAACGAAGAATATGCTGACATAGTATTCATCTATGGGTTTTACAATGGGAATAGTAGGGCAGCACAAAGGGAATATCAGCAACGTTTTCCTGATCGTCGGCATCCTAATTATAAAACTTTTAGTAAAGTCTTCCAGTACTCAAAACAACACGGGAGGTTTCCAACTTCAAAAAATTTGGAGCGTAATTTACATCAAGATGCTCAAGAACAGAACAATATTTTAAATTTAATTCAACAAAATCCAAAAACTAGCACAAGAATTAGTTCTGCCATTAATATTCCTCATTGGAACATATGGAGAACATTGAAAAGGGAACGTTATTATCCATACCACATCCAGCAGGTACAGTGTCTTGAACCAGGTGATAACATCCACCGGTTGAACCCATTATTCCATTCCCTACCAAATTTATGACATAAAGCAGTTTTGACCATAAATCATAAATCACCCTGAATCTATTGAGATACAGGGTGAATAAAGAATGGCCAAGGAGCTATTTCTATAGGCGATCCTAGTTACCCTAGATGTCCTCTATCTCCCATGTCGTGATGCAACACCCTGTATGTACAATTTTATGTTTTGCGTGAAGGGTGATGGCACGTTTTTGGCAAGCTGCAGACACTTTAAAAGTAAAATTTGAAACACAGGCTGCTAGTAACAATTGAGAGATATGTGTATATACAATGCTGATTGTTCATTCAAATTTAGAAATGAATATACATTTTTTTTTATACGTTTTTAGTTAATAAATAGAAAAACTACAATACAAATACATTGGGCAAACGTTTAAACGATTTACCTGCATAATATGGGGAGATGTCGTTCGGTAAGGTGGAATTAAACATTTTCATGTGGTAATTACTAATCTCCTTCAGGTACTCTATTACTAAGGTTCGTATCCAAACGCATATATTTGTGGCGACCACATGCATCAAACCAAAACGTGCGACAACTTTAAATCGGTGAATGTTCAACTGAAAAATAAAAAAAATCAAAAAACGGTTTCATATTTTTGTATAACTTTTTTTAGTACTTTTCCAAACAGTGACATCCTTTTTTTGTAAACAACTTTCAGTCAGTACTTACCCGAGAATTCATGAAAATGAAGTACATTTGCATGAAGGTGAAAATCATTTGAAGCACTGGGTTGACTCCGTGTAGGATCATATAGCATGATGATGTGAATGGTACTTCGAAGAACGTTCCAAATTCTAGCCCATTGTAGATCATAGTACCCAAGCCAAATGCTGAAAAATAATGATTTTTAATGTTTATTCTCCCACACCGTGATTGATTTGATCTAATAAAGTTCCCAACCTTGGTCTATTTAGTGATTATCGATAACAATTTTAGCTTAATGTCTTAGATGTGAATAAATCTCTTCGACTTTGTTGAGAAAAACATAATGAATAAATTCATATCCACAGAAAACAAGTGATTTATTGTAATCTACAATCCATTACATTGTTGAGAGGTTTGAGGTCCATAAGTATTTCTTTATTGAGAAGAATGATTTCAGTATAATTTGAAACAGTATATTAATATGGAATGGTGTTGAAGAATGATTCAGATTATTTTGGATCACTTATAAATATCTTAACTGGATGAAAAATAAAAGCAGTAAAAACAAAAGCAATTCTATAAAGATTACTATTAATTAATTTGATGGGTCTTTTTCTTCTCAATAATTTTATTTGCCAACATCGGAAGTCTATTTTTAATGTTAGGTCTATACAGAACTCTACACTAGCTATGATCGTTACTTCATTATATACAGTAAGAACAGCCGATTTATGAACACATACAATGCTGTTTGTTACGCTTGCTATAAAACCAATATTTTGTATTATTTTTTTAATAATAAATTGTTTTTATTTTTGTAAAAATCTATTTTTAAGTTATCACCCTTGTGTAATCAGGAGTAGATCGTAACAATATTGACTTTTTTAACGTGTTTAGCTAGTTAGGACATGATAAAATTTGAAACGCAAACCTTAGTTCACCACACGATTCGAATTGTCACTTATTTCTAATATCCAGCAAATCACGCTTCAGTTTATTGCCTCGAAGAGATTTTATCTTCCCCATTTTGTACTTACCGATGGCCCCGATCCTGAGGAAGAAGCTGCCGTGGCTCTGGTCGTTCTGGGTGGTCTTTCGCTTGCACTTGGCGGCGGCCTTGACGCCGGCCTCCACGTCGGCCCCGCCGGCGTTGTTAGCCGCAGCCGCCGGGAGCGGCGCGGCGGGCTGGACGGCCGCCGCCGGAGGCGGGGGCGCCGCGGGGGCCGCAGGCGGCTGTTCCTGCGATACAACGATAGCTGCTTGAGATTGAGAGATTTCAGCGACAGGCACCGGCACTTCTGCCAGGCCCGCATCGACTACACCCTCAGAGTTGCGCCGGTAGGTGCTCTACCCCCAAAACCAAATGAAAGTAAGAACGGGTGCGGAGAAATAAACGGGGAGCGGGAAGAAGCAGCGGCCAAACAAACACATCGAGCGAGGAAACCGTCGTCGATTGTCGCTGTTAATTTGCAAAACAGTGTGCGAAGCCGATTTGGTGGTACACAATTCAGAAAACTGACTTGTTATCTTATTAACATTAAAAATGAGATTAGGCACAAGCAACAAAACAATACTGTGGAAAACTTAACACTATATGATTGGATCGACTGAATTATATTTCTTCAGAATTTTCCGTCTTAGGTTGACAATTTTATATACCGTATATGATACAGTTGACATTTTTTTCGAATTACCTACTAGATATTTGATAGATTCACTTTATTCATTGTGACAATTTCAGTTGTATATCGGTTTATTTAATAACTACTTTGGTTTCTTAAACTTGTTTTATGTTTACCAATTTTCATTCGAAGAAATTCATTACTTATAACAACCAATTGGCAAGGCTGCAAAATTTTATAATAAATACCAATCATGTGTAGTGTATGTGAGATATAACCTACAAAGTGTGTTGTAGCTTATTACACTCAATGCCTATTGACATAAAGCGATACTTTGATCTACTTGCAGAAAGAGACCTACTAGTTTATAGATAAAGTTGTGGACAATAAAAGTTTCCAATGCTTAGGTACTATTCAGTGCAAATGTGGTTTTGCTGTTGAAAGTTTAAATTTCCCCTAATTCTGCTATTTTCTTTCCAATACTTTTATGACATTCATGTTATTTTTTTTTTGCAATATTCAAATAGTTACTTTTTTTGTCATCAACAGGATGAAATTATTTATAATGATAGTTTACTATATTCCTATTTGAAAATAGGGGCAAAAAATTTATCTTCACGTAGCACTCATCAAAAAAAGAAAAAATTTCATGAGATGAGTTCAAATACTGTTTTCGAGATATAGTGTTAACATCATAGACAAATATTTGAGAAACCCTAAAATTCAGCCGGAAATTAAAAAATGAACTAACTGAAAAAATTAAGTGATGCAATCTATGATGTCTTAAAGGCCTTTTTCCTTAATAGATACAGGGTTTTATAATATACAGAAATATATATAAATATTTAAAGTCACTAAAAATCGCTAAAGGCTAATATATTATACAAAACCAGTTCTATTATCTCTAATTTTTTGGTAAATTTACTTAAACTAAAAGATTTACTAAAATTTATGTACTACATGTCGCAATATAACTTGGATAATGTTTAAATCAATTTCTTGGGGCAAAGATCGGTAAATGTAAAACAGGTTTTAAATAAACCATGGATATTTTACATACTTTTCATTTCCAACTATTTTTTTCACATTTTCTTAAAAGCAAACATATTTTGAAGTTATTTGGCTTGTTGGTTAAATTATTCTTCTAAGTGTACCTGAAAAAACATTACTGTGGGATATTCTACTGCAATATATTACGCAAAATATAAAAAATATAACAAATACAAAAAAAGGAAGCGGCAACAGAACTTTGTTAATAACTTTAACTAAAACAGGACAATCAAAAATAAAGAAAACAACAAAACTAGTAAACCTTTTGTTGAAACATACGACCATTTCTAAATTAAATCTAACAAACAAATAATTAGGAAATAGAAAATGAAAATAAATGAAAAATTTAAAATGGAACTACCATAGATTGGTTGTTTAGTGGCTTACTTTCTGCTAGTAAGAAGAAAATTAAAAAATAGATTGGCGAGAATCCTATGCTTTAATGAAATATCACCTAGGACGTCCACCCCTTCAGAACAAGTCCAGTTTTTTTGGGGTGGACTTGCGCTGGCTTTAGGAATGTACGCAGGCACTCGAATGAACAATGTTATTGAGTTATTAAAAGCGAAAACAAGCAAAAGTTTAAGCAATTCGTCAGAAATAGACCTGAACTGTAAGTCTACGTTCTATAAAATATTGACAAAAAGAAAAGATCCTCGTTATAATCTATTTTCTAATGTTCTACATACTCAGGTCTATTCGGTTAGGCTCGGTTCGGCATACATTCCTAAAAGTGTTCGAAAGTTGGTCGCATATTTCATTAAAGGGTTCTTGGCATTCTCTCCCTGTCACTCTCTACTTTTCAACTCTCCCTTACCGCCTCGAATTGCCATTGCAGTGAAATCGGGTTGTCGGCGTCTTCCTGCTGCAAAAGATAGCAATTTTGATGAAAAGATCTGATTTGTCGTTTAATAAATGGATACTCAACCAAATTTAAAATAACAAAATATAAATTTATATGGGTCGTAACGAAGATACTTGACCAGATTTTAATAGAGGATTCTACTGTCACAAATCAGTAAGAATATCTGTCTGAAAACATTTCATTTTCTGTATAAAGGATGTTCAAAATTAATGAACACGTGAATAATATCGTTATTATCGTGATTATTTTAAATATTATAATTATTTCAAAAGTGACTTGATTATAGACTTACACATTTAAAAATTAAAAAATATTAAGTATCCCATTAAAAAAATTGAATGGGTTTTGTGTCATTTAAGAAATAAAAAAAATAAAAAAGTTACCAGAGGGATCATATTTTCAGTGAGGTCCATAATTCTTTTTTATTGAAATTTACTTCTCTAATGTTAAGATATTGCAATGGGACAAAATGTTGACTTATGTAAAAAAAAACAATTGATTAAAAAATAAATAAAATCGCCCAGTATTTTTTTTTGCACAAAATGATATAGGAAAACGTTAAAAACATTTTGGTACTGTCCTTCGTTTTATCAACTTCCGATTTGAAAAGAAATTAACTTCTACAGTTCCTACTTATTTTTGAGTAACTTCGTATGTTAGTTACATCAGATAGAATTTTTTTAATAACGAACCCAGTGATATAAATATGCCGTAGTTTTGTAGTTTTATAAGCAAATTTATCGATAAAATAGAAAATATATCACAATAAATATTCACATACTAAAAAACTTTCGATACCTATTTTAAATAGTAAACTCTCGTTCAAAGAAAACATTGTCATTAATGTTATAATCTTGGTGTGAATATAGTAGGTATAGTGTGAAAGGAAAAATAAGTTCTAGTGAAATTAATTTCCAATGAAACCGGAATTAGACATATGAACTATTCTACAGACTACAGATATGTACATTTTTATAGAAACTTTTTGTCTTTAATTTGTGACAAAGAATCCATTAAAGTTTGGTCAAGCATTTTAGATTACATCCTGTATACAAAGGGCATGATGATAAGAGTTGGGCATCTAGCAACTATTAAAAAATTTCAAATGTAGTATTCCGTAAACAAAATTTGTTATTCAATTATGCAATTCATAGTTCAAAAGCTACTATACATATTAAAAACAGAACAATGCCAAATTTCGAAAGCATGTAGGTTGTGGGTACTAAATTTTTTTGTATGGAACATCAAATAAAATTGCATAAACGTATGTCACTGGTCCTGGCAGGACGCCAGCTCTAGCGTATCGATTCTCCTTGGGCCTCGGTTGTTGCGTGTTCGTATCAAGGCCGACGTTGAATGGTTGACTTTTCTAAAAATATACCCTTTTCGCGCTTCCCAAAACGCCGGCGCCGCTTCTCCCGTACATCCCTATTTATTTCGGGAAAAAAAGAAACGAACAGAGGGGCCGACGGTGAGCGGCGATTCATTTTCCAGGCTGGACCCAAATTGAACGTTGTGATTTTAAAAAAATAAGTTTGCTTCTAAAATTATATGTAGCAGAATGACGATTGGTTCAAATTAAATGTAATTTTAAAAATAATGGTGTTTTTTCAGAGATCTGAGCGTTTGTATATTTCAAATTTATGTTTTTTTAATAGTATACAAAATTAAATTATCTGGTATATCAATAATTGCATTTCGCTGTAACCTACTCTGTGGCTGTTTGTGTATTTCGCACGCGTCTGACTGTTGTAGACTATTTTGGATTGTTCTAGGAACGAACTACTGCCGTGAATACCAACGACAAATTAAATACGATCTCCGGCGGCTTTACTTCGAAGTTTCATAAATTCTTTCTAACTTAATCTTGTGGTAAACAATTCATTTCTACCGTACCGTTTTAAAATTGCAGTACGATTGTTGGAACTTAATACAGGGTGTCCCGAGATTCATGCAACAAAATTTAGTCATAGATTCTTAAGACAAATTTAGGGGACCCGTATTTTTTTTTTGCCAACTGGCCCCCTCTTTCGGAGATACAGCCCACTGAAATCTGCCCCTAAGAAGTCTTTTTATATCTCAAAACCATGTTGTACGAGAATCACTAAATTTGGTACACAGGGGTTTTATGACATGTGGAATCTCACAGTGCTACTTTTTGGCGAGAAACCCCCTTAAGACACTTTTTCGTGGGCCTCCTTGTCTTTGGAACCAGAAAAATTTGGTCGCAAATTTGATTTTTTTTTTAATTATTAGTTAACTAGCCATTGAATTTAGAAACTTTTTTGTCTCTTGATATTTGTTTCGTAAAACGCAATGTTTTTGAGGATAATGGCCAATCACGATATGCATTCGATCACATTTTGATATTTTTCTCGAAAACATTGTGTTTTACGAAAAAAGTATAAAGAGACAATAAGTTTCTAAATTTAATGGCTTCCTAGTGGACAGATAATTTTTAAGAAATTTAAATATGCCACCAATTTTTTTTGGTTCCAAAGACAAGGGGACCCACGAAAATTGTCTTAAGGGAGTTCCCCGCCAAAAAACATAGCACCATCAGATTCCACATGTCATAAAACCCTTGTGTACCAAATTTAGTGATTCTCGTACAACAGGGTTCTGAGATATAAAAAAAAGATTATTCTTCAGTTCCTAAGTTTCTTCCGAAACTATCAAACTGTTCGTTACAGTGGCGGCTCGCAGTGGGTGGGCAAGCTGTTCCCAGTACTTACAGCAGGGCCTTGATAATCCGTACCCCAGCTAGTCCGAACGCCTCTATAATCCGAACGACCCCCCTTACCCCTGCGCAACCGCCGTTTCTCACAGTTTCTGTCTCGCCAGTGTCATACGCAGTGCGTTTTTTGTTTGGAATGGGCAGATGAAGTCGACATTTCTATTCTGGAAAAAATGCTGTTACGTAAATTAAGGGATAAAGCATTTTCTATGTCGCTAAATACTACTCGTCAAAGCACTATAGTGGAATTCTTTAAAAAAGTGTGATTAATAGCATTGCATCTAACATACATCTAACGTACATACTTAAATAAATACATTATAATGTAAAATATTTTTGTTTTATTTCGAAAAATCCCTTTCAAAATGTCTACATACTATAATCCGAACGCTTCGTGAATCCGAACAGGGTATAAATTTTCGGTGTTCGGATTATCGAGGCCCTGCTGTATTTATTTTTAGAACTGTAAATTCATGATTTAGTTTTATTACTGTTTTCATTAAGCACTAATTTTTCGTTAGACAAATAATTATACTAATCCTCGCAATTCATTTGCCATTTTGTTTTCATAAATCATAAATCATCAAATAAGTCATCGTTTTACGGTACAATCTCTATCTACATGATCTAAAGTCATCAGCATCAGACTTTTTATGTTGGTCCAAAGCATTTATCGTTATTTTTTATAATATAGAGACGACAAATTTTAACTGATTTTAAAAGTGGAAATACCGCGCTCACCGTAAGCCCGAAATAAAAAAAAATTTAAAAGTCATGATTGTGCGTGTCTTGCTTGGAGTATGTGGTCTTATGCACTTCCTCGCATTCCGAAAGCTGATTTAAAATTAAAGCTGGGAACGAATCGACACGTAATCCCGGATAAGGATGCAGCTGCACCGGAATTTTCGAGCGGCATCCTTGGCACTAAAAACCGTGAGAAGGAGTCACACAAAGCAAAGCCATGCATCGTGTAGTATCATCACTCTTATTCTGTTTAGTTCACATCCATTATTTTTTTCCATCCCTAAATTATTTTCAGTGTTGTTCATTTGTGATTTTCTGTTTGTGTCGTGTTATAGAAATTAATTTTATATCAGCTTTCTTTTAAAACAGAAGATTAAAAATAAAGATAAAGCTATACTTTTCATACCAAAGGATTTGCGGTGCACAAAAAGATGCGTTGATTAAAAGAAAACATGGATAAGAAGATTAAAAGTAAATATGGTTTTAACAGAAATAAAAACAAAAATAAACAGAACGTTGCTCTTGCCTATTTATAGATTTACTAGTTACAACCAAAGAAATGAAATGCGATATTTCACTTCCTCTTGTGCTATTAGTACAGAGCTTTATAGAAATTGATACCATTCGTCATTATAATAGGCGCCTAGAGTATTAATCACATTTCAATTCAGAATATACAGGGTAATTTCACTAGAAATATATAGTTTTCAACGAATTTTATTATATTTAAGGACTATACAGGGTGTTAGAAGTTTGACTGCCTTAATTTTAACAAACGATAGAATACATTAAAATAAACAAAAACACCTTATATGACATGGGTCCTAACTCAATCATTTCAGAGAAAAAAAATTATCAAAATCTCCAACTTGATGTACAAAAGTTTGATTAATTAAGGAATACTGACATAAACGCGTGCATAGAATACCATAAAATACAATGTTTATCACTTTTTTGAACTTCTTTATTCTATAAAATAATTAGCGTTGTAATAAATTTAAAATTCGGTAAAATTCATATATCGAGCAATGTGACAACGACGCGGCGGTTTATTAACACGAGGTACTAAGGTGTCCAGCAACCACCAATACGCAATTCAGTTGGTATCTGGATTCGACCGTGTCGGAGGGTTTTTTGCGTACCACTATTTCGTTTTCTTGAGGTGTTTTCCAGCGAGTGCGCGAAAATTGGATTCGAAGGTGTCGTGCGTGCATCGAAAATGGTGGTGGACATTTTGAGCATATATTGTAGTTTGTTTTGTATTTGTGCGTTTAAAAATTTCCGAATTTTGCTTTTTGGTAAGTACTTAAATTACTTTAATACGTATGATTATTTGGATGACGTATTTTTCAAATTCATAATTTGATTAAAAGTTAAGTTCCTGTTTTAAGAGATTCATAATTACTAAAATTCGAGCTAAAATTTAAGCACAGCAGTATCTTCGTACTACAAAATCGATACATTTTATTTTATTTATTTAAAAACTGGAAAACAATTGTCTTGAAATTTACTAAATGTTTCACAATAATAGCTGTTTACATTTTTTCCATAGGACAAGTTGCCGCGTTTACACGTAGTGCCCATCAGCAGATTAAGCGCTGTTGTCACGTTGTGACGAAACTCCGCAATATTAATACTCGCTGTATTTTGAAAACTGTTATCTTACGCCTCTGTATTACTGGAAACGGTGATCCAATTCAAGACTTTAAAATTATCATGAATTTCAAGCAACTTTAACTTTATGATGTGATATCTCAAAAACTACTTAATTTTTTATATTGGAACTGTTTAAACTGCATTATAAAATCAAAATAAGTTATAAAGTATGAAATCTATATTTTTTTCTTTCTTCATTTTGACCTCATTTAAGTACCAAAGAAAATAAATATTCCTTGCGACGTCATTGAGGGACAATTTACTCTATTTAATGCAATATACTATTCTATATTGGCTTTTACATAATTGAAAAAATCTTTTATCAAGTATTTCAGTTCGGAGAATTGGATCATTTATGTATGTGAAAATTCTAAAGAAAAATCTACTGGATATTCTACTCATTCTTCAATTTTTCAAGGACGCCAACAATGCTAAAACCACCGCGAACGCACTATACACCCGTAACGTTACCCAACACAGCTTTTCGTGCACGGAAACGGAAAGTAAAAGGAACGTGAAGGGTTGGGGGTCGGATACGAGACACCAACCTTCTCTCATTCTCTCACCTGGGAAATTGGAGGGACCACCGCTCGTCGCTGGACCACGTCACGCATCTTGAGGGGAAACCTCTCCCTCTACACGCACAACATGCTCAACAACAACACAAAAAAACATAATCGAAAGTGTTAATAAAAAAAAAACAAAACAATCTTAAATCAAATTAGGGGTTAGTTAAATTAAAGTGGGTGTTAACGAAAAAAAAGGTAAATCAAGGTAATTGGAACAAAATAAATGATCCACCCTTGTTATATCGGTATGATATGTTTAATGTCATTTTGGGAGTCGAACAGTATTAGTTGCTTGCAATAGAAAATACGAGTTTCGCTGTAGCTGTGGTGCAATTCTGGATATTTTTCTTTTTAAAATTCCGTTAGCACTTATTTTGGATATGGTTTTCGGATAATGAACGAACATTTTATACAGGGTCTAATTCAAATGCCGGTCCAACATTAATGGCGCAGATAAATAGGCGAAAATGTTTCCTTTTAGAGAAACAGAGTGACAAAATATAGTTTATTTTATATTGTAAAAAACTTTTAAAAAAAGATCAAATAATATTTTATTTCATAGGAAACGTAATTATTTGAATCGAGATGTGTACTAAAGTTTAAATTAAAAATAAAATCACCACCATTTAAAAAAATTAAAAATAGAAATATTTAGATTTTTTTAAATATTGACTTTCTTTCAATATGGCAATTTGATTTTAGTCAAAATAAACGAAAGCTATTACAATTTTGCCAATAAATCCTATATTTTGTGAGTATTATTTTGGCTGATCATAATAACGCTATTTTTTTCTAAATTAAAAATTGACTAATATATTTAACTTAGGAATATTTATTATTGTAGTCATTATACTTATATACAGGGCGAATCAATCAGTACAGCAATTATTAGATACTGAAAAGGTTGCACAGACAAAATAGTACCTATAGAATTTAATACTTAACCACATGCCACTAAAAAAAAATAAATACTTCCTTTTCTTTCGATTTTTATTTAAAAAAAGCAAAGTAAAAATAATTCCATTTAAAATTTAGCTAACTTTGTTTTGAAGTCCGATGAACAAAAAAATCTTTAAAACGACAGATCTTAACAGTGATTCCGATTGGAAATATCTTGAATGAAAAAAAATGTCAACGAAAATTACCAAATCTACCCCCCAAAACTATGTCCCTGCATGTAGAAAAATCTGTGTCACATCAATACGTTTATGAATAATTCAAAATCAAAGCTGTATTTCAAATTTAAGTCGCTTCAACCATTTTCTTCTAAATTAAAAATGATTTTTTTAAATTTTAAACCCATATTTGGAAAATAAAGAGCGTTTGTGGGAATTTCTTCTTAACTGACAGAATTCGCCATTGGCCAAGATTGGACAAGCATTTTAGTTACGCCCTCTATGTATTGTTTTCGTTACTTTAGCATATTTTTTTCACTGCAAAGTATTTTAAGTTTTTCATATTCAATCATACCCCTGTGTCGTTTTCTTTTATTAAAGGAAACTTCGTATTTCCATGGCAAACGAGATTAATTGTCACGATGAACATCTAATAACAAAACAGCATCATCCATACCTTCTCCTGCTTCTTGTTCTTCTTGTCCTTGTCCTTCTCTTTCTCCTTCTTCTCTTTCTTCTGCCTCTCCTTCTCCTCCTTCTTCTTCTTCTCCTCCTCTTTCTTCTTTTCCTTCTCCTTTTCTTTCTCCTTGGACTTCTGCTTGGGCGGCGGTTGCTTGGCCTGTTTCTCACCGCCCCCCGAACAGCAGGAACTCTCCTGCAGCAGGAAACAGAACACGTACAGCAGGAATAGGATGCTCATGCCGTAGAGGTAAGTGAAGAAGCCCTCGTAGTAGTAGAGGGGGATGCTGTGGGTCACCACGTCGGAGATGACGTAGGCTATGCACACCACGACCAGGAGTTTGGCGTACACGAAGCTCATGATTATGAACAGGGAGGTCCTGCAAAAAAATATAATTTTTTCGTCAAATCAAAGAAATAGTTGTAGAATGCTGAAATCTGTAGTAATAAAATTTTCAGAAAATGTTGACATCGTTAAACTAAATTTTGTTTTGATATTACCCAAATTCACGAACAAACTTGAGAATTGAAAACAAAACAAATTATATTATGACATGGAGGTTTCTGTGTTTCAGTTAATCATTGAATTCCTGTTGTCCAAAAAAGCTACCAACTTTATAATCAAAATCACGACAGCGGCAGATTATAATCAGCTATTCTGAGAACTAAAGCCCCCACCACTATTGAACGTAAGTCAAACCACCAGACATATACCGCTTTCGGACTTATCAGTTCTCATCATAATGAAACTATGCTCAAATGATCTAACTATTTAGAAGCAGTGCTTTGTGTCTAACTTGTAGGTACTATACCAGCAACACCACTGTCGTACTATGCCTAAAAAATTTGAACAAACAATATGGGACACAACTACTCTGCGGACTAGAGTCTCGACCATCATTGAATTAATAACTCAGAAACCGATCTGGTGGTTATATTGACGAATGATTTAATAATTTAATAGATATTGATGATGGACGGAGCTTTAGTCCGCAGAGTAGCTGTTACTCATAATATCATTACTTAAAACCTCATTTGGTTTATTGCGTTGTTATTATGTTAATAAAAATATTTAAAAAGTAGTGTTGAAATTGTGATTTAACGAAAATTTACAATGTTAAATAAACAGGGCCACATCTTTTTAAATTGATGTTCAATTGCTTTTTGTTATAGCATATTCTGATTCTGTAGGACTTTTTATCAACAGCAATGAGATAATTGCAAAAAAAAAGAAAATTACGGAACACCTAGTACACAATAAAATTTGTTAGAATCAGATGTTAAAAAGATGATCAGAGGTTTTCTTTTTGGTTAAAATTCGGAAAAATTAAAACGTCATTTTGTTTATGCATTCTAGCAGCAGGCCTTAGGAATGAATTAAAATTGTTATTTAATAACAAAAATAGAACTTCCGTAATGTGCCAGGAATATGTGTCCGTGAAGTACGAATGTTTTGATTTTAAATTATAGACTGAGAGAAAGGTTTCGTCAATATTGCTAAAAGAAAGCGAAAAACCATATATTTATGGAATCGTAAACGTATACACGTGTATTTGGATAAACATAAACAAGATATCTTCCATTTTAATTGTCAGTGTTGCGAGAAACAACTACACCGAGGGCTATATGCCCCTACCGGCATTGAATTATACTCGCGACACCCAGTACAACAGCTAGGATCGCTCATCAGCTGGTCCCACCAGGCACAGACCGGTTTCGGACTTATTAGTACTCATCAGTGTGTCATAGGCGAGACAACCGACGAACGAATCAGCTGTTTTGCGTCGTATCGTCACGACAAGGAATACATTCTTTTTTCATAAAACCAATAATAAAAAAGTATCCCATATGTTGCCGACTTAATTGGCCACACTGCATAATAAGAATTTTCGTGCAGTTCCACAAAAGAAAGTAGTAAAATTTAATTACTACTGAATTCTATAAATTATAACCACATTTGTGTTTATAGTCAAAAATTAGTATATGTATGTATATTGTGAAAAGATTCACTGAAACATATGATACTACATTATGGTGTTTCTAGTTAGAATTATTTATAACAATTTTAAAAAGCCTTTAATGGATGTCACACAAAGTGCAGTTAATCGTATTTTCTATGTACATTTTTAAAAAAACATTTTTTTCCGTGTATATAATAGTCAGTGTCAACAACAATTTTGAATTTGGTTATATTGTATTTCAACACATTTGGTTAAATTATGTTTAAACTTAATTTATTTGTGTTTAAGTGTCCTGTTTATTAAATGGAACAAAATATGTATGTGTTAAGTATTGAAAACAGATCCATTCCTTGTTTTATAGAACAGTTGTAAGGAACACTTGAAATGCAAGTGGAAAAATGGCAGTATCCAATTAAAAATGTACGTACCGAGGGGCCTCGGCAACACAGAAAAGCCTCAACATCCTGCGAAGGAACGGGACACAAACACAAGTGACTAACTACACACTACACCGCTAATGAACTAATTTTCTAAAAATACCGAAAAATTCAGAGGTTCGCGATACGACGCGTCCCCCTCTACACCGATTATTTGGTTTCGGATATGAACTAGTGAAAATATCCAGATGATGTCAGTTGATGAGTGCTAAATCACTGAAATCGGTTTGCAGGTGAGAGGTAAACATTTTGCGCTACTTCCGAAACAGTTCAACCGAGTTCAATGGGGAATATTTAAGCGTTTTTAACAGTGCCGGTTTCCAGATTGAATGGAAAGGGAAAATGTTGCTCAATATGGGTTTCACTTTTCACTGAAATAGAGAAATTTTGAATTTTTTGAGTGCGACGTTCCGATAATGTACAGGGTGTATTTTAAATTTGTAAAAATGTTTTAGGTGTTTTCATGGATCATTTTAAGAACTGTTTTAACTGATGTGTATATTTTGGAATTGTGTCTGTATATACAGGCTGTCTACTATAAGAGGGCGACACCTATGAATCTCGTTTAATATATACGACGCTCGACAAAAATCTTTACATGTTTTTTTGAGGCCTTTATGCTCGTAAAAACAAATTTGTGATCCATGGTCAACTTTATGAGAAATCACAAAAAAAAACGGAAAGTACCGACAGTTTAGGGCCGTCTAACTTTTTTATTTTAAGAGAAAGAGAAAACTTATTTTAATAAAATTTCATGGCAAAACTGATATCTTTTACCTAGTGCAAACAGATTTTTAAAATATCGTATATAATTTGCTGCGCCCTCTACGAGAACAAAAAAATTGTCGTCGAAGCAGGTTGTGCTACAAAAATTTGCTTGTTTTTTCCTCTTTCATGCGATGTACTACATATTGCCTGTATCTTTTATATTTATTACATTTTTTATAAATTTGGTATAAAAAATTTAAACATGTTCGTGTTAACGTAGAAATTGTTGTAGACACGTGTCAACTATTCAAAATTTAATAAATATAATGCACTTCTTTTAAGCAAAATACAACATTATTATAATATTGGTTTTTTACTTTAGAGAAAACTGAGCCTTCAACATTGTTCTTGCACAGACAAAGTAGCTTACACTAAATGTTGCATTCTATGAAAACACAAATTGTTTATTGTTATAGTTTATACATAACTGTTGGTTTTGGAAATTGTTACAGTTAAACTAAAATTTTGAATAATAATGATATTTTCACATATTGAGAAGTGTAATATGTTTATATTGTACTATCAATGCAATTTCATCATCAAATAATCATTTTAGAACTCTTAATTTCTTTAGTCTAAAATAAGATTACCTTACGTTACAGTTGAATAAACGACAATAAGTCAAAAACTGCTCGTTTTCATAGGATAACATACATAAAATTTTTTTGTTAAAAATACGATTTCGATTATAATGTCATCGAAGGTTAAAATAAATTATTAGCGTAGAAATTTTGAATTTCCTAAGCGTATTTCTCGCGAAATGAAATAAACATTTTTACTCCACCGACTTTTCACCGTATTTATGATCGTATTTCTAAAATATTTCTATTGATTTTGTCAGTGGAAAGAGTAGTTTTATAGTTACTGCCGTTTTTTTCAACTGTGGTAATTTTTTTTTAGATTTCAAAAAATAACTCGAAAACAGTTCCTTTTCCGAATAAAACTGAAAACAATTAACGGAGCATGTAGAACAGAACAGCATCAGCCATTACTGTACCTGCACATTGTGAGGTGTGAATGTGCATTATTAAGGACGAAAATATTATAGAATGACAACTTATTGTAACATACTCACAAATAAATGATTTAATTAGATCTAATAAATGTTATTTCTCACAATTAAATCCTTTTCTCATTCTGCTGCGAATTTTTACCTTTACTTAGCTAAATCACTAACCCAAATTTCATCAATTTACCTCAAACATTTTCAGATATATTTGTGTAAACGTTGTATTATTAAAAAAAAAATGACACCCTCTATATCGAAACTTAGGCCTTTCTGACATATATTCACACAAAATTTTCTTCTTAAAATGATCCAAAGAATCACCTTCTGAAATATTGTTAGGTATGCATTTAAGTTACACTCGGTACCTACGTATGGATTTATTTTGGAGTAAGCCTCATGTATAGGATTCAACATATTTTGTTTTCCATTAGTATCATTTAAAAACGTTGTTTCTTTTGATTCATTTAGATAGATTTACATTTTGTGCAACTTTATATTTGAAGACTTTATCTTAATCTTTTGAAACCGGCACCTCCGCCATAAATTTGAACGCACATTATCAAATTAATTTTTTCTAATTTTCATTTATCTTTTTCCCCGTTTACAAACATGAAACTAATGAAAACTGAGCTAGAATAATTTTCTGCCATTTCTTCATTTCCTGATCGACTTTTCTCTTTACCAGTTTGTCAGGATTTAATTTAGCACCTTGTTGTTTGTGCCGCGCTCGTAAGGGGTAGATTGACGATTTATTTGTTTACAGTGGCCACACTCCCAGAGGTAACGATAAGGAGGGCAATTTTTGGATCGCTTTATGACGGCAATAAATTTAAACTGAAGTGTCGTTAGCAGATGGGCTCGATTAGATCTGGAAATTGTTTATAGCCGTTTGAATATGGCTGGCGTTGACGTATGGTTGGCTGGAAATAGGGATGTTGATGGGTTATATTGTATTAGATATCGAATAAGCCTGAAACCATACTGTTTTTTTCTTCACTCTGAGGACGGTCTAGATCTTTTATGAATAAACAACGTATGCTGGATGTTTTGTTGGACTGTTTTGATTATCTCCATAAAATTATGACAGAGGTGTTTAAAACTTAAATTAAAATCACTTTTTAACAGCCGTCTCACTTGACACTATACTGCGATCGTTGTTCTTACTTTTTTTTACTTTGTAAGTGTATGCTTTGTGACTGTAATTT